ATCTCAAACAAAAATTTTAGGATTTAATCCGGAAAAGCTGAAAATGATAAAATTCCTGACAATTTCACATTTCATTGCCATTTGGTACTCGAGAGAATAACAATTCGATCACATAAGACCCGTTACCTCAGATTTCTAAATTGACTTTTGAGGCTGTGGTTACTTACATTGAACCAATCGATATCAATATAATCTCACCTGTGTGATCTGTCAAATACGATCTATAAAAACCATCAAGTGAACGTGCCGGTGGAGGAGGGGTGTAAGAGACGCGTTTACTCGTGTTGGCCACATTTTTTGTGAAAGCCCGAAAGCCCTGTCAACACTAACAAAAGTTCAGTTCCGTAAATCCATCCCTGTTTGGACAAGGCCTACCATTCATAAAAAAACGAACGAAAACATTATGAAAGAACGAACATAAACGTGGTTAATAATGTTAACTTCCACCACTGCCCGACCGCACTGTGTTGGCGCAATGCGTGAGGTATTCGTGCAGTCTTGTAGGCGCTATGCGTTTCACGCCGACCGCTGCTGACCACACTGTTTAGCGCAATGCGTGAAGTATTCATGCAGTCTTGTAGGCGCTATGCGTTTCATGCCGACCGCCCCGTTCCAGGTCAAATTGCGTGTTTGGTTTCTCTCTTAACTCGACTAATTAAAGATGTTGTCTCTTGTACCTATCACCGAAAGACGACGAAAATTAGAAATTGCTATACTTTCACTCTCAAGAAATGAGAGATTTTGTCCCCTTTTCTCGTTTGTAATTGATTTTCTGAATCCGATTTTTCTTTCTCTTTTTTTGATACCTACATTCAAAAATATTGCAAAATTTTCCGCCCCCTACATTTTGCCGCCATGGGCCGCGGCCCATGTGGCCACCCCCTTAATCCGGCCCTGCAATCTTGGCGATATTGGTTTATAACTTTAAGGCGGCTGATTGTGAGAAACATGTACCTCGATTTCCACCTTTGGTCCAGAAGTTTGCTTATATATAAAAAAAAAAAAAAAAAAAAAAAAAAAAAAAAAGATTTCTTTATCAGGACTGTTAGATCTTTCATTGGAGAATTTCAAGTTTTCAGGAGGAGCTCACAAAAAATGGTTTAGATTTTTCAGCTGCTACTTCATTAATTCTTCGATTTTTAGCGACAATATTAAACTATTACCTTGAATTAATTTTGTGTTTAAAAAATATTTTCGTGCAAATCGACCCGGCCATTCGAGCGGTAGTTCCAGACTTTACACGCATCCATTTATGCAGATTTTGCTTCTCGCAGCTGAGCACATACCTAACTTAGAATCAAAGGCGTGGCGTGCTTGCCATATATCGATTGATCTACATTTACACCTATGGAAAAGGATCGGTAAACAGTGTTCGCAATAACGAACACCTTAATGAACGATTCTTCATCATAGCTTCAAAATAGATAATCGGTCATTCACGCCTTGCTTAGAATGTGTGTCAGAATTACATTTTGACATTAAATGAGCTATTTTGAGTTTTTTTTTTTTTTTTTTTTTTTTTTTTTTTTTTTTTTCGAAATTAGAAAAATGAACATTAGCGGTTTTTGTCCGAACCGATCCTATTGAACTGACCATGACTACCTAATATTGGAAGAAATATAAATTCTGTCAGCAATACTCCGTTTGTGTTCTCTAAAAATAGTCAGTACTTACCGATTTTTTTTTTTTTTTTCAACTGCCTTCTGTTGCTTGAAAAGTTTCTAGTGATTTTAAAGCGAGATTTCTGTGTGAAGAGCGAGTCACCACATGCATGACGCTTCCTGGATAAACCACTTTTGATTTGCCCCATCGGACGTGGAGCCGATGGATAAAATGGACTATTTTTTGCAATTTGGAACTATAAATTCCGGCCTAGTTTAAAAACAACGTATGTGCCATTAGTATCCCTATGCACGTAAGTGTTTTTTCAGATGAGCCAGAATTTATGGGTCCAAATTGCAGAAAGCAGTCCAAATCGCAATCTCATAACTTTTAGATTTATATAAGATTATTTGGTGATAAATCGACGGTGAAATTGTAATATAAGCTTCTCGGTTGCGGAGTTTCTAAATTTCCACTTTTTTTTAATTTTGTAGAGGAAGACCAAATCGATATTATCGCTCGAAATTTGCACGGATTATTCTTCAACTGGAGAAGAAAAATCAGTAGAGTTTTCAAGAAATGACGTTATTAGTCTTCGATGTAGAAAATTAAGTACGACGGAGAGTCTGCAACGCCGCTCAGTGGGTCGAGTCAATGGGAGAGGTCGGACAAAAGTTGGAAACTTTAAACGGTTATAACTCCGTTCATACAAAACTTGAGGGTTTTTAAAGTAGTTCCATTGGTTTCCTCGTGAAATTTTCTTTCCGAGGCACCCTTTAAATTTCAAAATCTGACAAATTAAACACCGAAATTTGCGATTTTAGCCAAAAATTTAAAATTCGACATCTTCTAGTAGTTCGTTCCATTGTGCGCCGCAAACCAAGAAACGCATTTCTGAAACTTCACCATCGAAATGCAGCGCAGGATGAATGCGTCCAAATTATCTCAAAGTTTCATCTTGAAATAGTTGAAAAATACATTTCTGGACTTCAGGATAACGATATGTAGCTTCTGCGACATACGATTTTATGGTTTCACATTTTGCTACTTTCTTCAAAAATAGAGCATTCCCAACTTTAACGGTCTAATTTTTTTTTTTACAGCACTCCCTCGTTATCCGCGAGGGCTCGGTTATAGCTAAACCGATAGGTAAAATAGGTAATACCTAGCGAATAGCAAAACCCTACGCTTCACTGGAGAGAAAAACACAATGGATCTAGAGTCCAGACTCTTGAAAACATCGACAAGAAAAAATACGCTTGATTCAATCGAATTTTTGCTTAAGTCCAACCAAAGCCACCAACCAACCAAGCCAGTTAACCAAGCCTCTTAATTTGAGCGGATTTCTTTTTGATTTAAGCAAAAATCTGATTGAATCAAGAGTATTTTTCCTTGTCGATGTTTTCAAGAGTCTGGACTCTAGATCCAATGTGTTTTTTTTTTTTTTTTTTTTTTTTTTTTTTTTTTTTTTTTTCCTTCCAGTGTTACGAAAAAATGGAAATTCAGTACAGATACTGGGGAAAATTCGTCTGATTATGCAGAATTACGTCATCTAGTCTTTCTTTGAGAACAAGTATGCTGCCGTGCTAAGGAAGAACGCCGTGTGAACCTTCAGATGTTGCCATGTTTCCTTCAATAAAACCTTAATTTACTGAGAAAATCGTGAATTTTTTTCTTCAATTTTTCAGACAATTTGGTCCGCAATTTCGTCTAATATGCCTGAAAATTTCAAGGAAAAATACGCGTAATCGTTCTCAAAAATACAAGTTGTATCCGGGGTAATTTGGCGACTCTTGAATGTTCATGAGGCGTTCTTCCTTAGCACGGCAGTGTGAAGAGTTGGCTGTTCCATGTGTTTCCGTAGGTCTGCCTGCAATTTAAAATACGGCACCGATACACAAGATAGGTAGGTCATTCTCAAATTTTTGACTGGGCACTATAAAAGTACCTATTTTCTGACCTCCGAAGTGGTAGAAAATTCGCGCATCTGAAGCTCGCGAATGATGAAAAAAGATCTTCGTTCTCATCTCGCGGATAATGGGTTCGCGAATAACGAGAGACTACTGTACTGTCATTGGTGGAAAATGGTAGAATGAATAATTTGACGAAGTATTGGCAAAAACTCAAATTAGTCATAGGGAAATTATAAAAGCGGCTCCTCCAGGACACGGCACAATGCAATACATGCATGTTGAGTTCGGTAGGTGCATCGTTTTTTTTTTTTAAATTGATTTCCGAAGATCGGCTGACAATGAGACTTTCATCTGCACGATGAAAAAAGGTTACTCGTTTATAGGCTGGGTACTCAATAAACTTGAAGCGAGTGAATGGCTGATTCAAGGAAAACATGTCTAATCAAGTGCACAGAATTGATCGTAGATTCGCGCTATTGTTCACTAGAGATTGACCTATTTCAGCGAAAAAAATTGCCTACTTCACTGTTGTGCAGCCTTGCAAATTAGATACTATTTGCCTCCTACACAAACACTAAAGCAATCAGGTCAAAAACAATTTCATGCTGTTTTGGTGAATATTCAAAATAATATCGTCCTGGCGAAACAAAAAAATCAAAATTCTAGAAACGTCAATACCTGAGACAAAAAAATTCATACTTTTCAGTTATTTCAAGACTTCAGAACTATTAATTAAAATGCATTAATTTGGAATCGAACTCAAAAGTTTACCGATTCTAATTCGTTTAAAAGTAGGAGGTGATTATGTGTAAACTTCTCGAAATCAAAGTTTTTCAACATCCTAGACCTACCTAAGATTCTAAGAGTCTACTTGGAGTTTATGTGATAAGCGGCACAATGTTTACTCAGACCTGTGTTGGCAGGAGACTGCAGTTTTAAAGCAACGGAAGAATATCTGGCCAAAGATTTTAAGTATGGAGGACAATAATGAAGGGTTACAATGAAGATTTTGACTCCATCCTTCGTAAGAGCACTAAGCGAGCTCTTGTTCATTAGAGATGATCAGTTAATATATATATGAGTTTTCATTTGGTTTTAGCTTATAATTCATTTGTCGAAGTTGTATTTGTTCATTTAGTCTCCATTTAGCAGCATAGATACCATTGATATAATTGAGACCTCAGCCCTAGTCAAAAGCGGCGAAAGAAGACCCTGCCTTGCCAATGTTTTAAGAATTATATGCATTACTTATTTTCTTTGAATCCAACAATGGTTCAGTGGAAGTAGAAGAATTGCAATTAACAGACATCTCATTCATAAAAAAGATGGTTTTTGATGATAATATCGAAGTGTTCGTAAAAATTAATGCCCAAGTGTTTAAATTATTTCTTGATAATTATTCATTCATTTTCCACGATTAATACAACATCAGTTTCAGGGAATTTTGCCCGAAGTTGGATGCTAAAAATGAGTTGAAACATACAATATTTTTACTTGCATTTTTTATTTTTTCCTTCCTTTTTTTAAACTGACAACAAAAAATCCTTAAATAAGTAGTAAGACTCAATTAATCAATAACACAACGCAGGAGCAAATTCAAGACAAAACTAATGTGAGCATGAGTTCAAAACATTTTCCTTTTAATCCTCGGACTGCTGTAGGAAATTTGAAAGCTCTTGGTACTCTTGTTCTTTGTCTAATTGTTCAGTGACCAAGTTATCCAAAATTTCCTGGAACCTTTGCTGAAGAGCCTGATTTTCAATGTGGGCAATTTCCAATTCTTGCTGCTGTCGTTTCGTTTTCAGGTCAGCCAATTCCTGCTCTAATACATTCAACCTATTTCGAACAGTTTCAGTTGAAAGTTGATTACTAGGACTATCCTCGTCTGCAGACTGCGATAAGTCACCTTTGAAAACATCATAGTCATAATTCGTTGGCTCGGATTTATAACTGGGATTAAATTCAGAGGATGCATAGCCTCTACTACTTTCAGCTTTGAAGCCAGGATTTGAGTCAGCATCAAACATTTCATTTTTAGGGGGGAACATCTCCTTGAAAAATTGTGTGACAAGGCCGGGTTGATTTAAAGTTTCTGATTGACCCTGAAATGAAGCAGTGTCTGATAATCGACTCCGACTATCATCAGCAGATAGTCTGCTAGTGTCTTCCATGTCTAGCATGTTCATGTTGGTATCTTCTTCCTCAGAATCACTGACTTCCTCTCCGAAGATATCATGTTCAGCGACTGTGTCAATATTACTTTGAGACATTGAATTGGTATTATGTGCGGTTCCTTGTAGAAGTGGCTCTTCTTTCACTGTTGCTCCGAGTGCTTTAGCTTTCTCGTCTTCTTCCGTTATCACCTCCCATTTGACGTTAACAGCATCACCATCTCCTCTCAACAGTCGCTTTACCTCTTTCTCAATTTCTGGAGCTTCAACAAACTTTTTCTTCAATGTTTTCCGGAATCTTCTCCGACGCACGTTCTTCATAGGAGGGGTGATACCATGAGGCCATAAATATTTCTTTTCGACTTTGTACGGGTCCTTTTTCTTAGCTTTTGATGGGGACTCTTCGTCTGTAGGTTCATCCTCCTCTTCCTTGCAGATCATCATCTGGCATATGTCTGCGGTCTTGTAAAAACTCTTGTTGTCTATAGTTTTTAGCGATTCAACAATAGTTGGTAAATCTACAACCTTTGCGTGCATGACCCAGTGATCCATCCGTACTTCTCCATAACGCACATCATTCTCTAACTTAATGCTAAGTCGGTCTTTTAGACTAACACCTGCTTGTAGGGCTTCTCTCAAGGCTTTGGCAGGTTCTTCCGGTAACCGGAGGATGAACTGACTCTCCAGCTCAGCAGGAGCATCATCTTTGCGATCCACATTTTTTGCCATCATGCTTGAGATCTTTATCGCTTAAAATGATTCGTCTGTGGTGAGGAGAGACGCTTCTTAGGCTCCAATATTTATGTGTTGGATTAATTACAGGTATTCGATTCTGATATTTTAGCGCCTGATGATGGGCAAAAATACCTGAAACAATCATTGTGTGGAATCATGGAAAATGAAAGAATAATTGGTGAAGAAAAGTTGGATAAAACACTATCCTAAATGTGCACAATTAGATGAGAGAAAACAAGTGTGAAAGTAAGTCTCCTTATTCTTGGCCAATCCCAAATTTGGAATGGAAAAATATTCCTTGAGGAACTATTGAGGGCAAGACAGGGTGAATTATCGAACACCTTAGTTAAAAATCTCTGGTTTCCACACTAAATTGAAATCAAAAACATGATTGTGATACCCAACCTCGCGTGAAAGCCACAGCACCCGGCTCAAAGTTCTTTCGGCAAATCTACAACATTAAATTTACGAATTCCCTGACAATCTTTGACGTCTGAAAAAGACCTCCACAGTTATAATTTTATTTCACACGCTGACTTTAGCTAAACTTTGGATAAATTTTCCACAAATAGTGATTCAAATTATGAGGATAAAAATCACTTTGAAGATGTTTACACTATTTAGAATGACACCAGCTGAAGTTGCTCAGCCAAAGCGGGTGGGCTCGCTGAACATGCTCATGTTCTATAGGCCCTGTCCAGAATCCTCATACCTTATTTAGTGATGTTGAGTGAAATTCAAATGCACTCCTCCAGTTTCACTGATTTCAGAGAAACTTGGCTAAGAGTACGATGGTATCAAAGAAAGAAGAAAAAAGTTACACTGGAATTGACATTTATTTGTCAATCCTTCACTTGGGATCACATAATTGTTGAAGTAATGAAGCGGCCAGCTACTACTTATGGATCGAGTCTCAGATTTAGGCAAAATCAAATCATCTGGTCACTGAAAAAAAAAATTACCACAGCTGAACTATTCAGAGCCCTTGACCCTTGTATTAGGCCCTGGGGAGGGTTCAATTCAATTTAAGGGGAAATTATTAGACCCCCGATAAAGACAGTCGAGTCCGGTTGACAGCAAATTTCTCAAAGGGAGTATGAATTTTGCACTGCTGAAGTGTCCTTAAGCAACTTCTTATCGCACTTAATGGCTCTTGAGTAACTCCATCGTTTCAAAAAGTGTTCACACATCCAAAGAGAAGGAAAAATAAACCACATGAACAATAGGTGCTAACAGTCGACATAATAGCTGGGTGTCGAAAAAAACAAGCTGGCCAAAAATCAGTACTTTTACAGTACATTCCTAAGCAATTCAGTACCTCCATTTGACGAAATTCAAAACCTTCGGAAAATTTGAAATTCTCGCTTTAATTGCGACAAAAATGACGTAGACACAAAATTTCACTGGAGGCTGAAGATTAACTTACTGCACAATCTTGCACTCTTGCGGGCAAATACTACTCTAAGAATCAATGCGTAGAGGAGTGAATACTTTTCAGGCTTTACTAAAACACACGTCGAGTATGAGGGGAAACATTCCAGACCTCCTCGCAGAATTTCCGCACTTTTTCAGTACTTCCGAACCGCCCTTAAAAAATCAGTACTCCTTCCGGACTAGTAAATAACCTGAATAGAGACCAGAGTTTACAGTTCAGTTCTATGATTAACTGAGCTCAAGTCATTGACTTAGAACTTTAATCTTAGTCAGGCACAATGCGCTCATAATTATGTGTCGCATTGTTCACGTTGGAAATGTTTATCAGCTAACACCCTCAACTTTGAGTGTGTTGGCTGATGAATGTTAGATTTTGCAAAATGAAGCAAAGTTACACATCTACTGGCAAATTCGGAGATCACATGTGCCAACTTTCCTTCATCCTCAATTTTATTTTAAGACAACTAATAACTTAATACGTGCTTAATTGCTTCTGCATTTTGAAAGGGTTGCCAATCCCGGTATTAGCAGGCTCAAGAGTTCACAGACTAGACCTTCCGAATTCATAGGGTTCACTTGATTTTCATCACTGAAAAACTCAGTGTATAAGAGGCAACGTGTAGGGTGAATTCAATGAGTTGGCATATTAGGTTCTCTAAAAGATGCAACGAATAAATAAGAATTGAGTTCCACTCAATTTTCTGTCAGGCATTTTGATCATTCTTAGTTAAAATATAGAGCAGGGCTTAAACTCAATCCCAAGTGTCCAACTCCCTTTTCCATGATTTGTCCCTGGGTGGGAAGAGAAAATACTTGAGAAAGTTGCCATGAAGTTCCAATTTTTGCACAGGCCCAAGTAAACTAAATGAGAAGATTCTGAGGAGGTAAAGTGTGTAACTGCCGATAGAGTCAACCGAGAAATTGCCGCACATATAGTCTCAGTTTTTTTTATATATTTATGATTAATTTATTTACTTATTTGTTTTCAATTGGATAAAATATCTGTTATCAGAAGCAGAAAAAATTGAAGGCGCTCTGGCTCTTTTAATGGCTAGGTTTGGATCCAACTATTCCTATTCTCGGGGTGTCTGGGTTGCATACCTACAAAATTGAAGGCGCTTTGGTTTCACAGGTACAACAAGTGGCTGCGCTTTTCAGTTCTCATCTCAATGGTTTTCTCTGCTGCATTGACAATCGTGTTTACCATGGCCATGGAATCATCGAAATTCGTTCGCACCATGGCAGCGTTGCCAAACGGTGCACACTGCAGAAATGTTACCAGTAGTAATAATTTGCAGGATTGACATCCATGATGCCTCCGTGGACATGATTTTGGTGGGAAATTAGCACCAATTGGCAACGCTGTCGAGATGTAACATGACTCATTCGAATTTCACGGATTTCATAGTAAACACGATTGTAAATACAATGTAGAGAACCCTTGATAACTAACAACCGTAGCCATACGTTGAGCCTGTGAAAACCAAAGCGCCTTCAATCTTTAGTGTATGCAACACGGGCAACCCAAGAGCTTGAATAGTTGCATCCAAACCTAGCCAGTAAAAAAGCCGGAGCATCTTCAATTGATTCTGCTTGTGATAACAACATAGGTCACTTAATACATTCACACGTCGTAGTTGCACAAAGACAGGGCGGTTTGAGTATTTAATCAAAATGAAAAAAATAAATGAGTAAATTAATAATTTATGTATGAAAAAACGGAGACTGTTCAAGCGGCCATTACTCGCCCCATTGTATCGGCAGTTTTACATTTTACCTTCTTTTGAACCTTCTAACTTAATGGACGTGGAGATACAAAGACATCATATCCTATTCATTTACTTGCTATCTTCCGTACGAGGCAGGGTTGCCAAATAGTGCAATTTGCAGGACCGTTATCGGCCAAAATGAGCAGAGCTACGACCTGTCGCGATCAGCGCTGTTAGCAGGATGACAAGTTTCCTAGGCTTAAAAATGCCCTGACTTTTCTGACATTTTGAACAAAAAAAAAAATCTCTGACTTTTCCGTGATTTTTGGCCTAGTTTCTTATAAACATTCTGTTCACTGGGCAGCAATTCTGCACGCTAAGTATCTTGAAAGTGAAAAAATGCTTTGTATTCCCTGGAAGAGAAAATTTTCAGACCAAACTTTTCCCAACTTGTCTGAGTTAGGCAAAATTTATTCAGTAGGTCAATAAAAAGCTCCATCATTTGGTGTTGACTATGTTCAGAAGCTAAAAGCAATTTTCTTTCCTTTCGTTGGATTATTAGGTTTTGTTCTCGTTTTCTGTAATGTTAAATGTTTTTTGACTAATGTATTTATCCTTTATGAAGATTTAACGTTTTAAGAATCAGTTAATGAGGAATCATTATTCTTCTTGCGGTAGGTAGAGCCGGTACTTTCCAAAACAGGATGAGGACCAGCATAGTAGGCAGATCCATCTTCATGAAGAAAGCGAGCTAGGCGCTCCATATCAACCTTTCACAGAGAAGTGTGGCAAGGAGAGAGAATTCACCAACTTTAAGGGTGTTTATCACCTTGACATTTCGAAAGGCAGAAAAAATGTGGGAGACAAGAATTTTGAAAATATATCAGATGTCCGCTGATGAAAAAAGTACTGCGTGTCATTTACTGATAATACCCAGAAGTAAATCGTGCGTTTTTTTCTTTTCAGGCTTTACACGAGCCGCTGCCTGAATAATTTAATTTCTTTGATTATAGACGCAGGGTTGCCACAGAATTTGGAAAGTGAAATTTCCTGACGCATTTTGGTGAAATTCCCTGACAATTGAACAAATGCCAGATGGTTAAAAAGACATGATGAAAAATAGTTTTCAGACAAAATTTGTTGTTCGAAACTTCAAACTTATTCTAAAAGGCAAACATGTAAAGGTAACCAAACCCTTTTTCCCCGACATAAATGTCCTTTTCCCTGACATTTCCTGGTATTCCCTGACTGTGGCAACCCTGTTACGTGGCTACGTTATAACAGAATGAAATTACTTCTAAGTAAACTTAGCTAAGTATACGAATAACCCTTTCTTTTCATTTGAACCTGAAAATTTCTTCTAACATTTTTCTCATTCTGCAAGACTGACAGATTTGAAGGTAGAATGGCACTGCAGATTGCAATGTCTTTCATAAAAATTAAACGTCAAACCGTGTTTGTGAAATAACGAAAAAAAAAATATGGATAAAATTTAACTCATTTAAATTTAACTCGCACGACATACCTCGGTTGACGAGTTAATTCTTGGCATCTATTGGCTTTGCTACACAATTGTTTTGGTCATGTATTTTCGGGGCTCCGATAGATGGCATCTCAAGCGTCACAATGCTAACAGAAAGTGCCAGTCAACTCTTCAGCTGAGATATATCTTAGGTGCGCGCACTGACGAGTAAACTCGTCATATGAGGCGAATGGGTTAACTGAGTATTTACTCCGAGTGCTCAGATCATGTACGCTGATTTCTGAATCTACATGGCATGTTCCATGTTATGACGGTCATGTTGATTACATGGACAGATTTGATAAGAATCAGCCCAATTACATCAGATGATGATCAAATTCTTCTTGCGTTTAATAATGTTAAAAGAAAAAATTGAACCCAATTTTGGATGAAATATCGAGAGAGGGAATATTTCATAGAATCAATTTAGGGGCAATATATCAAAATGCTGCTATAGGCCAGTGTTCGAAAGGGGCAAGCATCCAAGTACTCCCTGAGAGTACATGCAAATAATAAAACGCTAAGTAATATAGAAAGATGTGCTGAAATGGTGTTGGCTTGACCCTGCATAGGTGGTGCACTGTCAAAGTAAACCTATACCATACCACCAAAATATTCAGCTAAATAGATGTATTTTGACAGTCCAATCAACCTCCCATGATCGTTGAGCATTTTGTAAAATCGTTCAGCATTCATGTGTAGACGCGCAAGTCATCAGGTAATTTAACCAGAGTATAGAGGTGTCGTGAGCTAAGTTGGAACTTGTTTACATTTCCTCTGTAAGCAACCACACTGTAGTTGTCCAATGGCGATTGAAGATTGTCTACGCTCGCGATCAGGTTGCAGTCAACCCTCAGTAGCTATTAAACAATTGCATCGCAATCGCTTGCAAGTGAAAAGCAAACAAATGCCCACTTAGCTGACAACATTTTTAACTTCACCAACCATTGGGCATCAGGTATTTCTGTGCAAAAACCGTTTACTTCAACAAAGCACCAAGGCAGAGTGATGAGCTGAAAAAATTGCAGCAGTACGCGGAGCTGCCGATTCAGGTTAAACATTTGGCGGAGGTGACCACACTCCAACTGTGGGAGGATAAGCAAAATCAGAAAAAGACTGATCAGAATAGCCATCTGACCTAGAAAAAATACCTTAGATGTTACATGGGCACCATTCCAAGTCAGCGGCAGCTTCAATAGGAGACGAGCCGACGTTGGGGTCCAGAGGTTTCAACAAGGGCACTGATCAGTGCTTCAGCATCAATCACGAAGGTATCAGTTGGAACAGGCTACTCCTGTGAGGGTACCGCAAATGTTGAGAATGATAGATGTGAATAATGTAGACTCGGAACAATTGAAAAGCCGAAGGCCTGATGAAATGGCCTTGAATAACTACCCTTCGAGCTTGATGTTGTGTAACTTTTAGTATCCTAGTGATGTGATAAATAGAGGATAAGGAGGGCAGTTGGTCCTGTTGGACAAAATTGTTGAACAAGGTGAGACGTTCTTCTCATGTGATGAGAAATGAGATCAATTACATATTATTGTCGCGGATGGAGAGCCTAAAAGGAGAGCATAAAGACAATTTATTACACCTCACAAAATGAACTTGAGAGTTACTTACATTAAAGTTATTTAACTAGATATGATAAGCTTCGGGGAATAGATCAGTTTTTCGGGTCACATGAGATCTGAGGATGGTAAAACAATAAAAAACTAATATTTGAGAACAACGAAAACATTGTGACGGTAGCAAGAAGGACGACGTTATCAAACAATATGGCGGCGGATGTAGATTCTTCGCTCTTCCGAAAGATCGATTCTTCGACCAATAGATCGATAAGATCGAATCGATTCTTTCACGTTGATCTTACGCGCTTTCGATGTATCGCTTGAGTTGCACAAAAAACCGTCGCAAGGAGCCGATCCTGTGTTGGCCGATCGCGACTGCTCGGCGCACAATGGTCTTCGCAAATGCAATGCACCGTTTTAAAAGTTTATGGAACTGATGATTTTTGGGTGTTTGAGTATGGATATGAAGGGCCGTATTTGTAACTAAAGATACATACGTTGGCAATATATAAGAAATTATGTAATATAGGAAATATTCAAGATAATATAAAGGAAATGTTGAAATATACATACGGGACTGTGCGCAATATATGAGAAATGTGTCAATATCTAGGAAATCGCCTTCAAAATATACGGCGAAAATCGTGCAATATATAAGAAATGTGTCAATATATAGAAAATCGACTTCACAATATATATGGCGATATTCGTGCGAAATACAGGGTGATCCATAATTGTCCTTTTCGTCCCTCTAAATTTTTACTTAATTGAGGCAAAGATTTGAAACTTGGGGGTTGTATCTAGGTCATAAGGAGCTATACTTTCTGGCCCTCTATTTTCAAATTCTCCGGGAGACCCCTTNGGGGGGGGGGGGGGGGGGGGGACGGAAACCAATTATTTTTTTTCAATTGGGAGGACCCCTTTTGTTATACCTCGTTCAAAAGAGCATAGAAAAAGGAAACTTTTCGAGTAAACCCGAAGTCAATATCTATTAAACCGACACCGGTTGTTTGACAATGGATTTGCGCGAAAATCGATAACTAAGGGTATTTTGATAGGAGAAAAACGAATTTATAGTTAGATTTTCTAAAAAAACAGCAAATTTCCAAAGAGGCCGAAATGAGCAAATTTGACATGCATTGACAAAAATACGTCAAATTTGCTCCTTTTGAGAAAAATTCACTTTTTCGGAAAAGTGAAGGATGATGGGAAAAAACGAAGGTCATTTTCGAACTCAGCGGCTCAAAACACATCAGAACAGTTTAAATTTGTACCTGAGAAAAATTTTACTTACATGCTGCGAGGGTCAACAGTCGCAAAAACACCAACAATGCCCATTATCCGGAAAATTGGAGGGTGATGGACAAAAACGGAGGTCATATTCGGATTCAGCACCTTTAATATACAAAAATGAATATCACCTGATCACGGATCCCAGTTAGCAAGATTGAGTTCCGTCACTTGGATTAGCGGCAGATTGGAATTTGGAGGTTGAATTGATACGCGCTTTTCGCGGTGCCGGTGATCATCCTTTGTCTGCAGCGGCTGAACGGAAACGGAAATGATCGGGGAACGAGTCCAAGCGAGACCTATAGCCACATGTGTAGCGCGTTTGGAGCTGCGGAGAAATGCAGGAGTTCAGATATACGCGCCCGTCTTTCAACCAAGTTGTTTTTTTGAATTATTGTGGTGTGGCATGTTCGTTGAGATATGAGTTGTGAGCGCTTAAATGGAATTGATTGTGAAGTCCACATTGAGGTAAGTTTTTTCCTATTTTTTTTTTTATTGCGTTTTCATTTTTTTACCGGTGTTTAATTCTGCCGCTCGTGCAAGAAACGAAACCGAGGTATTTATCTCTTGGTTAGTTACTTTGCTGAGGGACGAAAGTAAGTTTAATTCCCTTTTCAGAGAATTTTGGGATGTTTGTTTGAGTGTTCCACTATTGCATATGAATTTCGATTAGTGACACAATCATGCTTTTAAGCACCTATGTCAAAACTGCGTAAATCCTGCCCGTCTACATATATTTATTGTATTCTTTTTCAAGTCATTTGTCACATTTTTTTTTCAGTGTATAATCTACATCTAAAATTTAGAAACAATTCTATTTAAAATGATATTAATGATAGTAAAATATCTTTGTCGGTATTATGGTAGGCAATTTATCTCCTAGAAAAATAGATTTTCAAGGTACACGTTAAAATATTTATACTTTAAGTTTTGTTGGGGTTAGGTACTTTTAAAAAAATCGGATCCACAGGAAGTATATCTACATCTCAAGAGTGCTTGATTAATTATATGTTGAAGCTAAAAAACTGAGGAATAAAGTAAAAAATATACAAGAAAAAAATTCATGGATTGTAAAATTTTTTCAGAGGTAATTTCGACATTTTATTTTTGAGCTTTTTAGCCTCAAAATTTAATTATATTCTCTTGAGATACTGATCTACTTCCTGAAGATCCCATGTTTTATAAGAAAAATAAAAACCTCGAATAAATATCATTATTATATTAGTCCGATGACAGCCTTGCGTCAATGCTGCAATGCCGCGAGGCTGAGCAGTCTCAATCGGCTCCTCGCCNTCTTTCAACGTAAGAAAGATATAACCACTCAAAAATCGAAAAATCTTCAAAAGGCGGAAATACATACATACATACATACATACATACATACATATATACATACATATATACATACATATATATATACACATGAATTTGAATAGCATATATTTTCGTGATCTACGACCCGTGATCGGTGCTCTTCACAATGTCTCAGGTCTGGGTCCGACATCATGGGAGAATGCAATAGTGTATTTCCTTCGGAAAATACACTAATAAAAACCTCGAATAAATATCATTATTATATTAGTCCGATGACAGCCTTGCGTCAATGCTGCAATGCCGCGAGGCTGAGCAGTCTCAATCGGCTCCTCGCCGCGGAAAAATGGTTCTAGACCTAGAAACGTTTTTTCGCTCACTCAATCGATACATCGAAAGCAGCGGAGCCACGCGAAAGATCAGCGCGAATGAATCGGTTCTTCGATCCTATCGATCTCTCGGAGAATCGATCTTTTGGAAGTTCGATCCAAGAATCGCCATCACTACGGATGGGACATGGGAAGCAGCGAGGGAAAAGGGGAAAGATTCAGGGAAAAAAACCTTCCCCTTTCAAGATGCTCTTGGGGAAGCTTTGGTGCTATAAATTCTAGAAAATTGCATGTAAAAATACGGCATCATTTATTTGATTCGCTTACATGTAGATTTGTGAGGTCAAATGGTCCCTTCATCTCTTTTTTTCCACTGACTTACCATTCGACGGGGGAATTTTTCGTAGTTACCGACGTGGCCAACCTGTGCTTGCGTTCCTCGGGGACAAAAAAAAGTGGAAAAAAAAAACATTGAATTCTCCCTATCAAAATCGGGGAATCGCAGCAATTTCAATTTGTGACAAGTAATATGATTCCCAATTCAAACTGTAAACTAAAAAAATGTTCATCCTCCTGTATTAGTTCTGATAATAATCTCGGTGAAAGTGAGTGTAAATGCAGTACCTCGGAAACCGTCTCCGGATCGGACCTCAAAAGCTGTGCTGACCGTTTGAGTGGTGAAACCAGTGAAACCTCTGGCGAAATCGAGGAGAAAAGCGATCAGGTTCAAGGAATAACGCAAGATATTAGTACCAGCACTGTGAATTCCGATTTTGACGATTGTCCATGCTCCATTAATTTAGGATCAGCTCACAACAATGAATTGGATGCCGACATGGAAGCGGACAATGTGAGCGCTCAGCTGGACCTCGACGCCTCTGGGAGTGATTCTGAACTCTCTGACAGTTCCTCTGAGTGCAACGGCGATCTACAAGATAGCTTAAATTCATCATTACCAAATAGTCCTCTCTCTGAGTCTCAGGTAAGCAATCGGAACTTCAAACGCTCATTGATTAACACCACCGCCCATGCGGGTGTTTCCCCACTCATTCAACCTCAAGAACACTAGTTTTCAGCACACCTAAAGTAACTTCTGTTTCCTCTCCAAGACTTCCGCTAAGTAGTCTAGTAGGTAGGAAGTCGCAGAAAAACCCTTGATTCATGTCACATTAAAATATTCCACACGGTAAGAAGGCAAAAATTGAGGTTATGGATGGTTTTTTCCAACTCTCCATGACCTATTAATCTCTAATTTTTTCTTTGTGTAATATGTGAAACTTTCTTTTCATCTCATTGTACTAATGTTCTCTCCGCGTATGTCATCTGTCGGAGGAGAATAATTTTTCAATTTTGTACATCGTATGCTGACATGGAACAGATCAGCATAAATTTGCAATGACCCTTGAATATCCCCTCAAGATTAATTACTCTCATGTTTGCTTGAAGTATTTGAAATTATTTTCTAGCTCTCTTTCTATTTCTGGCTCTGATTTGCAGGAAATTTTTGTCATTTTAATGGAGTTAGAAAAATAGGGCACGGTTCATTACGCAGACTGATCATGGCCAAACCATCGCCCTCCATTTCCCTCTCATTACTCTGAAGAAGCAATGCAGTCTGTTGCAACTTCATTCATATAACAAACATGCACAGATTAATATTGTCTGTTCAAATATATCTAAATTAGCCGTCAGTATAATGGGGCATGTAATAATACCAGTAAAGTAAGAGGTCAGCACAAAGAATGTTTTCCTGAATGGATCCTCAGGTTTGACCTTCCAGTTCAAAGCCGCAAAAACTCTCACCATCAGGATAATGGAAAAGGGCATTAGCCTCAATATTCATTCACTGGCTTCTTATGCTGACGACTTTGGATAATCTAGTTCCCCTGCAAGGGTAAGAAAGAGTGGAAGGGTTCACTTCTTCCCTCTCCGTGGAAAATAACTTAGCCGGTTTATCACACCAAGTTGAGAATGTAAATTAAAAAGAAATGGCTCCACGACAATTTATATTCTTCAATTAGAACTGGGGAAAGAAACGAAGAGACCAATGTTCCATCCAAATATTGCACCATTCAACAGATATTTAGCATAGAGAAAAAAAAGGAGGTGTTTGCATTTCGGGCATCTTGGAATTTTTTGATGACTTGATGACGTAGGTGGGTACAGGGACGTCCCCTCTTCACGCTGTACCCAAGCTGTACCCACCTACGTCATCAAGTCATCAAAAAATTCCAAGATGCCCGAAATGCAAATACCTCCTTTTTTTTCTGTATGGATATTTAGATGCTAACCAAGGGGCCAACTGATGATTGATGCATCCAGACTGATGTGACTTTTGTCCCTTCTTTTCTTTCCCCAGTTCTAACACTATGTTTTTATTCATTTCAGAAAAAGCGTAAAGGTGATGCTCACGATGAGGATGGGCCCTGTAAAAAGATGAACGTAGATGCTTGCGCAAGGTGAGTCTTTCAACCACTTTCACAGTTACTACTGAGTTAATGTGAGGTCCGAACACATTAGACGATCACTTTACCTAACTATTCAATATATTGATGGCTAAGGTGGAAATATGCATATCCTCATTGCTACGTTTCCAAATCTCGAATTGTGTTTTATCTCTTCAGAAAAAAAACCAACCCAAATATTTATTTGAAATTTTCTTTGAATACTTTCAAACGAGTGAAGTAAATTCACGGAAAATTTCAAGAAAACTTTTGTTCAGTTTTCTGTCGAATGATGGAAAATAAGCCAAGATTTGCTCTCGGCAATTGAAGATATTATTTTTTTTCTTTAGCTGTTTATATATCTCAAGAGTTAACTATATGCTGATGTTGAAGTAGATGTTTTGTGAGGTAAAAAAGGGAACTATAATGTCAAGTTTAAAACATGGAAATTCAGGTACTTACCGAGTATGCTTTTACTAGAAAGGCTGGCACGAACACACTAATTTAAAAAAATCAATTTTATTTTCTTCTTACTAGCTGTTGCCTCACCTAATCACATCGCTCAGATTGTAAATTGTTTGTAATGTTCGATTTTGGTGTCACAGAAATTATCCTCTTCGGGTGCAACAGTATGAAATAAGATAAATTTCAAAAATTTGAAATCTGGCTGTGAATGTTTAGGTGCCAACTTAGACCACAGCCTCAATTCGACCACATTTTTCAATTTGGAACTATAATAACTAGCTCAGTTTCGAAACAATGTATGTATCATTAGTTTGCCTGTTTTTATTAAAGTTTCTACAGATGAGCAAAAAATGGTACTTCTTGGTTGCCAAATATAGTCCAAGTATTTCAGTGCATTTTGTACATGGCATATGTCAAACTCAATCACAGTTTTGAAACTTCCAATAATGATCTACGCCTATGGTATTTCATCAGCATAATAATGGTCTAATGTTTTTGTTCACAGTCATGTAGAGAAAAGTAAATTACCAAGAAATATTATTCCATCTAAAGATAACCCTCCGCCTGAAATGGTCGAATGGCTTTCCACATTTCAGGTAAGATAACTTTTGTTCCTCCTCTTAGTGATGTTGTATCCTCACCAATTTATATGAAAAGGCACAGATTTTGATTTTCAGTGATTTGATGAAAACTGAAAATTGTTCTCTTTAATACCACATCATTAGAAACATGGACATTAAGTTGACCAGTAAGAATGGGCCTGTTGCAAACTTTTGCTAGAACAAAAATAGAAGTTGTTCCTTACAGATAATGTCTCAAAAATCTCGATGAGCGCATTTAAGCAATCTGATACATGTTTCTTAACCAGAATTTCATGTAAAACACGATTCACACCATGAGAATTACTGAAACCAGCTCTTAACGAAGATATTAACGTTTTTATTACACATTGGTTACGAGGAATTTGAACTGCCCGCTCACAAGAAACTCAAAGCTCTATGTGAGTCAAATTGCGCACTACAACGGTTTCAGCAAACTTCTCAATTGAGCAATGTTCAGTTCCCTCCATGTGCTGTTCAAACTATAAGCCATTTGCTATAGCTGAGCCAAAGCGTCAAGATCGAGGTTGCCAGATTTTTATATTGCAGAGACTGTCATGATAACGTTTAGAGCGCGATGTGAATCACGTAGAGCATTGAGTTTTCATAAGCGGATGGTTTGAATTCACGCATCAAGAATCATAAAATATCTTCGTAATATGTTGATTCTGGTAATTTTTGTTGTGTGCATCGTGTTCTTCGTGGAATTTCGGTAAGGAAACATAAATCAGAATGCTGAAATTCGTACCTTGTCTAGTGGTCCATTACTTTCCACTTAATGTCGATGTATTCATCAGCATTATCCAGAGGACATCAATCTCGATTTTTTAGTGTGACAATGCATCTCTTATCATTTTGTCTGTTGTCAACCATTCGGTAAAGATGATTCAAACTTTTGACAAGACAGCAAAGGGTCAGTGCGCTGGTCACAAAATCGTGTTTTGGTGCTTGATTCTTGTAGATTAGTAAAAAATAATAAGATCTGTCCAAACTGCAACTTTCTACCTTCAATATCAACCGAGATATCACCCTTTGAAAAGTCAAGTTTTTGACGTCATCTACCGCGGCAGTGACACCCTTGGTCTCGACCTCTTTTGTTCGATCAGTGATGCAGAGGGTGCAACGCTAAACTTCAATGACGTGAAACGTAAACAAATTCAAGAAACAGACGGATTGGCACTTAAAAGATCTTCTTATCAGGAGATAACTCACTCGCCGCAAAGAGATAGGCGGTCAGTCAGTTCACCTCAGTTTGTTTACGTTTAACATCGTTGAATTTTCGCGTTACACCCTCTGCATCACTGATCGAACAAAAGAGGGAGAAACCAAGGGTGTCACTGGTGCGGTGGATGATGTCAAAAACCTGACTTTTTCAAAGGGAGATATCTCTGTTAATATTGAAGGTAGAAAGTTGCGGTTTGGACAGATCTTATTATTTCCAACTAATCAACAAGAATCAAGCATCAAAACACGATTCTGTAACCAGTGCAACTGACCCATTATAAGTTCAAGGCAGGCAGCTGAATTAACTCCTTTCCACTGTAGAGAAGATGGAATTAATTTGGACAGAGCACTTCAAAGTAAATACATGGATTGATTTAGGTATCTTCCAGAAATATTTATATTCTGAAAGTAACCAATATGGGATGGCGCTCTTCAAAAAAATCATTGTTCAGAATTTAAACTTCAAAGCTTGAGTCAAGGAAATTATGTTGAAATTCCAGAGTAGCAGCAATGAACTCACAAGAAGGGCTTTGTTAGATATTCATTGGATTCCCTGATCTTAATACAACTATCTTTAATGATTTTTGCTGGGCTGATTCCAAGGACTTTCAGTTCTGTCCTGTAAATAAATGCCAAAGAGATTGGACTATCTCATTAAAATTTTTTGGTCTCTATCCATCCATTTGTGCCAAAGAATAATAGAATCATGCTCGTTGATTATTAATTAACTCATACATTTTTTTCTGTTACAGAAATGGTCAAATGCTGAACGTATGCTTGCAATTGACCAGTTAGTAACTTCTTGCGAACCAACCCAAGTCCGATACATGATGCAATTAATAGAACCGCAACTTCAACGGGATTTTATCTCCCTTCTGCCCAAAGAAGTAAGTTGATCATATTTATTCAATTTTATAATGGCATTTGCTCATTATATTAAGTCATTTTCACAGTTTTGAGGTGATACAAACTGCATATACTTCTTGCAGCAAGGAAATAAGATCATCTTTGTAATAAGAGGATATCTATATGCTGGAAGGAAGTTTATAAGAATTAATGAAATCAACAGGAACGGTATGCAAGGATTTGTGCTCCTCTTAGTTTCTTTTGTTTTAATTCATTTTTAATTTTGTTAATATTTTATCAATTTTAAGGTCATTGAGCGTCACTAATCCAACCTGTCAGCCAGAAAGATCTTGAAACTATGACAAAAAAGACACGAAAATAAAATGGTACCAATTTTAGATCTTTCTGGTTGAAATTTTTCGGTTGACTTCTCAGTGTATTACAAATGAAGGGCTTGGAGGATAAGGCGTATAAGTATAGTTTTTGAAAAAATTGAGATATCAACGATTCCAAGTAAAACTAGTCTCAATGAATGGTCTGTGATAAATTCGCTACCAAATTAAAAATTATAAGCATCGAACAGCCTATTTGATCTTTCTGTCCGCCATGAGGACCCTTGTAATTTGAAAACTTCAAACATATTTCTAGAAATAGCAAACTGGCACTTATGTGCCTTGTCCTACAAGCCCCTCAAATTCAATGTGTCAAAAAAGAGAGAAAGTTTTGTTAGAGAGAACTTCAACTTGAACCAATGTGTAAGTATTTAAATAACTCGTTTGAGCAATGTTGTCCGCGGTTTTTCCCCAAAGCAGGTAGTTTGAACTGACTGATTCTGATGTCAATCATAAATGTCATTCTTGCTTTGATGAATGGATTTTAAAAATGTCCTTTATTTATAATGTGTTATGCGCTAAATTTCATGACATAAGTCGTTTTGTAACTTAAATTCTTCCCTCTTAAGTGATCTGTCTACCTTCAAATTGTTCTGCGATATTTAAGATTGTATTCAATGTGTTGATTTCTCTGTTAATTTATACTTGGCTCCATTTTTTCAGTTGGCGCTGTACGTTTTGTCATTTTTGGAGCCCAGGGATTTACTTCGCGCTGCTCAAACATGTCGCAACTGGCGATTCCTAGCAGAAGACAATCTTCTATGGCGAGAAAAGTGTCTTGAAGCTGGGATTGAACCAGAACCTGCACAGATCATGTCAAAAAGAAGTAGACATAGAATTGGAAATAATTCTAACTCACCTTGGAAGGTAATTGATCAAACCTGCCTCTGGCATCTTTGCAGTGGTAAAAAACTACAGAAACCCTATGCAAATTGTTGCGTGTCGAAAACAAAGTTTTAAAATTTCAAAACTTGACTTTTACACACTTTCAAATATCTTCCAAAATTCATCCCTCTGGGTTTTTTTTATATTTTTGTGCCATTTTAATTGTACTCAAATATTTATCAGGACAAAGATTATTTAATCTCGAAAGAAAATAGGCGAGTGGTAAAAAAGAAGAAAAAATAAAAAAAAGAGCCAATTCAACTCACTTGAGATGTTCATGAGTCAATCTAATCTGCATGTCTCCGTGAACTTCAAATTGATAAAAATTAATTCATTATTTTTCTTATTCTAAGCTTTAATCTTTCCAAGCCCATTGAATAATTTTGAGGGTTACCTTTTCTTAATTATTTTAATCAATAAATTCTGTATGTATTAACGAGTTAGTAACATCATGAATATCCATGCTTCTTTTGTTTTACAGACTGCTTTTATTAAACAACACACTGTAGAAATGAACTGGAGACTGCGACCAATCAGGGAGCCTCGTGTGCTCAAAGGACATGATGATCATGTGATCACGTGTTTACAGTTCTCTGAAAGTAGGATCGTCAGTGGCTCTGATGATAATACGCTTAAAGTTTGGTCTGTGACCTCTGGCAAAGTTAGTAATCTCATTTTCATTTTTTATTTATTTGCACACAGGATTGTAGTAAATGTGTTCTACTGAAGAGAAGCTTAATTTTTTTTTTTTTTTTTTTTTTTTTTTTTATTAAAAAAGATGACTACAATAAAGTATTAATCCTAATTATTTTAACGAATATCTATTTAAAATAGTTTAGTGGGTGGGCCGGAAGACCGACCCTAGCTGTATTTACATAATATACAGGTGCTGTATATTGTGATTAATTTATGGATGTAAATTTACCCACTATAACTTCTCGAATAAATTGCGAAGCATAAAAAGCAGAGTCCAGAAAATAATTGAAATTTTAAGAATTAGGCTGGGGCTTTTCAAATTTTTTCTGGCTTTCAGAATCCTCCAATTTCGTTTTCTACCATCCTGCATAAATAATCCTTAATTTTACATTGTTTAATTTATCTGTTTTCTGATAGTGATGAATAAATTCTCCAGCATTCAGTGAAGTGATCTGCAAAGTAATTTTCCTTACCTACTGGAGGCGCCTGTAGGTAGCCAGCAGCCCAATTGTGTTTACTCCACAATAAAATCATGCAAACTATGCACAGGAGAAAAATACTAGCACCTAACATGCACTGCAATTTTTGCTTTTGTAAAATCGGAAGATTAGTGAGAGATATTTGCAGACGCCCATAGTATGCATTAAATACATTTTAATGTGACAAAACTAATAACTTTTCATGAGCCTAATTTATATTTTAATTGAAACCAATGAAAAACTACCAATCATCTCAGGGAGAAAAGGTCTTGTTTTAAAAATCAAATTCCGCATCAATTTTTGCTTCATTCAAAGAAAGTTTTAGTTTCATTGAATGTAGAAAGATTTGATGTTCATTTCCTAGTAATCCTAATTAATTGTTTTTGTTTTCAGTGTTTGCGAACATTAATTGGTCATACGGGAGGAGTATGGTCTTCCCAAATGTCAGGAACAACCATTATTAGTGGATCCACGGACAGAACATTGAAAGTGTGGAACGCCGAGTCAGGTCATTGCCTTCACACTCTTTACGGACATACCTCAACAGTGCGTTGCATGCATCTTCATGGCAACATGTAAGTTGCGTTTCTCCCAGTTTTCTACCTTTCAAGAGCTTTCGGAAGAGAGAGTCTTATCTAAAACTTGTCTTTTTTCATAATAATTTCTTTAAAATGACTTTTGGTTTTTTTTAGCTGTCCATTTGGAAGTCTGATCCAAAAAAACATTGGGAATATACCCTGAGATTGACGTATGAATCAAGAGATTCTAGAAAGTGTAGTTAGGGGGGTAAAAACTTCCTGCCCACCTGACCAGCAGGACAATATAGGTTGCATGGGGGAATGCCAGGAAAGTTTTAAAAGTTTTAAAAATGGGAAGGCTGGCTCGTATCAGCATGAAAAAGAAGAAGAAAGAAATTCATCATCTTGAAAATTTTTGGACAGACAATGTTTTTAAAAGGAAGGCTAAAAACTTGCTGCATTTATGAACATAACTGCAACAAAATACATTGAATTCAAGACACACTCTAAGGGCTGGTTATTGAAATTGATAGACTAAACAGTAGACAAAGAGAAAATAGAGTGATCCTTCTGGTGGTAGCAGGAATTGCAATGGATGAAGGTGGTAAGTAGCAGACTAACTAATGGCAACCGACAAGAGATCTGATATTTAGTACATAATTTATAAAAACTACTCATTTCAACTGATGGGATCGCTCCATTTCTTTGGTCTTCTTTGTCTATTGCTTTGTCCACCCACCAATTTGAATAATCAGTCTGCAGTTGACCAATTTGGCCATGATTATCAACTGGTATATATTTTGTATGTAGTTAAATTCTGTAAATGGTGAAACCGATTTTTCAAACTCACCACTTTCACTTTTAATTTATTTCATCAGCGGTGGAAACCGTTTTTCATTTTGTTATTTCCTTCAAGTCTGAAATCAGTTAATTATTAGTTTTAATGTCAATCCTCTAAATATTGAAGTTTTACATAAAAAATGAAGCAGAACAACCATTTTATGTTCCAAAGAGAGTGTTCTCTATGAAGTAAACCTGTGGCAAACTCAATGAAGCTGATTGAGCCTGTGTGGTAAGATTCCTGGATCCCGGTGTCCCCTCTTTCCCTGAGGTATTTGTCAGAATAAATGAAAGCTGAGACTTTTCCTCAGTGCACAATGGTCGCAAGAATTTTTATCCAAAAACCAATTTTTGCCTCAAGACTAAGATTCGCCAATCTTTGCAATTTAAGAGTCTTATCAAATTTTTGTTCCCTTTATGTGGAGTGTAAAATCAGTTTAATTGTTTCAATTTTTAGTACTACAAAGTTGCAGGCATGTGTCTAACAATTTTGCTTTTCAGCCAACTAGAAGATAATTTAGACACTCGTCTATCATCGCTTTGCTGTAATTTCACCTGCAATTGGATGTATTTATGCTAAAAGGAACTATGTTGCATTTGAATCCTTCACTTATAGTTCCTTTTAGCATGATTACGTCCAATTCTGTATATTTATGCGCTCCGCTCATGAATGTATGAAGATGGGCACAGTCAGGAAAAACTCGGAAAGGGGGAAAAGTCAGGGAAAAATTGCAACCATAGAAGGGACAAATTGTGCCATGTAGCATTAGTTTGTCCCCCTGCCATTTCCAAAAATTTAAATTATTATTCATAATCCTGTAATGTCTTGCAGGTTCGGACATTTTCTCTAAATTGGTCGGGGAATTTCAATTTGAAATTTTTGCGGCCTCACTAATGTATTAGTCAATGCAACTTTTGATATGTTTTTAGTCTAATCAATGTCAATTATTCACCGTTTCCAGAGTTGTTAGTGGATCCAGAGATGCAACTTTGCGCGTTTGGCAAGTAGATACGGGTGAATGCCTTCATGTACTAGTCGGACACCTGGCGGCAGTGCGGTGTGTCCAGTATGATGGCAAATTAGTTGTTAGTGGCGCGTATGATCACATGGTCAAAGTCTGGAACCCAGAACGAGAGGAATGTCTGCATACTCTTCAAGGACATACTAATCGAGTATACTCCCTTCAGGTAGGATAGAAGCATAAAAATAATCAGTGCTCCTTTTGTGGTTTTTATCAGTTTTCTCTAATCCCTATGAACGCAGCATCACTGCAGGCAATTGTCAGTATGCTTTAAAGAGTTGTGAACTTTTGAAAAGTTCTTGAATATCCTTAATTTCTCTGATTTTTGAAACCTTGAAAGCCTTCTCAGTATTTTTTGAAAGATTTTTTATCCTTAACATTCATGAATGACCATGTGAAGAATATCTAAAAATCTAAAGCAATTTTTTAAATTCCTCGAATTTTATGTTGGACGTTTGTTAAAAACGAATAACAAACAATTTAATCAACCTAAAAACACCGTAACAATACAACTTAATATAGGGAAAGGCTGCTGTAAAGTATAAAAGATCGAAAACAAAACATTTAAATGAAAAAACACTGGGAAGTTTTGAAATACTTAAAAACTCACTTTATACGGGGAAAAAGAAAGAAAAAATATGTTCTTGATTTGTTGTTACTGTGAAACTGAGACTGATTACGAAATAAACAAACCGTACCCAGTGCAGCAAAATCAAAGTATGTAATGACAAAAATTATCTAAAAATTGAAAATTTTTCACCAGTTCCCTCCAAAATCTGGAATCGTAAGAATTGGTCAAAAGTTCTCGGAAAGTTTCTTAAGTTTTATTTGTTTTAGTTGAATTAACTCTGGCTCCTCCAAAGCTGTGAAACACTGAAGAACGTTAAACCATGTTAACAGCTCGGAATAAAATCTGAGAGTCTGTTCTAAAAGGAAAACTTGTTTTCAATCCTAGGATTTTCAATTTTAAGTGGAGGATCAAGAATTGTTTTGACACTTTTATTTAACCAGGAACCTGGCATCAATTTTATGAACTCATTATTCTCAAAAATACCACAATTTCCTGTAAAGGTTTTTGATGTCTAAAATAATGAGCCTCCAAATATAAAAAGTGTCATGGTTTTATTGAGTCATCCTTGTCTGAGGACTTCTGGGTTCCTTTAATATGAACGTTTACCTTTCAGAAATGGCGTAATCACCCATTCATTTGCCTTTTGTTCACCACTTTAACTGTGCAGTTTAACATAGTTCGTAATATTCATTACAGTTTGATGGAAAGCATGTCGTGAGTGGTTCTTTGGATACGAGCATACGAGTTTGGGAAGTGGAAAGTGGTGCTTGCAGACACACGCTAATGGGTCATCAATCCCTCACGAGTGGAATGGAGCTCCGCAATAACATTTTAGTCAGCGGGAACGCCGATTCAACTGTCAAAGTCTGGGATATTTTAACGGGTCATTGTCTTCAAACTCTTTCAGGTAAATTTATTTGAAGTTGCAGTACATTTCCCGTACGAGTATTACAATTTAATTTGAAGTTTAAGACTGGTGTGGCACCAATGATAGGCTGTTTGCCCAAACTCCGTCTACCATGGAACTTTTTAAAAGTCGTCACAAGTGAGTTTTTTTACCTTCGTTAAATTTTAAATTAAATTCCATTATGTTAACTATGGTAAACTTAAAGGTGTCAAACCAAAAGTGTCAAGGTTAAGGTGTAAAGGTGGTAAACTTAAATTCTGGAAAGAATGAAGCAACCCTGGCTGAAAGTCGACCAGTAGTTTTCCTCCTAGTGAGTCCTTCAAACATGTAGTTCCCATCTTAGAAAAGATAATAAATATTCTGAATTTTTTGCCCACCAGGTCCAAATAAACATCAATCAGCAGTCACGTGTTTGCAGTTCAACTGTCGATTTGTCATCACATCATCAGATGATGGTACTGTCAAACTTTGGGATGTTCGAACAGGTGAGCCTTACTTTTGCTATTTTTGGAGTAGACTCTCTACTCTTTGCATTCATCGTCAGATTGTATGAATGAAAAACTATTCCTGTCATTTACTCTATTATAGCGAACACTCGCATAAGTGATAGAAATCAGTGTAGCCTGCACCAAACGATAAAACTCGCCTTTTCCAAAATAGACTGTGGCTTATTTCAGTCTGTTTGAAACTGTGAATATTTGTTTGGGATATACTGGATCTCAACCAAGATTTCTACGTATCGACGATGAAACGGAAAAGTACGTATCTTGGTCGCAGTGTCTCAGGATTACCACTCCTATTTTATTCTGTAAAAGGAGACCAAACCAAGATCATGGCTTGAGGTTATCATGGAATATTCTTCACATAAAAAAGAAAAATCACTGAAGTTTTCAAGAAATGATGTTCAGTAGTTTTTCGTGTAGAAAATGAAGAATGATAGGACGTCTGCGAGGCCCCAAACAGAGACATGACGTTCTGCGGTTTCACCTTTGGTTTACGGACAGTAGGTCTACAAGAAATAGGGCTACACAAAAAAGGGCTACCTTTTTTGGTCTACAGTCAAAATGTCCACATGAAAATTCCTATTAAAGTAGTGTCTATAGTAAAATATGTCTGCGGTATTAAAATATCTTTGGTTTGACTGCCTACTCCAAAAAGTCAAAAATTTCAAAGTACGTATTTATGTCGTCTGATAAAAATCTCATTTGAAAGTGTATCCCCAAAGACAGGACGAGGCTGCGGATGCTGCAGAAGCTGATGCATCAAAATTGTTAATCACATTTCGCAAATTATTGACCCTATAAATATCAACATGTATATTTTATTTATTGTTTTATTTTATAAATATATTTTTAGTGGCCAACATAAATATTTTGACATTTTTTAAGTGGGCAAACAAACCGTAGACATTTTAATAGCGTAGACATATTTGAATGTGGACATAATTTCAGTAGACATTTTAATGTAGACGTTTTGACAGTAGACTAAAAAAGGTAGCCCTTTTTTTTGTAGCCCTTTTTTCTGTAGACATACTGTCTGCATACCTCACCTTTGATATCTTGCTCTTTTTCCATAGTTTATCGATCCTGGTAACATCTTTGTGCCTTATTTTGGATTTTCTAATGTTTAACTTTTATGTAGCCATCTGTTCTCAGTATATTTTTTTTAATAACTCAAAATGATATCCCTACCGATGTTATTGATAGATTTTGCTTACCCATGGAACAGATATGGTTGTTATCCTGAAATTGCCATTCCGAGCTTAGAGGTTATTGACAGTAAGATGTACAAAAAATTTGTAGCTCAACAGCATGGTATTAAGTATGAGGGGCTGTTACATGAAAATAATATTCGCATAATTAGGGTGTCTAGCATCAGGAAAAACTGGGAAACCCGGAAAATATCAGGAAAATCGGAAAAATCGGACGTTTTATCAGGAATTTTTCTTACGCGAATCCTTTCAGTGGAGAAGTCTTACTGCTTTTTGCCTACCATGCCAGGAGTCATCGCGCCGTCTTTGTTTCCGATAATTTCTCACCCGTAGCGCTATAATAAACATAGTTTTTACGAAAAAAATCAGGAAAATATCAGGAATTTTCAAAATTAAAAAATACTAGACACCCTGATAATGCACATAAAATACTGGGAAATAAAGAAGGAAAGAAACTAATATAAAGAAATAAAATGAATAAACGTATAAAGTATTGTAAAATGATAAGTAATTAATAATTTTGTTCAATATTTCTTTTCCAGGTGAATTTATCAGGAACTTAGTCGCTCTGGAAAGTGGAGGCAGTGGAGGTGTAGTGTGGAGAATTAGGGCTAACAATACTAAATTAGTCTGTGCAGTAGGAAGTCGTAATGGCACTGAGGAAACAAAATTACTCGTTTTGGATTTTGACTTTGAGTCTACGTAGTAAGACCTTTACTTTTTAGTTCTAAAGAAAAATATTTGTTAAGACAATGCGCGTTATTTAATTATTTATCGTTTGTATTACTATCTTGATTATTATGTTTTACTCTTCATTGCCCCCTTCTTACGGTCTTGTCGTTCGGTTTGAATTCATTGGAGTACAATGAAACTTGAAGCTTTCTCAAATAACTCTTCAAATATTTGTCGAATGGATCTTGATCTAATTATTTTTACACAGATGATCACAACTACCACGGGTAAAATTTGGTGGTCGCAGAGTTATTTAGTTTTATAACTGTTTTTTTTTTCTTGTCTTTTTTTTGTTTTTATCGTAATTTATTTTAATCGGTTTTTTGAGCTCTATCAAGTATTAAGCGTTCCCTTTTCCTCTCTTTCTCTTTTAACTTTTATTGTTTCTTGTTTTTTGTTTTGTATGTGAATAGGCGTTAGAGTTATCGCTGCCTTAATCGTTGCCTTTCTGATGTAAGAGTGGATCTCAATTTCCACTCGAGCCTTGTGCTCTGTGTAACTCAATGCTTTCCGCAGCTCATGTGGAAATAGAGATAAGCCTGTGTCACACTATCAAAGCCAGCCATCAAAATATCAAAGTCAAGTGTTGTGATTGGCTTATTTGATGACTCGGACCAATCACAGCACTTGACCTTGACATTTTGATGGAGTATTTTAATAGTGTGACACAGGCTATGTGCTCTTACATCAGAGGAGTGACAAAACGTGGCAGTCTTTCAAACCAATCTTTTTCTGCTCATTGCAGTTCTGTAATCTTTTTTCCCCCTTTGTTGGTTAACCCTTTCCCCTGTAACACTCAGCGATTTGTTGACTTTGGCAAATCAATTATCTCTCAGTCAGGTAAAATTTTCTAAAAATCTAAGGACTGTCACCCATTCTCTCCGTAAAGAGAACAGAAATTAATAGAACTTGCTTAAAAGCTCAAAATCTCTAATTTTTACTGAACTATCTGCGGTTAGCAGTGTTTTGTCTTAGCTTATTTGGTGAAAATTCAAATGAATGTTTCATGGGTTGCAAATCTATGTGTTATCGGAACATTAATATTAGTTGTTGAAAAATATCTAGCAATGACTCGGCCAATATGGTCTTTGCTGTTTTGCAACAATTATCCGAAGGTTAGAAAATTTTAATTTCTATCCACTTTCTTTGGAAATTTTTCCTGTCTTAGTTCAGCTTTTTACATTTAGCCTCATAAATTTATGATTCTCCTTTCCCATTTCTACATTTTTGTCTGAAGTTATTTTACCTACCTCTAATCGTCAGCGTTTAGCTTGAGGTCAAGTTTTTTATTTCAGTGGACCACTAGATACAATAAGAATTGGAGCACCCTGAGATATGTTTCCTCATTAACTTTTCATGAAAAATGAGTTGACCCCATTTTAAAAGGCCATTATCAGCTTGCTAGTAAGAAATTCAGGGTCATAATTTTAAATTGAAATACTTAATTAATTTTCAGCTTGCAAAGAAACTCTGATCAATGCTGAACAAATCAACTGTTAAAAACTGAATAACAAATCAGGCAAATACCTAGACTTTTGCTCATCAAAAATCTCCCTCCTCCGTCAATGTTCAGAAATCCAAAATTGTCAAGACTTTTCAGCTCATTGAAAACATTAATTACTTGCGAAGCATACTGAAATTAATTTTGTGATTGACTTAAGTCAATTAGATCTAAGTTTTCTGGTGAAAGGGAAGTTGAAAGTAACGATTTCAGAAAACCTGTTATCTTGCTTTACTAGTTAAATCCACACATTTTTAATTTTTTCTTCGTGCCCTTGAAATTTTGGTGAGAAAACATATACTTTGGTGCCGAGTTTTTGACATTGTCTAGTAGTCCATTTGTGTACCTACTTGTTGGTTACTTGCTCCTCATTTTTTGAATCATTCTTTTTGTGCATGAGTATTTTTAAACCCTGTATAATCATTTCGGGGGTCTTGTAAGGGATTTCAGGGCACTGCGGTTCTCATCTGGAAATAATCGTTTTCAGACAAATTTGATCAGACCTGCTGCCAGCCACAGATAAAAGACCTGTAACACGTTCAGATTAAATATCTAAAGATAGGGTTTAATTTTGTCATTTTACTCGACGTTCTGAAATTTTCTAAAAGTTTCTATTCTCTATCATGGAGAAATATGATGTAGAAGAAAATGAACAGTTAAAGATTTAATAAGCAATTCTTGTCGTTTTACAGCTCTTAATTTAAAGGCTCATAATGCTATCTGTTCAGAAAATGTAGGCTCAGAATTCTGTTAATATTTTTGAGTTGTTTCTTTCTGTCGAAAATAGGAATGAAATATTTTCGATCAGAGCTCAATTTTCTCTCTGACTTGAAAATTCCTTGCAAAGAAATTCAGGGTATTTATTCCTGTGGCTGGTCACAGATATTTTATTTTATAATGATTAAATCTTAAATTAGAATTATTCCTTCCAAGGAATTTGACTTGACTGTAAGAGATCCTGTAAATCCAGCAGAATCATATTCTATTTTGTAGTAAAAATAAGTTGACCTTCCAACACTTGGAATACATCTAACAGTGTTAAAAGTTTTACGTTAATAGATTTTTTTTCCCTGTAAAATGAAAGACCTTTTGTGAAGGACCAGTTTGAGAACTGTTTACTTATTCTGTTTAAGTTACATATTTTCAGATCTATTTTAGAGCTTTTTCTCTGTTCAGTTTTTTACTCGCGCTCCTTTAAATTGTTGACTCATCAGCTTACTTTATGTCAATGTCGACTATTTATAATGTACATACTTCTTTTTTTTCTTTCTTTTTTTTTTGTACAAGACTGATATTTGATAATTGTTTTTATTATTTAAGATTTGTTTAGTTGTTTAGCTGTGAGCTGAAATCAGTTCAGCCCCTTAAAATTTCCAATTCATGCCTCCCTTCAGGTCTTTGCGCTCTCGAGTTGCGCAAAACTTTGTGGTGTTTTTGGTGTGAAACACTCGCGCCACATAATAATTGCTCAAGTTAATTTTTTTTTTCCTCTGCCTGGCTGTGTTTCCTATTTCTGGTGGCTGCGACTTTGGCCATGGCTGCAAAGTATGAAAAAGGTTTGATCGAATCAAGTAAAACATAGCTATGGAATTGCCTGTACAGGCTCAATTTGTTTTTAGTGGCTGTATGTATGAAAACAAGACCAAATAAGCCCTCCTAATGGGCCTGTTGCAAACTTTTGCTGGAGCAAAAATAAGAGTTGTTTCTTATAGATAATGCCTCAAAAATCACGATGAGCGCATCGGCAAAGTTTGAAATGCACTCATAACTTCACAGTCTGCGTAAGAAATTAGCGGTTTTTTGAGCTTCCCGCTTCAAAAACGATACTACGGCACAGGTGAACATTTTGTAAGAGGAGTCGTTCCGTCGTCGGCAATAATCATCATGGCCGACGCCCATCCGCCAAAACACGTTTGAAGGGACGAGATAACACCTGAACTGCATTAGACCAGATAACAATCGGTGTGTTAACGTTCATATTTTCCACGCCCGAATTGGTTGACCTTGAACTCTCCTCGAATTACGCGCGGAACTGCGCGCAAGCGTCGGCCATGATGAATATCGCCGACGATGGAGCGACTCCTCGAACAAAATGTTCACCTATGCCGTAGTATCGTTTTTGAAGCGGGAAGCTTAAAAAAACGCAAATTTCTTACGCAGATTGTGAAGTTATAAGTGCATTTCAGATTTTGCCGATGCGCTCATCGTGATTTTAGAGGCATTATCTACAAGAAACAACTCTTATTTTTGCTCTAGCAAAAGTTTGCAACAGGCCCATTGCAGCCAGATCATGAGTAACTTGACAAAGAGGGAGACCACAATGCCTAAATTGAAGCATTTCTTTGTTTAAACATAAAAAGTAGCGTTTAAACATAAATAAAAATCATAAAAAAATAGCATTAATAAAAATTGCAGGGTCAAAGCTGACTTGGTCCTGAAAAAAACTGCAGAATTTTTCGCCAGCATTATCAATCACTAAGAACAAGAGAAAAGAAATAACTCAAACGAAATGGACGCAACTATTTGTCAACTAATTCACGCGCGTTCTGTGCATTCTATCCATTTCGTTCAAGTTTTTTCATTTCCTATACTTTTAGCTGTTAAAAATACCAACATCGATAGGTGAAACGGTTTTTGTTTTTTTTGTTCACATCAGCTTTGTCCCTGTTACTTTTATTTGTATTTTGTTTGTCAAGTTAATTCACACAAGTTAAATCAATGATCTTGTAAAGAATTTTCTAGGATAATTATTCCTTCTCCATTTGCCTTTTGTAAGTAGTGAAAAACCTAGGAATGTCCGTGTGTCTGTCTGTAGAACCTGCGCTCCATGAGTGCGAATATACCTCTCTTTTGGTGTAAATTTCACAGGACACAAACAAAGATTAATCTAAGATTTTTCTTGGTTGAAAATATCAAACTCAAGAGGCAGTTGCACTAATTGGACTGCATTTTTGAGTATGAAACTACAATTTATGGCCCCTTTATAAAATACCTATCTGCATGGCGAAACTAATGGCACACATGTTGTTTCTGAACAGAGCCAGGAATTGTAGTTCCAAATTACAAAATGTAGTTCAATTTTCAGTTCAGAATCATTAGTTATCTAATCTCTGAAAAATTTACGTTGCTTTGTGATCCGTATCAAAGCTATTTTGGTGGTTCTTGTGCAAAGAATTTTTTTACTTTTGTCATGAAGTCTCCGTTTAAAACTGAAATCCATAGCGGCGATGCTTTTTTAATATGTTGTTAATCAGTGAAATTACTCAATTTTTCAAAAGATTACACATTGATTGCGTCTACATTTCTTTTTGTCAACTGTAGACCTTTCGTTTTTTATTAATTTTGTAGTTAAGAAGATAATATTGTATAATGACTCATGAAAATGAAACAACAAAAATGTCAAATTCCATCCTAAAATTTTTAAATTTAGATATTGTCCAATCTTTAGCGTGTTTGCATGCTAGCTTATTGTGCAAAGTGACTCCAATAAAAAGGACAAAACAAAAAAACAAAACTTGGACTACAATTGCAATTAGAAACTACAATTTCTGTATCAGTTTAAAAATGATGCATGCACCATTCGTTTCCCTACGCACATAAGTATTTTTACAGATGAGACAGAAATTTTACTTCCTAATTGCAAAATGTAGTCCAATCGACTTCAAAAGTTTCATCCCTTACAACAATAAGTAGATTGATTTAGTGAAAAATGCATTACATTTTAAAATAAAGACATTAATGAACCAGCCATTAATGATATAGCTTTACAATAGGCAAATAGACCAAGTCTGAATTAAAGCATTTCCCAACTAATTTCCTTTTCAAAATTTTAGATAGAAGTAAAGCAATGATTTCAACTACTAAATGAAAGTGAGAAATGAATGACTTTACTCCTTTTGAAGTTATAGATCAGATTTTCCGTTGAGTCTCTTCTCGTTTGGAAATTGACTTTCAGACTTTTGGTTGTTTGCACCTAATTGAATGCAAAATTCTGAAGAAACAAAGTGCTTTGAAACATATTCATCTAACCTCATCTTCAAGCCCATTCTCATACTTGCATACCGGCAATGAGTGTTAATCAATTCTGTTGTAAATCTTTCCTTCTGGAAACCCAGGTACAGCCTCTAAATTTTATTTGTACATTTTTTGTGATGTAAATATACAGCTACCAGGGTAAGCAAGAGTAATTTCCTTGCTCTTGTATTTTCATCGAATTTTAAACAGGAACTTTCTGGTTTTTACCATCAGGTAATAGATTGAATGTGCATGTTTTAGAGTATTCTATGCTCAAAAAATTAACGTAATTAGTCAGATGTGTGTAAATGACAAATTTTAACTGCTTAGTATCATTGTGAAAGGTATCTTATCCCTTCTAAAAACATGTTATCTGTCGTTATCTACCATAATAGCACGTAGAGTAGTTTCTTCCACCTAACTCTCATCAGTGTTGCACGTACATAGAGTGAACTTTGCAAATATGTGCTCAGCTAATTGCACTGCATTTTGCAATTAAGAATCATAATTTCTGGCTCTTCTGTAAAAACACTTATGTGCTTGGGGAAACTAATGGGCTTACGTTGTTTGTAAACTGAGCGAGAATTCGTAGTTCTTAATTGAAAAATGTAGTGCAACTGATGAACCTAAGGGGGAAAAAACTGTGATATGCGTTTTTACTGAGAATAACGTAATGCATCATCTTTTTCAGAGGGGGTACCTCTGTCATTACATGACGTGAAAACTTGATGTTGGGACAGTTCTCATTATTTTACTGTACTCTGCAATCAGAGCAAGATTTATCAGTATGCTCAACTGATCTGTTCATAACTAAAAATAAAATCGTCAAGTTCAAAACAGCCAGAAACTCGAACAGTGAAACTTTCACAATGAAAAATCTGCATGGGCAAGGAATTTCCTTTTGCTTATCATGGTATGTGTACTTCTAGTTTATAGGGACCTTAAAATTTTTGTCAATAAATTCTTTGTAACAAAAACAAAGGATTGAATAAAATAATTTCTATTGATGAAAGTGTTGTTGAATTTTATTGCGTCTCCAAATCTATTTTTAGTGCCATATCAATCTGTCAGATGAATGTTTTAGAATTTCACAAATTTTAGGAAGTATTAAAATTAAAGCTGGGCCTCTGGCGAGTAAGTTGTACAATGTATCGGCTGTTTTTTAAATTAAGTCATAATTCACCTGATCAAATAATTCATCCAATATTATTCGATTCGGCAAGATTGAATGTGCCGTCACATTTCAGTCTTCATCTAATGTTTTGAATGATGGTAATTCTCTTGTTACTAAGTTGCACTATCAAATTAATTTGATTCAGTGTTGTATAGAAAATCTGATGGAAAGCCTGACTGTGCAACCTTGATAATGATCAATAAAAAATTTTACTAAGGTTGCAGACAGCCCTCTAGCCTCCTCTTTAAAAAATCAACAAATAGTTCCTCCTAGAAAACATGTTTTTTGACTCATACGGTATACATGTTTTATAAATCCACAAGTCCCGTGATTGATTTTAATTTCTACGTCTAGAACTTTGTACACAAACAAAATGCTTTAACACAAGAATACCTACTGCCATCTTTTCTTTTATTTTATTTTTGTGGGTTCTCCATGTAAAATGATACCTTTAGCAATCCTGGAAATTGAAAGAAAGAATGTCCACTGGTTCGCCTATAATGGGACATTTTTCAGAGAAATAATTGAAAAACTTACTATGGAACCGGAGGTTTCCAATGTGGACAAAGACTTTGAGATCTTTTTTTGTTCAACACTGAGTGCAAACAAAGAGCTATCCAAACTGATGTGAAAAATAATTTTTTTCGATCTGAGTCAAAGTTTACAAATACCTCGCAAAAATATGTGAAAAATAACGTCTGTTAACTCTTTAAGCCCTCAAGTTTCTGGTTGAAAATTCAAATTTCCGTTTTTGTATCTTCAGCTCCATAATTTGACCTCGGTTGCAGGTAAGTGTACCGCGCTGAATCATAGAATAATATCTGGTAACTGGTAAGTGTTGTGTTGAGTGGTTTCTTTAGCGCCTTGCCACGTCTTGTTGAACGTCACACTGAGCGAACAACAGCACTGAGTGAACATTTGCAGTGTTTCAAATTGAAGGCGCTTTGATGCCATTTCCTATACATATTTCATGTTATCCTTCAATGTCGTTCGTATCATGAGTCACGGGGAAAGGGATCAGCTGCTCGTGCAAGGTTGAGGCAGAGGCATTGAGGTTTCAATGCAAAATTTGAACACGACGAGGTTGCTGAAGTAATTTTTTTCCAATCAACGCTTGAAGAAAGTGAATTTTGTGCAACATTCCAACTCAAACAAGGACGCTTAACTAGGATCTCCAAATTCGAAGCAGCACAGTTTTATTGATAACTCATTAATTTATTCACGGCGTGAATTCTTCCATCATTCCTACTCTCACCTAGTGGCTTTTTGCGCCAGTTGTCAGGTAAGTTTTTATATCTAACAATATTTTTCTACATTCTCATCAGCTCGGGGATCATGTTTAGGTCGCAAGCCTCAGCCTCTTCTCATTTACCTGAAATCTAACCTTTCCTAACCATATAACATGTTGAGTTCAATTCACTATCACTTGGGGTTTGCTTGAGAATATGTTTTTCCTTTATGTTAGGAAACTCCTCAAGTGGTTGCAGCTTGGTCATCATCTTATTTTTTATCTTTCCATCAATTGAAAGTGAGACTGACTTTACCATTTCACTTGAAGGTTTTCAGCACTTGAAACACTATCAGTCAGAAACGCAGTCCTTTTCCGCATGGGACCGTCACTCCCCAAGGTAGAATATGACTGCTTTCACATCCATGTTTGTCGCTTGTCCCTTATCTTTCCTACTCTCGACCCAACTTTTGCTTTTCAATCGAAAGTATGACTCATTCTTTTTGAATCCCATCAAATTTTCATTGGACGAATTGCAGTGGAAACAGAGCTGCTCGGGGCATGTCTTAATTCCTTTTTTATAAGCGATCATAATTAGTTGATGTCTTTCAGGTTTCTCAAATAATTCTGCTACTATCTGATATCTATAAGCCAGATTTCAAAACTGAGACTTGGAAGTCACCTTAGCCATTTGCTCTGCTATTCTTTTCGACAAGATTAAGGTGGTTCGACGGTTGCCATTTCATGTGTTAGAGCGACGTCTGATATATTGCATCAATTCGTTCCATCATTTCAGCTACTTCTCATTTTTTTTCGAATTTTGAGATTGCCCTATTGTTGTCATGAGACTAAAGAATTTATGTACCAAATTTGACAAAGAAATTCAACGTAATAAAGGCAGGGTTTTTTCAGAGGTATAATATCGCATTCGAGTGCAGTTTCAATATCAATATCGAATGCGATATTTTTCTGCTAAAAAAACCCTTCCTTTATTACGTTGAATTTCTTTGTCAAATTTGGTACATGACCTCTCCAGTCTCATGACAACAGAAGTACAATCTCAAAATTCGAAAAAAAATGACAAGTAGCTGAAATTATGGAACAAATTGATGCGATATATCGCTTGTCGCTCTGACACAAAAAATGGCAACTGTCGAGTCACCTTAAGCTTGCAAATGATTTCACACCAGTATTGCCAATTCTATCCAGCTCAACTCTCAATGTGGAAATGGTGATTTGAACAAAGCATTCTATGTTGTACTTGACCTTACTTCATGTACAATATACATCTCTTGCAATAAAAGTATCAAATTTAACTGATCAGCACAGGGATTGAAGGACGCAAATCACATGGGGCACCGTGCGAGCTTTTAATTTTTCTTGATCAAAGAACTAAGGTCCAAATTATTGGTGTCACTGTAGACAAAGTCTGACGTGACTTCAGACTTAGGCACCACTCTCTCCCTCAGTACTTTAATTTGGACGCATTTCTGCCTAATGGAACTATGTGCATTTTGACGTGAGCCCTGTCATTCATACATGCCCGTGGGTCTCAGGGCTCATGTGTTAATGTACATGGTTCCGTTAGGCAGATACATCTATTTGATCCAGTAGCATAGGTGAAGCTAGGAAGAAAGAAGCAAACAATTAAGGCTTGAACGTGACTCGGTCATTTGGTAATGTATACTCGCCTTTTTCCAGATTTCGATAAAACATGGCTGATCAAAGTGAGCCGATGATAGCTGAGGACAGCTGCACTTCTTCAAACGCCATGCCAGCCAGCTGCCAACGGCCAAACGTAGAAGTATCACCAAAAGATGTTGAAAAAGCTGAAGAAGAAAAATTGAAAGCCAAGTACAAAGTGGGCTTTCCTATCAGTGGACATTCGGTATTTTTGCAGAAAAAATTGGCCAAAGGAGTAAGTGAAAACTATTTTCCGCTTTTTTTTATTGTTATGAGAATCTAGGATGATGGAGAAAAAGATGAGGGCGCATCAAAAGACATTAGGGTGCACATTAGAGCACTCGGTAGTTGCAAACATTACATCATCAAGTCCTCAAGTATCTCTGCTAATAGCAGAATTAAGTAAAGTGCAGACCTAAAACCCAAGCTCACACCTAGTTTTAAGGAAACGAAGAAGATTTTTTTTAAAATGTTTTCCCCCTCCCCATCCTTCATTTCTCTGAATTCAAAGAAATGAAGCAAGGTTTGTCAAGTTGCATGCTATCTAAATATGAAGATGAAATCTCATTAAGTTGCAGTCAGGCCTATCTCCAAGAAGGAAGCAACTGCCACCACAAGAGTCAATTGAAGTATGGAGGTGGTAGCATCGTTAGCCTACTTTCTGGTAGTATTGCAGTACATTGCTGCTATTTTATTTTGCTGAAAACTCATGATTTTTTTTGGCACTCAGCAGAAGTATTAAGTAAGCTATTTAAAGAGAAGGAGAGGGTCAGAGCTTGACTTAGCCCAAACTTATGGAAGCCTCCCTCTCTGAAAAAAATATCTTCCGTTAAAAATAATTTTTCCTGTCATTTTTACTCATGGGTTTCTCTGTTATTTTTTTAAATAATTGGGAGCGTCGTACATTATTCAAAAAAGAAATTGAGAGGGTGTCCTCCGGGGGAAGGATTAAAAAGTCCATCAGGATGGCTCATTTAATACTGAAGCAGCTCCCATGTATTTCTTACGGATTAAGAATTTAAGCTTTGAAATTTGAGCCTGAGCCTTGGAATTTAGTGGAGTGTCGAGTGATATTTGCGCTTGTTTCCTATTTCAAAGCTCCTCCTCTAGCCCATGTCAGCCTTCCAAAACTGTTATACTAAAGCCTTTTTTCCAAAACTCAATTAAGGGGCTTGGAGGACAAGGCGCATAAGTGCAGTTTTTGCTATTTTGAAAAATACGCGTCAGAAGTCTCGTAATTATATGGATCCCTCTGGTGGAGAGAATGTTCAAACTCACTTTCGATGCTTTAAAATTGGAATTTGGGAGCAAATTTTCCTCAAGAGTTTGCATGAAAACTAGTTTTACTTGAAATCATTAATGTCTCAATTTTTTCAAAAACTGCACCTACGCATCTTGTCCTCTAAGCCCCTCAATTTAGGTATGTCTTTATGGCCCAATTTTACTACTTTTTAAAAAAATCTAACATTTTTTTCCACTGTTTCAGCAAAAATTCTTTGACTCTGGCGACTATAACATGGCAAGACAAACTGTAACAGCCAAGAAAAATCCTCAAGTTACTTTACCGGAAGAAAAATTCTCCCTCGGAACCGGGGAAGCAATCCCAACTCCAGAGACAGTTCCTATCCGCAAAACATCAATCATTCAGCCAAAATTCATGCCTCCAAGTTCCACTACATCATGAAATCGCTCTGGTTTCAAATCACTGCTGTATTAATTTTGTAAATAATTTCCTAGGTAATTGAAATTAAGTATTAATCAGTTGCTCTGTTAAACGTACATTTGCTCATCAAGATGCTAGACTCTCGTAAATGTCTTCAATCCAAAAGCATCATTATTTTTCTCTATCTCTTGATGAAAAACTATTATTTTTATAACGTTGATTTAGTCATAATCTAATTTAAATGAAAGCATTGTCATTGAACCAACTAAGGAAATCAAATTATTTTTAAAGCTTAGGTTAAAAGAAAAACACTAGCAGTATTCGCAGTTAATTTTCGTAAATTATTTTGATAGACATGCCGAATTTGGGCTGACTGATGATTTTTATTTTTAGCCCAGGTTTTGCTCCAGGTTGTAAATATCATAATTCTCCATTTAGGCTTGTTTTAATGCTGATATTAACCTAAAATTGTAAAGACTAATGACAAATGAAATGATAGCATGGAAAAGAATTACTTTTAAATTGACCCCTGTTTTATTTAATTTTATTTTTTTTCTCCCTTCCTCTCTTCAAAGAAGAGTCGTCAAGAGTAGGAACTAGCTCTTCTATCAAACTAGCATATTTTTTTTGCCCATGACACACTTGAACATACTTTCTGTTAATAAATATTTTCCTCTCAAACTTTAAACCAAGAATTTTTTTTAAAAAAATTGATGGCCAAATTTTACTTTCTTTCTTCTTTATTTGAACGTTGAAAAAATCAGTCGATGAATGGCTATGAAAATTCGTTAAACTAGGTTTTTATATTAGCAGCAACTTCAAATTTTGATTAAAATTCCGAACTTTGATGACTACTGACCCTCATCTGTTACAAAATACTTCCGGGCATGTTAGAAAGCTAACTTGGTGAATTAATTAGTAAGTAAAGGAATAATTGCTGAAGTGTTTTTGTATTATTTGAAAGCTGCTGAAGTATTTAATTTTGTAAGTCACTTGGTTAGTAGTAACGCTCAATAGTTAACAGTGCCACAGAGAGAGTTGAAATTTTACGTAATTGAAAAAACATCTTTCTCATTTGTATTTTGTCGTAAGCAAAAAAATACCTAGGCAAGAGTGGAATTTTTACTACGAATCCTCAAATTATTCATGATGAGTCAAAATCTATCTTCCCGCAAAATTTCAAATGCGGATGTCTTATTTCAACTGAGATCTCTTAAGCTCCACATTCTTCCCAATTGCTTCAAATTAAATCTTTTTTATGAGTCTCCCATCAAAAACTCTGCTCGTTAATAGAACAAGTTTGTTTTTCCAGTGAACAAATTTTTTCTTTTGGCATTGCCATTCTTTATTGTGAAATCGCCACATCAAAGAGATCGAATGATTGTTCTTTTAATATTAATGTAAATTCAAATATTTCAGATTAAGATTATCACTAGATGTAGATTTAGCAACCTGAGATTGCATTTTCTGAACCTAAGAGAGAAAGAGTCGTCGCCTAAATACCCATTAGTCTGCAATGTCATGAGTTATTCAGAATAAGTTCTGCCTTCAAATTTCAGGACTTCTTTTAAATTCAAGTGTATTGAAATTATCATTCAGAGTATTTGTGACTCAATAGTTATCTAATTTAGATTAAGATGCCCAAGTAAATTCCATCTCAGAAGTAAAAATATCGGATGTCGGGCGCAGTGTATCACTGGATGGTCTGCCCTCGTTTTTGTGGACTTTTTTAGATTAATTGTTCCTTAAACTTTGTTTCTCTGTATGTTTGCATTTGCACGACTTAATGTGGAAATTTTTATGTGCTACTTTTCTTCTTGTTGCCATTTTAGTTTTTTTTTAAATTTTTAATTCTCTTAATTTTTTTGAGATTATATTTTAACTGTCAAGGATCAATGGATGCCCATTAAATTTTTTTAATTTTGTGCTGATTTCAAATTGCAAAATATCTTATTTATTAACAAAATATCTGGACCTGTGTCTTTTGAAATTTGCTTTTAGAGAAAAATTCAAACTCTCGATAAGATTTTCTAACAACTACTGTGCATGATGAAAAAGAAGAAAGAGAAACAATTAATCAAGAATTTTCTGGCTTTATGAAAAATATAAATCTTATTTATCGATCACTTTAAATAAAGAACGCAGAACTTTTCGACTATTCCAACTGCTTACTATCATAAAATCCAAGAACTAGAACAAGCAAGTAATGGAAAGAAAAAGGTACAATGGTTACAGCTAAAATTGCGTTTTTCTTCAGAATTTTTCAAACTTTGTACAGATGTGTCTTATGATTTATCATTCAACTAACACTAGCCTAGACATTCATCTCATGTGTATCAAAACTACCAAAGTAAATCCAGGATTAAAATTTTCTCTTCATAGTTTGAGGCTTATCATTTCTTCTCCAGAATAGCCATTCCGAAGATAAAATATTCTAGTCTTATTCATTAGAGAATGTTGTTGATCAACCAAAGATTAGCCAGGGGTATGTAACCGCACATGGTGGAGTTGGTTATCTGTCTTAGATTTGTCTACTACAATTTTCATACGCTTATGAACTGTTGCAAGGCACTGTGCCTTTAAGCCCTAGCAAGAATATTCCTCAGCAGGCCGATTAGTTATATACCGATACCGAATATTAGCTGAATACCGATTTTGAAACTGCAGACATGCATACTTTGGTTTGCAAATTTCCCATCATATTTTATTTTCTACATCAAAAACTACCAACTGTCATTTCTTGAAAACTCTGGAGATTTTTCTCCTCCATGTGAAGGCATTTTGTGCAAATTTCAAGGCATGATTTGCGTTTGGTTTCCTTTTAAAGAATAAAATAGAAGTGGAGATTTTGAAACACCGCAACCGAGATATGCATTTTTACAGTTTCACCGTCAATGTGTGTTCTATTTGGTGGATAAAACAAGACCAAAATGGAATTTCTTACACTGTGTGATTGGACGACTGTGTTGAATAGACAACCAGCAAGAAATCATCGGTTTCTCTGCGTAAAAATATTGATACTCCAAGTCAAAGAATGCATATTTCAGTATGCTGCGTTGTAAGTCTGGGCTCATGCTTTATTTCTTTTAAAGAAAACAAACCACCCTGTTTCCAACCGAAATTTTTTGTGAACTTTCTTCACCCATTAATAGAAATCTTTCTGAAGTGCTAGGAAAGTTTTCGATAAGTTTTTCTCAAGGAAACTTAAATGATGATTTTAAACATTGCAATTGATTCAAATGCATTTTGATGGTGTAAGTCAGCAATCACATAATTCGGTTTGCGACATTCCAGACTTCTTGTCTATTCTATTTTTTAAATGGAAAACTACTCAATGGCAATCCTTTAAAACTGCAAGTTTTCTTCTCAGTGCGAAGAAAATTCTGCATAAACTTCAAGGAATGATGTCAATTTGTTCTCCTTTAAAAAAATAACATAGAGGCAGAGATTTTCAGACACCGCAAACGAGACTTGTGATTGTGAACTTACGCTGTTGATTTTTCATATTTAACCATTGATACCAATGTGACTTGGCACTATTAACAAGTTTCTCAATGCATATCTAAAGTACTAAATTATCACTCTAATTCGGGTACTTTTCTAAAAATATAATGTGCCTTTGTAGTCTTACAAAAATTTCATTTCAAATACTTGGCATCTACCTCACACCATCACAAGTAATTTCTTACAATTTAGTAGAAATGTGTGTGCTAACTTTTTCCGCCTTCTTTTTTTGATAGGAATTTTTCTATCTAAAAGTAAGTGATCCTAATATATTAGGAAGGGATCCCTAAAGAGTTTCTTAATGAACAGTTTTTTCTTGTGAATTCAAATGTAACAAAACGACTGCTGATTGAGAATATACTTTTATATAACTGCGGATGGGAGGGGAGGAGACAGCAGCCTCCAAAATTCGACACCCATCTCGCCCTGTTGGGGGGGGGGGGGATTACCTAAATATGCAGGACCATAGTGAGCGATTTACGTTATCCGTTTGACCTTTTTCATTCTCTCTACATGTCTGGCACTCCGAACTAAAAAAAAAAAAATTCCAATTTTAAGACTTCAAGTTTTTGAAAATGAATAAACCTGTTGCCGCAGCAGAAAATGAAAAATGAAAAGGGCGGGAAAAAACGTTCACGAACGTTTTTAAGAAGTACGTAAGATGCGGCTCAAGATATTGTCTCGTTGTCTCGGAACGTTCGTAAGAAGTTTCTCTCAACATCTGGCGCGAGAGGAGGGAACGCTTTTTTAAACGCTTGGCATGAGGGCGATGGTCTCTAACGAGGCAAAAACGCGCGGTGGGCTCATACCATGGCCAAATGATAAAAGAACATGCTCTCGAGATGCCGCAAAAAAGCGGAAATCGCTCATCCTCTGATTTTACCGCTCCGAATTGAGTCTTTGCGGCTGAAAATCGTAGCGGAGCCAACCATTAGCGAAATGGCCAGGAGTGTAAGAGCATTTGAGCGAATATGAATGAATTTTAATTCAGAAAACGGCTACGCAGTTTACTCACGGCCTCCACATCACGTTCTTACAACGAGGCGATATGCGGCATTTCTCGTGTGCTTGATGGCGGAAATTAGTGGAAGTTCACTTGAGAAGTCGAGGATTTAGCCCGCCTGCTGTTCTTTTCTGTGCACGCCCTCCCTAATCACCGTCATTACTAGGTCCATTTTTTTTAGTATAACCAAAAAGTTAATAACTTTTTGTAGATATAAATATATTTTAATACTATTTACTTCTATTTATGTTGCTGTTTTTATTACTTTAAACATGAGAAAGATGCCAGTCCAATTCTTAACGACAAATCTGTAGGGAGTACGTGTCACAAAAGAAACAGCCATCTTCCCGAGGTTTCAATTGTAATTGCAACTTGAACGCCATTAGTCAAAATCGTGTCTATGTGTTAAATTCAAGTTATTTTGAGTTTTACTAGTTCTCCTCCGACTTTAGTGATTAATGATTGTTACTATTTTCAGTTAAATCAATAACAATCTTTTCGATTCCACCTTTTTATCCGCATTAATCTATTTTGAGTTTATCTACTACAGCCTGAGTTTTGACTAATGGGCCAGGCTTTGTCATCGAACAACGCGACGGTAATAGCTTCAACGAGACGAAGTGTAGCGGCTTGTGTAATATCGCGAAAATAACCGAGTACGTGTTTATTGTCGCGTTTAAGCTACAGTTCGAAATCTATTTCGAGTGATCTTCCAAACGAAGGTACAGTTCGCAAGGTTTATCGACCAGTGTTTGTCGCTCAAAACGCGAATGGTGATGCAATGGATTTTCCCCCCGAGTGAGCGGGTTTTGTCAGCTCATGCAACGCAATGACCACCCTCCGTCACGTGGGAGTGAATCTCTAATCCAATTAATTTCATCGCGAAATATTGCGCCCGATGCCCTACTTCAAAATTCATGTTTCAGCTTTTAATGTCATACAATATTGTACCGCCAAAAGGTAACAAGATCCGGCAATTTGTAATGTGATCAATTGTGACCGCGAGTCCGTGTCGGATCTGGAGCACGCTCCGACTTTCGGCTGCGTGTTGTTTCTAGTAATCCTTTGTATTGAGCCTGGCTTTCGTCGATAGTTGTTCGCACCGAAATTTCGCGTGTTTAATGCGTTTGTGTGCTTGTTTCGTCTTGTTTTTGACTAATATACCGGCAACGATATTGATTTAACGTGTTTCGGTTCGTGTGATAACCTTTTTATTTTGTCTAGATCAAAACATGTTTCATCAGAAATGCACATCGAGTGTCTTCAGACCATCGTGTAATTGTTTACCAATACGAACCAGTATTCTTTGTTTTCTCCAGTAACTATGACTTGATTTTAATTCTTTTTATGCAAGTGTAGAACCCGAAATTCGTGAATGTAGACTGTGTTCAGTGCGGAATCCCATGTATGAATGGGAACTCAGGTTGCCTTTTTGAGGCGTAATCAATGTTGTCATGGCCCCTGTCCCATCAGAAAATGCTCGGTTTGATTCTCTAAAGCAGCATCCTATCGACGCAGTGTTGTCTTTGATAAAACTCAAATCAAAGCAGAAACCAAGGAGCCAAAGTGATCCAACCAAGGATTCATCCTGCGAGGAAACAGTTGAATCTCTCTTGCCTGTTAACTGTGAGTATGACGTGCAGTTGATGAAATTGTTACAGTCTCAAAGCATTTACAAGTCTGATATTGACTCTCTCTACAAATCCAATGATAATTTCTCCCGAGTTCTGTGTGCGAAAAATCAGCTAAATACTAAGTCGCCTACGAAGGCCTCGGGAATCAAGTCGCTTCATAACAGTGCTGTGAAGCCGATAATGAACAATAGTGACATGCCTATGGGTGATTTGAATAACATGGGGCTGCAAAAATCTAATTCAGAAATTCTCGGTCAGGAAACAAGCCTGTTCATTAAAGAGAAGAGCTATCCGAACGACATGGAACAGTTACTGAAGCAACTTGGACCCGACATGCTCCCTGATTGCAATAGTGCTGATGGTGCTGGTGATATTGAAAATGTTGAAGAGATATTTCAAGCTATTAAGAATTTTGAATCTAACAACACCTCCGAACCAATGGTTTGCGGTGACCCTGGCGAGATGGACAATATGGTCTCCGAGGCGAATGATGACAATGAAGTCATTTTTCCTATGGCTGACTCAGCTGACATTGCTGGCAGCCTTTCCAACTTTTTCAATGATGTTGACATGATGGGCATCTGCGTTGATGACAACGTCGCAGATATCCAGTCTGGGAAAGATGCCAAATTGAAAGACACATTGAATGAAATGCAGAAGAGACAGTTTCACCTGCAGCGGAAAGAAGAGTGGCTGAAGCGTAGAATGCACAAAATGCAAGCTAGGCAGATGACGAAACAAGCAAGTGAAGATGTTGTCAGTTTTCTAGAGTTCGCTAGTAACTCATCCGGTGAGACTGCATCTTTAAGACCTTTGCTGAACTGTCAAAATGCCCTAACCAGCGACTTGAAGGCGTTGAGGAAGAAGATGCCGTATGCCAATACTTCTATATTTTTCCGTCGCCTGGAGCAGTCTTTGAAACAGAGGCACACAGTGCCCACCCTCAAATCGTCGGTCAAATATTTTGGGTCTGGTCGATCGAGCAGTGTGTCGAAAGGTGTGACAGTTGTTACACCCAAGTTAAGTGCGGAAGTGCGATCAGAATTAGAACGGGTAGCTGGAACTTCACTGGCACATCTGGATGCGGTTCAACGCGCCCTTGACTCGGATGCCACTGCCAGTAGCTCTGGTGCGGAGAGCTGTGATGAAATGCAAAATTTCAACAACCAACATCAGCAGCATCTTCCCATGTGAGTATTACATTATAACTTACTCTCCAAGTGCTCTGTTCATAAATCTGCTTCCTAAAAGAGATTGAAACTTGCATGGCAAGAGTTGATACTTTTGCAAGCTTCTTATATATTGGACAATTTATAGCGGAAATACTGCCATGATTTTAGCGTACCCTGCAAAATCTTTCTGAGCATTGCTAAATGGCTAATTAAGTATTCCATCACTATCTTGTAATTTTGTTCAAGTTAGTATCTTTCTACAATGTTGGCTTGTTGACCAATTTTAACAATTCATCCATGGCTGAAAAAATTGAAGATTTCACAGGGATGTGCTACGAGTAAATAAATAGGTTCCTGAGAAATCATCCATTGTCGAATTCAAGGTTTCACAATTGCAGTGGTTTCTTTTGCCCTGCAACACTGATTAGATCGATCTCTTTAGTAAACGTCGAAGTAACTATACTTAAGTAGGGAATTTTTTTATACAATTGCTCTAAGGGCTTTTAAGGCGGTTTGGGCTGGTTCAATTAGCCTGAACCAACCTCAACCCACCTTGGAAGAGTGGTCCAAGCGTTCCACAGGAACACATGGAATGCACTGGAACGCGCCAGTGGAACGGGATAAAAAAGTGATGCGTTCCGTTGCGATCCACTGTGGTTCGGATTAAGAAAAAGCCCTCTACATTCCTAAGGTCTTAAACCTTTTTGTGTCTGTAAGTTACAACGATATCATCTATTCAAGTTCTGAAACTTTGTATCGGACATTGGACGTCCTCTCATGAGCCGATTTAAATACTTTTTTTATAATTTTTGTAATTATGTACTTATTCAGACATCTGGAAGAAATTACACTGCTTATCTCAGCTGGATGTAATTTTTAAAATTGTCTGGTGACCAAAAACAAAATGACAAACTCACATATATTCAGGCGCTGTCTTTAATCGACGCTTTGTCTAATTTTTGATCAACTGAGGTATGGCGTCAGAACAAAACTCACCAAAATGCATAGCAACTGAGTAACTTATGGACCTCAGTGAATCGCTAGGTAATTGGGATTCACTCATGGCAGTCTGTGAGTCGCCCTATAGTAGTTCATCAACAGTCCTCTGGGCAACCTGTTAGGCAGTTAACTGAGATGAACAGCGTTTCTAAAATTATTAACTTTTGGTAGAATTAGGACAAAGGCGAGAATGGTCAATCACCAACCTAAATGCATCAATCAAAAGTGGTCCATTGGTTAGCATATAATGACAGCGTAAGTCCACAATCACATATCTTGTTTGCGGTGTCTGAAAATCTCTGCCTCTATATTATTTTTTTAGAGGAGGACAAATTGAAATCATTCCTTGAAGTTTCTACAAAATTTTCTTTGCACTGAGTTGAAAAATCATGGCAGTTTTAAAGAATTGCAGTGGAGAAGTTTTCAGTTTAAAAAATGAAGTATGACAGAAAGTCTGCAACGTCGCAAACCTAGTTATGTGATTGCCGACTTAGAGCGGACTCACCGTATGTTGAGAAAAAAGTCAAGTAGTGTTTAGGTCACCACTCGTCAGTGGTGCCATCCGACTGCATGTATTAACCTGTTGAGTGGTGCTAATTCGGAGGTAATCAGAGATTGACATTTTTCTCAACATACAATGAGTCCGCTCTACACCATCAATAAATTTCTGTTGAATAGTGACATTTCCTATTGTAACTTTTGTCCAATCTTCTCCATCCTCAATTCTACTATTACTTAGTTAATTCTATCTCAAGGTTCAGAACTGCTTTTGTGCCTGAACCTCACAACTGCTATTTTATTTGGGTTTGGAATTTCCACTGGTTGATGCACTGGTTGTGCATGACTTTGGTACTGCCTTGCAAGGTAATCCTAATGCCGGAATCACACGCCAAATTTGGGATCTGAATGTGGAAGTCATCGGATTGATGCCAGACTTTTGCGCTGGTCACGCAAAATTCAGCAATAGTTGTCGGCGACCATCGGATAATGTCCGATTTGTCTGAACTATTCGAATAGATTTAGTACAAATCTGGATGAAAACAACTGGAATTTGCACAATCTTAGCCGTTGAGCGATGACTGTTGACCTCCCTATTCAGCTGCCAAATTCAGCGAGTGATTCCGGCATGAAAAGGTTCGACTTATTGAAAACCAGAGGTCCTGATCGGTCAAAACTGTTGGCAGCCATGTTCATTAGTGTTCAGGATTGATTTAACAGGATGGAGCAAATTCTTTTAAGGATATTCAGCTTTTTATTTAAAATTTGCTTTGCGATGATGTTGCCTCAGATTTAATTAAATGTTTTAACTAAAAAAATGAAAGAAAGAAAACAAAGTCCTCACTTTCAGAATTTTACTGGAGTAGACTTCATTTTACAAAAATGGACGATGAGCATCTAGAATAGGTCGTAGAAAATTGTTGCTTCTAATGGTACAGTCTAATGTAGATGGGAAAATGACAAAATTTACTGGACAATTTTGTATGTCATTACTTAAATCTCTTTTCAGGTCTACTTACAGATAGGAACCGATCAAATTTTTAGGTTTTATTGGGAAACAAAAAAAGTTGTATAAAATCTTAGTGGATTTGCAGTGTCAATGGTTCTATTTGGAGAATCCAGTCCAAGGAACAATTAAAAATTAGAATTTTTAGTTCATCTCTTACATCAAAGGATGATACACATAATTTTTCCCTGTAAACTTGATTCAATTTTAACTTCCATCAAGTGAAAGTAAAATGATAAATGCGAAGGTTTTTTTCTGAAGTGTTGTAAAACTGATCTCTGTCTCAATCCAGTTAGGATCATATAATGACACAAAAAAAAGGGAAAGCAAAAATTAAATGCTAATTAGGAATTTGAAAGTTATCTTATTTCTATTACATCATCAGTTGCTTCATCTGATCATTCATATGAATGAGTAGCTGCAATTAAATCCTTTTATCTCTCAAAATACGCTCAAATGTAAATACAATTCCCTGTTCTTTGGAGGATGGTATTACCATGTTGACAATATAATCTGAGTGGCTCTATTCAGAGCTGCCCCAATTGCATTCTGGTCTTATAGCTTTGTTTGTATTACTAATATCTTTATGATTAGTTGGAAAAGCTCTAACTTTCATTTTATTTTATCAATAATTAAATAATAACACTAAAATGCAATTTTAGAATTGTGCCCTCATATGAATACCTAGAAATGTATTTGAATGGTTTCAAAAAAAAGTTTGCTCCATTGAATTTTGGTTACTAAATGGTAGAATTGACAGTGTAATAGGTAAGTTCAATGTAATAGTGCACCTCAATACGATCCTTCTCACATTTTCTTCCAGAAGAGAGTGCGACAAACTAATTCTTTTGTTTTCTCTGTTTCAGAGCCAAAAGAAGCCTGTGGAAGTATGTCAAAGAAAGGGCCTTGATTGGAAGCAAGTGGGTATGGCTGCAAGCTCAAATTGCTGACCTACAATACAAAATTCGGGAATACGATGAGTTTCTTAGCAAAGTCAAAGCAACGAAAAAGTGCGTTGAGCTGAAGCCAGAAAGTGCGGCGAGTAGTAGTAGTGTGGTTATCAATGGTTATCATGGCAGTTTGCCTGGTGCTGTTCCCGGTTCGAATAAAGATGATGATGAGAGTGCGAGTCATTGTGCCCGGACGCAGCCATTTTGTCGGAGTTCATTTTCAAATCGTAAGCTTGGTCGTGTCTCGGATATTTTTAAAGTTAGTAAGAAGCCAATCAAGCGATCAACAGTCATGTGTAGGTGCACTTCTTCGTTGTCGTGTATTCTGTGTGCGGGATCGGTTGATAAACCAACGCTGGCGCCGAAACAGTTGCCTGATAGTTCCCTCCCAGAAAGGATTGCTGCTCTAGACCCCGGCTTTCATCCCATCTTGTCTTTTAGTAGTGGTGAGTCTCCAATTTTTTTTTCTCCTTTATTTGTGTGTGGTGATATCATTTTGTTGGTTCTAGTACCTTCAGTAGTTCTTAATTCTTATTCTTTATTGTCATGAATGCTCATTATGAAAATACATAGGACTGCCCAACAGTCAGGATGGTTGCAGTAAGGGAAATCCGGACATGTCGAGGAAATCGTCTAAAAAAGCCAGGAACCAAAAGCAAAATGACGAAGAAATTGAGGAACTGCTTTAGAAAAGGCATGTGTCGAATCACCTGTCGGTCAAGAAAAACTCTAAAATACAGGAACCTAATCATTTGTAGCCACCCTGAAAAACTCAAGGCTTCAAGTGGGTGGCTGACAATGAGTGAAAAAGTTGAAATCAAACTTTCAGAACTTATGTAATTCTAGAACCAACAAAAAGTTATCATATATGTATATTCAAAGGGTGGGGGAGTGGAGGGGTCGTTAATAAGTCAAATAATATCACTGATGTTAGCTCAGCACGCTCCGCCTTTTTATTGAAAACATCGGATGGTCCGTAAGTTTTACGGAAGCTGGCTGCGCTATGCGGGGTTTCTGACCATCTGGAAAGTCAGAAAATTCTCAGTGTGAAAATTGTGGAATTTAGCAAGCAGCGACTAGTAAATGTCAGCGCACTTGAAAGGAAAAGAACCAAATGAAAGTTTGGTTCGAATATCGTGGAATTGGAAACGCTTGTGTCAGGAAATCAGTAAATGATGAAATTGAAACCCAATCAATGTCATAGAATGAAAAATGACTGCTTTAAAAGTTTATCACTAGCCCTTGCTGGCAACAAGGCGGAAAGACTTACCAGCGTATTGACCTTTTTCTTTAAGACTCTTATGTCTGGAAATTCTCATAAAACTTCTTTTTACAACAATATCCACTCTCTCACACAAAAAGTTCCAAGAAGTCCGCCAAGCAAAGCATCCTTACAATTCCTCTGTTATTCATTTACTTGTCTTAAATTTCAGAGAGCCACTTTTCAAGTTAAAACGTTCTATCAAACACCATCTGCATTATTAGAGTAATTAATTAATTGACGATTCAGATATTTGCCATGTTTGGCAACATAGTATGAAATCTGAGTGTCTCTCAGTGTGTCATATCTGTATCTATGAACAGGATCATTGATGTCAGCTTACTATGATTCTTCACCCAAGTAAAGCAGAAAAATCGAGTTAATTGCAATTAACAGTCACAGCTAGACAACCCTGTTACAGTTCAGTCTCTGCTTGAAAAATCACAAACATTGATGTATATTCTAAGGCCTTATCTCTCAACTGGAGGAAGACTCAGGAGGAGTACATACCAGATTATTTTGCAACTGCTCCGTACTAATTGATTAATATTATCTCTACTTTCTGAAATACTGCTTTTTTACCGTTGGGGAAAGTCATTAGCCCATTTGTCAGAGCCTTGATTGCAACTGAAAAATTGAATGTAACTAGTTGAACATCTATGAACTTCTTTACATCTATTAATTTAATATATTTAAGTGATGTTCTGTATGTACAGCACTTAAATATTATCAACCATATTATTTTCTCATACATATGTTATTCTACCTCTCCTTCTCATTGCTAATTATTGTAAAATATCTTCATGAATAAAGTGAAAGTGTAATAATTAGCAATAGAGAAGGAGAGGTAGAATAATATATGTATAGAGAAAAAAATATATTTAATAATATTTAAGAAAACAACTATTATCATCCAGAAATCCCATTTTGCCTGAATCAGAGAGTTAATCCCTGTGAAAACTGGGTTTTCAGATAATACGTTTTATTTTCTGATGGGTATAAAGTCATGAGAAAGCAATGTAGCATTAGGGCTTTTTTCGAATGAAGGGGGGGGGGGAGTCCTAATGCTTCTGCAATGAACCAGTACACAAGATATGAATCAAAGCGGCAACTTATCGATAATGAAAGTACCAGACCACTCTCGCGGTTTGCAACGTCGCAGATTTCCTGTCATACTTTCTTTTTAAACGAAAAACTACTCAATGTCAATTCTTGAAAACTTCTGTGATTTTTCTTCTCGGTGCATGAAAAACAGAAAACTTCAAAGAATTTTATCGATTTTTTTCTCCTTCAAAAAAAGAACAAAGCGGATCTTTTTAAACCCCGCAATTGAGATACATGGTTTAGTTGTATCACTGTTGTCATTCATGTTTCCTTTTTAAATTTGATGAAGAAAGGGATCTATGCAGTGGGAAGTTTGTTGATGTTTTCATTTATGGAATTCCAGTATATACACTTCTACATTTACTAGTTCGAACATAAATGACATCATTTGTATTTTTGCCTTTTAATTATTAGGACTTACAAGTACTTCTATCTTTTGTAAAACATGATTTTTAAACTTCTCAATGTGTGTCAAATCATTTTCTGCATGATATTTGCATCTGCAGCATGTTAAGAAGTGCTTTAGTTTGTACCTGAATCTAGTGTCCCATTAATCTTGCTCAAAGACCTTCCAGGATTGTACCAAAAAATACTGATTGGTACCACAAGATTTTATTTTTTTTTTTTTTTTTTTTTTTTTTTTTTTTTGTGGTAAAATAGAAGTTTCCTCAGTATGTATTTCAGTACTAGCCATGACTGCGTTGCCAAAAGTGACAATTGTGGGTTTAAATTTGTTCCAGATGTATCATTATCTACTCATCTAAATTCATTAATGCGGGTACCAGAATGGCAGCAAGGCGTTTCTCGAATGAGCATAAAATCGTACTCGTCGAGAAGTGTGGATTCAAGCAGCGACTCGGTGAACCCGGAGAAGAGACTGAAATTGGCGCCCTCTGTAGAGATGTTCCAACATAGGAAGAAACTTAATACGCTTAAAAATTCCTCAATTCATGGTAATCAACCGCCTACTTATTTTTTTGATAAATTATATTTCTTGTTCACATTTTTCTGTAGATGATAGTGGCCGTTGAACTTTGTTCAACAGGTGTAACTAAAACTTCAGTGGTGATTTTCGTGAGTTTCCTCAGGTATTCAAGAATTCTTTCACTCCAGTTAGATATTTTTCCAGGAGAAATTACAACGGTTTTCTCTTCAGTTTCTGTCTGCTATGAAGTTTATCAGAAAAAAAATTTGTCCATTGTCTCTCTGAACAGTAGACGAAATGAAAAAAAGATTCAAGGCCTTCTTCACCCAAATTTTTTAGGATTGGGCTACTAAATGGCTTTTAAATTAATATTTTACAATTAACTTCTTACCTTCTAAAATTCAGGGTTGTCATAGCCAGGGAAAATGACGAAATTGTTGAGGAAAAATTAGACTACATTTTGCAATTTGGAGCTATAAATTCTAACTCATCTGAAAAAACACTTATGTGCATAGGGAAACTAATGGCACATACGTTGTTTTTTAACCGGACCAAAATTTATAGTTCCTAATTGCAAAATGTAGTCAATTGTCTCACCGAACAGTAGACAAAACGAAAAACTGATATAAGGCCTTCTTTACCAAATTTATTTTACGTGGGCCAATTGTTGTCACCTTAATTTGCTTTCTAGAATGAGTTTGACATTTCAAGCGACAAATGCCTGAAAAATATTCCATATTGCGTTTTTAACCATCTGGCATATCCTCAATTGTAAGGGAATTTTTACCAAATTGTCAGGGCAATTAGTTTTTAAAATTCTGTAGCAACCCTGAAAATTGATGTAGATAATGGTGCACCACTCAAAATGTACGAAAATTCGTATCTTTTCATTGTATCATGCTCAGCATGGGATTTCAGAGACAAAGCATGCATGCATCATAGTACCTTCATTCTTAACTGTTCTTTCGGGTCGTTCGTCTCCCTGATATTGATTTATCTTCTGTTACTCAGAAATACATAGGCTGTGTTGTAATGTCTTAAGATTGTGTGCTGCCAAGATGCCACAAAATGTTGTCATAAAATTGTTTGAGTCAGCACACAAATGTTTTCAAGAAAGCTGGGAATGGTAGAAGATTGTAGGGAAGTCATGCAAGGATAAATTATCTATGAGGGAAAAATTAGAAATTTCCAAAACTGCAGGATTGCAGATCTTTTTTGAAAAGCAGGCAAAATTTGGTTACCCGTAGCCTTCTCTGTACAGTTCTGAGTGTACTGCAAATTTTCAAGCATTTTCTTGAATGTCAGGTCTTTGTGAAGAACATTTTCTCCAATTCCGTTTCATTTTTTGAAATTTTCATACAGGATTAATTTGGTAGCTATTTCCAAGATTTAAGCCCATACAAGGTGTGTATGAATAGAGAAATGAAAAAAGTGTAGAATTTTCTACGGCTTGTCAGAAAGTAGAGTGAAAGTTTAGAAATTTAAATCCCGTCGTGGAAAAGAGTTAAAATCTTGTGTTTCTTCAACATTTTGCTTCGCAGTGTGGAACCCGCGCAGCGTATCGAAAAGTGTTCCGGTGACTTTTTGCCAGTGACAGTTCCCTGTTTTCACCACTAGACCCTCCTAAGCCACCTTCCATAAAATAATTGTTTCATTTGGTAAATTACAAGTTCGTTCTTGGAGCCTATCCTCAATAAGCACACTTTTCTTATTCTGGGCTCATTTTAAACTAGAAAAGGTGCGAAGATAATTGGCGATCATCAGCAAAGTTGTAAGAAATCAATGAGTATCAGTTTATCTGCCAATATTTGACTTTCTCATGGTGAAAATGATTGTTCATTCTAATGTGAGCTCATTTGCTTTTTCTCCACTTTAAAATTGTGGAAGTCTTGGAAATATAAAGTCTAGACTCAATTATTTTTAAACAGCTGCCACCTAAGCTCCTTCTCAAATCAGGCAGTTTTTATAATAATAGCTAGGTAGATTATCAAAAAGTTAACGGACGGTTGGTATAGACAAGGTTTGATGTAGTGAAAAAGCAGAAATTAATTCGTCATCCCCCCCCTCTTTTTGGTAGACACCCTGCCGAAAGAAAGAAGGAAGTTTCAGTCCCTATTAATGATATCTCTCTCTGAATTGAAGTAATGGAAGATTTTACTATCTCTATAAAAACCGTAAGTTCAGCCCATTTGTCTGAACTGGTGCAGCCCAGTTCTTTGCGAAAACTTTCATCGTTTCATAAGTCTTTTTGTATGAATTTTATCAAAAATTGACGATGTCAGAAAATTCATGATTGAAATTTTTTAGTTTTGTTACCTAATAGAAAGTTAGGTAGAAGTTTGAAATGTTCCGATTCTCGAGGTAAAAATTTATGATAAAATAAGGTCTTCAATTTTCTCTCGGAAAGTGTAAGTAAGCACTGGTTTGATGTCGTTGTCTAGCGTCTTGAAGTGTTGTAAAATCAGATGAGCAAGATGTCAATTGAAATTTTCATCTTTAAGTAGGATTCCAGGCGTGGCTTTTAGTTCCATCGTAGCCTTAGGATTTGTTTTCTAGACATTGTATGTCAGTTGGCAGGTGTATCCTTCTCAATTTTAGAATTTTAGTTTTTTTTTGTCATCGCATCTAAACTTAGGTCCCTGTCTTTTGCATTGCCCTGTTCAGGATGGTTTTTATCTCCTCTACCCGCAATTCTTCCCCCTTAATTTAAAGTTAGTAGCCCTTCTAACTAAGAACTCTTGAATTTTTTATTTCTGTGCTACCCCAACCAGATGGCGTTAGCACTCAGTTTTGTTTTTAGCACGACTAAGTATTCCTCTTTCTCTGTTGGCAAACAGGTCAGAGATCTAACTGTCGTATTTGAATTGTTAACTGATATTTCACCAATTCAAAATTATCTTTGGTTATGTTTTTTTGTGGAGAGCCATGTACGTATATGACTTTTTTGGAACGCATTTGGCTCTGTTCTGTGCTGATTCAACAAGGTTGTGTTATTTTTTTGAATAAACCATAAATTTTTTAAAGCGAAAGAGTCAGCATGATAGTCTGGGTGCACTATGTCAGAGGAACCCCTTGTGTGCACTTTTTCTTGGCTCTCTTCCCAGGGACTCATGTCAATGACTTCAGAGGCATTTCAGTTGTATTTCGTTCATTCTGTGCCAGTAAATCTCCATTACCCTTCATCTCACAGCCGAAGAGCCTTGCTTTTCTTTTCAGACCACTCAGTTTTTATCCCCCTTTTATCTATTTTAGGTTGCCCAACTGAATTTTTCACCTATTCTCGGGTTGTTAAATATACAATCCCCTTGCACTTGTTCTTTTTTCCTCTGATGATATTGTCTTATAAACCCACAGTGTTGTCTCAGTGTGGCCAAATGAAAGAATGAATCGAATTCCTCTGAAATGATTCTGTTAGAGATTTCACTTGTCCATGCAGATTTTACATTTATTCCAAATCCAATCAGTACCTTTGAATGAAATGTTTAGAAAATCCTCGGAAGTAATGAGCAATCACTGCAAAATGTTGATTATCTGTAGTCCTATTTTTTCAAGTGTGATCAGTATGGCTCCAAATGTTAAATTTTAAACGGAGATGGATGTTTTTCTAATTTCACAATTATGCGGAACAATTGAGAAGAACCAAGTCTGTTTAGAAGGAGAGACGAGCAATGGTTCAAATCTATTCATGGTCTGCCCACTAAAGATGCATCTCTGTAGGAAGGTTTGAATTGCAAAACTTGCTGATAACTGTTATTTACATAGTGGCACTTCAGATACTGCTCTGCTAGGCAGCCAGTCAGACAAATTTAACCACAATCAGCGAAACTGTATCGGACTTTGCTTTGTTTTCTCTTATGTTTTATTTTTAACATAAAAATACCAATGAATTACACTAAAACTTGGAATTTTGTGAATGTATTCTTCATTATCAAGGGTAAATTCCCAAAGATTTTGACCCAATAAATTAAAACCTGAGAAAACTTGGCAATGTGAAATGCAATTATGCTGATTTTGGTAAAATCCAACCAGTTGTGATGCAAATTCCTCTGCAAATTCTCCATGGTCCTTCCCTGCAGAAATGTATTCCATGTGTGACAGCAGCTGGTTCTCTCTTTTTTACTTTCTAAGCCTTTGGTGACTCCAAATTGAATACGGTGTCTCTCAGCAAAAAACATTCATCAAGAAATAGATTTCTAGCAGACCAAAGGCAGAAAGCTAATAAGTGCCAAACACATGGCAAATGATTTTAGATTTTATATACCATAGTATTGGAATGCAATTTTTGATTTAGGAACTCTTTATGAATGATATCTTTCAATGTCCACTCAGTGGTATGGTAGATGCATGCGAACTCTTAGCATTTTTGGTCTGTCCAAGTCATAGGGTGTCAATTTTTTTTTTTTTATTTTTTTTTTTAAACTCATTTATTTTTGTTTTTCATGATCATGCATAGTGGTGGAACTTATGAGAGATTGAACACAGAATTTAAATATTTCCTGTTACAGCAGAAAAAAGAAGCTGCTTGACTCTCTCTGAATTACAGGAATCATCCATAACCCAAATATACCTCTCTAACAGACAGATGTAAAGGATCTCCACGTTGACTTTTTTTGGTTAATTTTAAAAGCAGAAAATGTCCAAGATTTTATTTTTTGCTTTCCCTTCTTTTTCTGAAACCCCACTTATGTAGATTAGTTACACAGTAAAAGTGTGCCCTTATTTTTTGAGGGTCATGAAATCTTAGCATGAAGAAATCTTTTGAATGATCATTGCTACCCTAATTAAATGTCGAGTTACATTGCTGGCCAGCTGGCGTAATGATTTTGTATCGGAACTAGACAAAAACAATCGAAAAAGAGTTCAAGTTTCATGTGCTCTTATAGGCAGGTGTGGCACCAAATTATGGAAGTAAGAAAAGTTATTGTACTCTTCAAAAACTAGAATTTCAAAGCATAAAGAACAATCAGTTCAATTCATTGTGTATTGCATAGGGTTTTTCCCCTATTTTTGCTGGCATAATTTTCAATGTAATTGCTGTTTATCCTGACAGGTAAAGCTCATTGAAAGTACTTGACAAACTCAATGTAAACTGTATCCCATTAACCTCACCTAAAAGACATTGAACTTCCATATGCTACGCTGTCAGAGCTTTGATCATCAAGATGTATCTTGCAAGCATTATCTGGCCGAAACTAAGAAAGAAAAAAGTATTTCAAAGAATGACAAATCACCCTAATCCAGCAGGACCCTGATCATTCTTTATGATCAGGAGACCACTGATATAGTTATTTTTAAGGTTGTTGGCATGATCTGCTAGAAGCACTAATGGCCTTTGCAAGCCTGTTAAATCACTTTCGTGCTGAAACTTAGGTATCCCAAAGCCATGGTATTCCTGTATATCAGATGATTGTCTCGCATGCTCGTAAATTCACCCGCATCCTGTGCTATGTCTCTCATTATGTTCTGTCTGCGTTTATTTTTATGACGATATTTATGTTTGGCGTCTTTTGATTCAGGCCCTGGCATGAAGAAAAAACCTGGTATTAGGGGTAGGAAGCCCAAGATTTTAAAGGAGAATCTGGGTTGTCATTCTGTCGAAAAAGTCAAAGCGAAACGAGTGGCGGTGAGATCGATGGACGACGAGCAGATACTTGTTTCAGAGACTGGCTCAGACATCCACGTTTCACCCCCTGCATCGCCCGGGCACAACCAAAGCGCGTCTGTCGCGAAAGCACCTGACAGGAACGAATTCACCAGGTTTGTTGTCAATCTCAACTCTCTCAGGTTGTACGGCCGCAACGAAAACGAGAAGACGGCCTGCTCAGTCTTGTTTTCGCACTACCATGAGCAGCTGGGCAGAGGTTGATAGAATAATCGTCATACATTTCCTGGCCAAGATGGTCACCACCTCCTCCTTAAGTGTAGATTTCATAATTGACTCCAGAAACACTAAAATTCAGTTCAAGTGCTGTCAGAATCACCTCACTTACATCCTATTGCATGTTTCTCCTTTTCCTGGACCAAGACTGACGTCAGGAAATGAAAAGCTCCCAATTGCAAACTTTTTGATGGATTGAGAATAATTTTGATCTCCAAGTGCCCCTTTCCCAATAAATTTACCAAGAATTTTACCCTCCACAGAAGTAAAATTCATTCCCACATCTGCAGCACTCTCGATCTCTAGGTGTTTCTGAGGTCTGATCTGTTTTTTCATCCAGGAGAATGTCTTGCAAGTATGGTGCCTGGATCTTAAAATGTTCACCTTACTTAGGATATCCATCTTCAGTGACCCTCAAATAAACCTCATTAACCTCCCAACCAGCTGTCTTGAATGAAGTTATCAAATTTCACCGATTAAAGCACCATAAACAAACATGCGAACTTTGCAGTGGGTACTGCGTTCTTTCAATTTGGCAGCAGTTGGAAAGGAACTAATATATTGCTCTACTGAGAAACAATTTCTGTTTTGTATTTCTCTGCTGTCGAATGGCAGTTTAATTTGCGCAGCGTTGAGAATGAATCTCTGCCTTCACATCAACAGGGTGTCTACGAGTCCGGAAAGTACGGAAAAAGTACTAATTTTTTAAAGGTGGTCTGGGAGTACTGATAAAGTGCAGAGATTCCGCAAGTAGGTCTGGAATTTTTTCATTTTTTGGCATTTTTGTCGAAATTTGAGCAAGAAATTCCAATTTTTGAAACTTTTCGAATTTTGTCAATTGTTGGCACTGAAAAAGTACTGAATATTTAATATTGAGGAGGTACTGAATTTCTTGGAAATGTACTGAAAAAGTACTGTAAAAGTACTGATTTTTTGCCTGCCTGTTTTAGTAGACACCCTGATCAAAAAAGCACTAATCGAGTGTTGATCTTTAGCATTCATTTTAACACCAATGCTCTCTAAGCCATCTCACATCATCTTCCCTCCGATCAGAAAGGCTGGAAGTAGTTGTTCCTGCTGACCAATATACTAGCTTACATAAAAATCGATTTCTATTTTTAAAATCTCTCAGTTGCTCAGTTTCTCACATGATCAATGAAACTGCAAGAAGGCATTACCTTTAAAGCTTACCCAAGCTTAACTTGTTGCGAATTTCTGTTTTTCTAAGTTAATATCGTGAAGTTGCCACAACTTTCTCAGCTAATTCTATTTTGTGGTCGATAGAAAGAAATATTCTTTGGTGGGAGAAAACATGTGAATATCATGTCCATCGTTTACTCTTACTTTTTCACTTTAATTGACATGTATCCGCATCAAATCTATTGGATACCATAATTTAGTATGTCCATTGTTGCTTCATCTCTGACAGATATTTTCCCTTTTAATCAGATAAGGAGGTTGTTTTCTTTTTCTGATCGGCAATATTAGTGAGGACTTGACACTTCCTCCAAGGTAGATCTATGTCGTTTAAATATCTCATATTTCGCAAGTGAATCTGAGTAATTTCGTCAGAACTTCATTCTCCTACTCACTGAATAATCTAGGTATTTGTGTCTAAGATATTACTGTGGGCATGGAGGGCATAACACCTCACCACCTAACATGTTATAATCTCGTAGGTTTGAAAAGGTAAATATTGTCACTCAATGGGGTCTGTTGCACGCTAGAGACACAGCGAAGTTAGGAGCCTTTCTTTGGGTAAACTCACAAAAAGATTCTGATCTGCTTATCAAAAAAATCTGAAGTCCTCTCTTAAGTGCGCTATCTGCATAATTTGTAACATGCTTTTTCAAATTTCCTGCATCTGCAGACTTGTGGTCAGCAGGTTTATTCAGAGAGAGATGAAAGAAAACCTAACCCAAGTAAATAAGTAATCTAGATAGGTGTTACAAACTTTCTTTGCGTACCATTTCAAATGATCTGTAGCTTTTATTCTTGCGGAACAAAGAAATAAGTTGGAAGCGAGTGCTTGAAAATAATGAAATCATATGCATTAAAAAGTTTGTAAAATAGTGAGTTTATTCGGGTCAGGTTTTCTTATGTCTCTTTCTAGGCAAACATGGCTGCTGGTAATCAAGGAAAACTGCTCTTGGATACAAGAAACTTGATGAAAAAAACATGTTACAAACTGCGCCCAAAAGAGTAGAATTTCGAGTCTCTAGAGTTGACCCTCGTGATTTTTGTTTGTTTTTAGGACGGAATTTCGATTTACTCCGTTGTTTTTTGTGTATGCAACAGACCTATTATGAGCTTGATACATCCTGTATTTGAATTTCAACTTTGTTTACTTGTTGGCTTCAATGTTTGCAAGTTCCTAATTTGATGTTTTTTCTGTTTGATTCAGGCGAAAGCGGGAAAATTCGTATGACATTGACAACATTGTCATTCCTTACAGTGTGGCTGCGATGACAAGGGTAGAGAAATTACCTTATAAAGAAATTTTGACACCCAAGTGAGTATTCTCTCGATTTTTTTCTTTCTTTTGCGTATGAGGGCTGTCCCAATTAAATGAGTGTTGGTCTGTTCTGAGGGTGTCCAGCGACTGGGAAAATCAGGAAAATTAAATTGGTTAGGAAGAGAAAATGTGTAAGCGAGAGAGTCGCAAACTCATGCGCCAGATTGTGATATATGGCATCACTTAATTGCTCTCTGATACTGAGCCCTGCAGAGCTTTCTGCTAATCTGTGGTGAATTTTTCCCTTGGAAATTTGTGGCCCTGAATGAATATGTTGTGCTGAGCAATGTTCATTTTTTGCATCTCTTTATATGGGAAAAAAACCATTAAAGAGATCGATGTCATATGGAAAAATTTAGAAAATATCAGGAAAATTGGACATGGATCAAGAAATTCTGAACGCTCAGAGCATTTTTCAATTAAATGAAGCTCAGAACGTGCAAAGGTGAAACTTATGATTCAATTCTTTGTAAATGTTTAGAAGTGCTAGTTTATATGTATTCAAAATTGGGAAATTTCATTTGTAATAAAAGGAGAAATCAGGTAAATATCTGACAAATCCAAAATGAAATTTTAGTCGGCACCCTTAAAAACAAAAAGGTCAAGGAAAACATGGAATTACAGGAAGGAGGGAAAAAAAATTCTGGTAGACACCCTGCTGTAACTTTTTCTCACAAGCAAATCTGAGCCTCTTGTAAAATTGTTTCCACCAGTTTTAAGGCTTTACTTGAAGAAGCAAAATTTCAATTTTATGGGACTCGACTGATACAATGAATATTCAATTGAAAAGATACTAATAACCAAGGAACTTAACAGTTTGGCAGTCTAAAAATTACATCAGCTCTCAGAAACGTTGAGTCCTCAGGTTAGCTTACATTAATATGGTTTTTGTTCATTGACCAAAGCTCTATTGATAAATTTTTAATGAAGGCTGGCAACAGTCAATCAGGTAGGAATGATAGTAAGCGAACATGAAACGACTTCTTTGGTCGTCCCGACCGATTTTCCAGCAGGAATTAACTGTAACTGATGAACTGTTGCAAAATCTATAATTTCCGGAAAATATCCCCAAGCAGAGCTCTGCTTGATGTACAAAAATGCTATTCATGAAGACATGAAGCGGGAGGGTAACCTAGCCTTGCTAATTTGCAAGCTGAACAGCCATTTTTATGTTTACGCATGGCTGTAGAGGCTCCATGGAAAGTCTTGTGATGTGACCAGCCAAGAAGTAACGCAAAGACTGTCCCAAGGATATTTCGCTCTGAGAACTGTGGCCATTGTTGGTTGAATCTTTACTGGGAAGTTCAGAAATTGTAGAGAGCGTTCTACCAAAATGCTGATAAGAAAGTTAAGGATATGGTAATCTGAATAATTTCTGACTGATAAGTGGATAATTCGTAGTTTTGGTAAAGTTCCATGTTCTTTCTAATTTTTACTTCCTTTTGTCACAGGTGGCGAGTCATTGAGGAGGACTACCTCACAGACGCTAAAAACAATGATGTTAAAACACCTAGTCAAGATAGTGATGTAAGTGCCCTATTTTCTCCCAAAAATTCATTTTGGTTTCACCAAAAAGCCAAGGAATGCCTTCCTATCTGTTCCAGTCATCCAGTTTAAGTTAATTCACGGCAAGATTAAGTTTGAAATTTTCATTAAACTGAAGTAAACTGTATGGAACTTATCCTTTAGAATATTAAAAAGAGTTTCATGTCTAAAACTTAAATGCCAACTTTTCATTGTACTTTTAGAAAAGACACTCTCTGGAAAAATGTGCCCCTGTGTACTGAGGCTCCTTTTCTCAAGGACTTTGATTAATTTAGTCTTTTGGTTCTTGCACCAAATGAGAGAGGAGCAAGGAATTTAGAAGGTTATAGTATGGTTTTTCTTACTTAAAATTTTGTGGCAAAAATAGAATGTCATAAAAAGCGTTTCCAAGGGGGGGAAAAGTTAATTGAAATCCAGCCAACCCAAAGCTGACGGTTGAGTTGACGTAGCAAGGCAATGCCTGAAGCTAAGTTCAGCCAATTGGCAAACGTTGTTTCCCCTGCGTGGCTACTTCATTAGAAACCGCCAAATATATATTTTCAAATGGGCCTCATTTATGGCATCTCTGAAACAGGTACCCTTTTGCCATTCAGGGTCAACAAAATCCGAAAAGTTCCTCCAAAAGTTCCCTCCCTACTTCCAGAAAAAAAAGTGTCTGTGGCCGAAAGTAAATCTCTTCCTGCCTAGTAGAGTGACAGTTCTTTACTGGACGGCAATTTTTCGTACTGAATGTTATTTAATTTTATTCTTCTTTCTGTTCCTCAGTGTGAAGATATTAGCGATGATGCTGTCGCATTGAGGCACGAGCGCTGTGAAAAAGAAGAGCGTGCCAAATTTAGATCCTACCTCATTAAGCCTTCCGGCATGTCAAGACCCAGGCACAGGAGACTTGATAATCCTGGTAAGTTCTTGTTCTACAGTGTTTGATTCTAATTCTATTCCTTCAGGTACATATAATTTGAATCACATTAAACAGAGAGAGGAACCAAGTCTCTTTTTGGGAGAAGAATGAGCTAGCTATGTAGCTGTAAATTTTCTCTTGTCACAATTTCTAAGTTCAGACAAATTTTGTTTTGAACATCTATGTTTTACAATTTGTTTAGCAGTAAATCGTTTAAAGAAACAAAACTTAACGCCTCTTTTCTTCAGTTTCTCTAATAGCAACATCTGTTGTTAAAACTTCTAAAAATCTGGTACATTTTATGAAGACAGCTCTTACAGTCTTATAAAATTTTCATTTTAAGAAACCCTCCTTGGATATATTTAAGTAAAATTTACTAGAGGTCAAATGTACGAAAAGTAAATTTTCAGTAAAATTTAAGCTACAAAAAGTTTCACAAAATTCTGAAAATAGCAGTGAAACTTTTCAATGCTGAAGTTTTATAAATATGTGAGTTTCAGACAGAGTTAAATTTTACCCAATAAAATAGTCTAAAAGAGTTTCCTGTAACAAACATTTCAAGAGTTTGAAATTTTCTTTTTAAACTCCATTGCCTCTAAAGTTGCGCTTGGTTGTGACTTAGTTCCTTTCTATTGATCTCGGTCCAATTATTTGCTCGCATACTCTCTGTTTGTATTCCTTTCCCATACACTAATGTTTACAAGTGTAAAACAAAACGGTCCAATAAAACCTCTACTATCAGATTCCATATCCATCATTTATATCTTACTTCAAATGTTAGAGATCTACATTAATGTTCCTAGTAAGTGAACCTTCCTTTTACCATTGGAAGTGCCAGGAATATAAATGAGACGTTAATATTTGACTCTCCTTTTTTCAGACTCAATGGATTTCGAGAGCAGTTCACCGATGACGACACCTCCTGCTACTCCTCAGCCTGTGATTGATAACTTCTGTGATCAAGTTACATTGCGAAAGCGTGCTCCCTCTGTAACGAAAAAGGAAAAAGAAGATGTAAATAGCCCTATTGACTGTGATGAAGTAAGTAAAACTCTGCGAAACTGACTTGTAACCACTGCCACCTCTTTTCTACTAAACGCAAGCTGATGAATATGTGTCAGCAGGGTGTTAAAGTCCGGTAATTCCGGAAATAGTACTGATTTTTTAAGGGCGGTCTGGAAGTACTGAAAAAGTGCGGAAATTCCGCAAGAAGGTCTAGAATTTTTGTCATTTTTGTTGCACTTTAAGCGAGAAATTCAAATCTTAGAAATTCTCTGAATTTTGTCAATTGAAGGTACTGAAAAAGTACTGAATTTTTCTGTTATGAATTAAAAAATTAAACACTAAAAGTGGCCCGAAACTGAATGTAACAAGGTGGAGAAATGGTGCTGGGTCCACACCATTTCGCCGGGAAACAAAGCCAAGAAATACCAAAAATTAAAATTAGAGTCAAAAATAAATTTTTAGAACTCTAATGCGCACCAGTATGAAACTGAGGGGGGAGAGTGTTCACTGCTGAGTGTGATCTTCTGATGAGGTCTAATAAGGCCCAAACCGGTAAAGATCTCTCGGCGTGACTCCAGCTTAATATTCCATTGCAAACTGCCTGAGCTGAACACTCTCCCCCCTCAGTTTCATACTGGTGCGCATTAGAGTTCTAAAAATTTATTTTTGACTCTAATTTTAATTTTTGGTATTTCTTGGCTTTGTTTCCCCGCGAAATGGTGTGGACCCAGCACCATTTCTCCACCTTTTTCTGTTATGTAGGTACTGAATTTCTTAAGAATGCATTGAAAAAGTACTGATTTTTGGCCTGCCTATTTTAGTAGACACCCTGGTCAGTGGTGGGTGCCAATATTTAAAAATGAGGTGTATTTTTTGATCGTTTATGGACAAAGCTGGAAGGCACATCTAGTCTTATCTTAATTATCATCGATGGTACCACTTATTGCCATTTTTGGTAGCCCCAAATTCAGCACGTTCTTGAACTGTAGAAACTTAACTTAACCGCAACTGAAAATTCAACTAAAACAAAAGTCCAAAGGGTATTCTCCCGTTAAAGTAAGGTATCAAGCTCTCACAAAGTCATTGAAAATCTGGAGCAGTTGAAGAATTTAGCCCAACCCTGAAAAGGATGTTTGCCTAAGACTGTGAAACCCTTTCCTCCGGTGGAAACTTTAACATAATGGTAGTGTAGGTGTTAATAATTTATAGAAGTAGGAAAACGATAATATTTTAGGCATGATACCTTAATTTTCGTGTTTTTCCAAAGTACTTCGCAGCATGAAATAGAAATAAACAAAACTTAGGTGCCATGGCTACAATATTATCATACTCCTGCTTCCAGCGGAAACATTTGCTACCGCATCCCCTTGTTCTATCAAAGAGAATAAGTCAGTGGCACTTATTTTTTTAAATTATTTTTTAGACAGTACAAAGTGAACTGAGCTTCCAAAATTCATCGGATTGTTTTTAAATTGCAAAGAAACCCTGTTTCGAAAATGCGCAAAACAGGATCAGTTGGAAACAATGTTTTTGGTGGGCTTTAATGATTTAGCCAGGCAGGGGAAACATCGTTTAATGATTAACTGTACTGAGCGGAAGGCTTTTTCTTGTTATTTCAGCTCAACTGTCAGCTCTTGATTACCTTTAATTCCTCTGAAAATCGCTTTTTTGAACTCTTTCCTGAACCTTTTTGGTTTTCTTGAAATTTTATGTAGAAAAAACTGTTTTGCGGCCCTGCAAAATTGCCTCGCCACTGCCCCAATATAACCTTTACCAATCTAAAATAAATTAACAACTAGGAACCTAATTTTGCTCTTCTTTTTTGTAGCAGGTGGCACCCTATGAACCTCGAGAGTTTCCCCTAACGGAGGAAACATACAAGAAAATGTTAGAGGACAATATTGAAATAGCCAGAAGTATTCGGTATACGCCTCAATATTTCCCAATAACAAATCCTGTAAGTATCAATTCTAATTCTGTTCTCTGGTATAAAATTATAAGAATTATTCTTATGTCGAGGTCAGTCTTTTAGAAAGTGAAGGGAGAAACATCTACAAAGCACACAATTGTGGCTCTAAAAGTGACTTATTTCACCATGATTTTATGCAAGGTGGTGTTGCCGCAGCCTCTTAAATGGGCCTTCTTTTTGTATTTCATCATGATCTCCAAAAGAGGTGTAATATTAGGTTAGATCAACGATCTTGAAACTGTAGATAGGGGGATCCTATGTTACGCAAACAGTGAAATTCGTAACATACCTGGAGTAACAATTAGGTTAGGACGAAGATAGTCAGTTTCTATGGCTTCTTATGGAACTGTTGCTGAATACAATTTTATATCAAATTTAGAATCAACTATTTGAAAATCGGTGTCCAGATATGGAACTTAGCCATTCATCAAGTGCGTTTACGATGAAAAGTTCAACGCTAAATCATTTATTCTAAAAACTCCCGTAAGATTCCATGTATTTGAGGTTATGACGAAGATAGCAGTCGGGCATTTCCACTCCCCCGCCCGCCTATCGAACGTCCGCTCCATGTGTGTTACGTTTTTTCGTAGGCCACCACCAATCTATAGTTTCTATATCGTTGGGTTAGATGCCTTAAAAGCTCCTAGAATACCCTTGAATTTTGGAAATTGCCCCCAATTGTATATGAAAGCACTTGAAATTTGTATTTCAAGGTTCTTTATTCTATATTTGTCGGGGAAAAAAGTTTTTTTTTACCCCTTGCTGTTATGAGTTCTGGAATGTTTAATAATTTGACTGTATGTCATCCACCTCATAATATTAACAATTCAACATTTTTAGTTCAAGAAGAGTCAACTACCATTATTTTTGTGTGCATTTTTGAAAGCTTCTAATGTTTTGTAAGTTCTCAAAAGATCCTTGAAAGTTGTTGATTTTACTGATTTGAACTCCTTGAAAGTCCTTGATTTTGGTTTTGCAAAGCTGTCTTGAACCCTTATCCAAAAGGCTCCCTGAATACCAAAAAAATGTTCTTTTAGCATGTTATTAAAGAGTAGAGTTCAAAACTTAAAATAGGGCGCTGTATCTGTGGTGTTGCTGAGAATGTACATCGGCACTTGCACCTGAATGTTCTTATTGCCTGCTTTTGTTTCACAGCAGGGTTTCTCCATCTAGTTACAATGCCTTCTTGAACTTGCTTAAGCTCTAAAATCCCCCACAAATTTGATGAGTGACTTAACATTTAAGTTTTGTATTTGAAGATACTTTATTCCTTCAATTTTTAAACTGTATTTTGACTCGTTTAAATTGAGTGATCATCATGATATTACAGAAAGGCAAATAGTTTCCAACCGTAGACTTCCATTATGCTTTGAATGACTTGTTTAAAAGGTAGTTTTCTGGATCATCTGATAAAGTATTAGTGTTACTTGAATTTGACAGGATTTTTGCCGCGAGTAAGGCTCACAATTTTTGGATCATCCCTCTCATACAAAGGTGTGTTGTTTTTCAGGACGATGGATCAGAGCCAAGTCGCAATGCTTCGTCTGCTTCTTCGTCATCAGGGAGTGGTGACTCCCTGAACATGATTCCTGAAGATATGAATGACCCCGACTGGACATCCGGCCTCAGCGCACGTCGAAAGGACAAACTGTGAACTCGCTCGGAGCGAGTTTTCTCTGTAAAGTTGCCTTTTCATTCCTGTGTAAATCTCCCCAATTTGTTTGTTTATTGTTGGCATTGTTATTTACTCACTGACTGAGCGTCAGTGAACATGATACGAAACTTTCACCCCCTCCCCTTCCCCTCCCGTACCCCCCACTTGCACTGTTACCATTCAGTCGTGCTCTGAAGGAATAAAAGAAAGAAAAATTCCGTATCAAATTTTATCTGTCCTACAACTTTGAATTTAAGCTATTTATTTTTATAGTTCCCATATCTTGTAAAATGTTATGTAAATATTGTTTGTACAAAGTTGTAACCTTTCTTTTTCCTTTTTTTACTCTTCCTCTAGTGTAAATTGTGATTCCATTATATAATTAGTTTTGTAACTATCTACTGTTTTAACAATAAGGTCTTAATTTATCTGAAGGATGCTTCAAAAAAATGAAAAAAGAAGAAAAAAAAGAAATAAATAGACTTAAAAATCAACAAAAAAAGGTTCTTTTTTTCCTTCCCCTCTTCGCTCTGATGTAAGCTCTCCTTCCCCTTGTTGTTCATTTGTTCCTTTTTAATTTTTTCTAAGTGTAGCTATTACAAATTATTTTACAGTTAATATTGGAATGGTATTGTTAAAATGCTAACTATTAAGTGTCGTTTATTGATACACTTTGAAATGCTCTTACCGGTTATTCTTTTTCTTTGATTCTGTACCATCAGTGAGAACAGAAATTGCAGTAGTCTGAGTCGTAGATCTTATCAAAGTCAGCGCTTCAACATTTTGACATCCTCCAACAAATCGCCACATTTGCTAAAGCATAGTATTGAGACTAGCAATCCTAGCATCTTCTTGCGATACACGTTTTAATGTGTGAGAACTCTTTGTTGTGCCAAAATTTCGAAAATTAGTATGTGGTTTTACTGCTGTACAGATGTAGTGTAACGCCAGTTTTTTATTGTTAATGCTTGTTAACGTTTTAATCGTAAAATTTGAAACAGTCTCCCTACAGGGGTTATTCCCTACCGTTACATTGTATGCATATCACGATTTTGCTGCTTGAAGCTTAAATTCGCCAAGCAAAATTTAGCCCTTCTAAAATTGACCCACTTAAATTTTTAAGTAGTTATGCAATCGAATGCTGACCGATAAGTTCCCTCTTTGACTCCAGCTACAGTAATTTCAGCCTGTTACAATTTTTTGTTTCTAATGGAGATCGAAGCGATTTTTTGCAATCCGTAGGATGCTTTTAGCTTTTATCTATTATGTTTTATTTATAGTTGGTAGTATTTTTTAAAATTTCTAAGAGTCTGTTAGTGTTTTCCTTTTTCATAAGCATCTGTATCAGAAAGGAAAGAGGAGGATTTTGAATTTAGATAGAAGTTAAAACCATTAACCAAGCTCATATGAATCGTTAATTAAATGAGTGCTAGGTAATGCTCCTGCTCTAAGATTGTTAACACCTGTGTCTTCGGTGTCAAATAAATTGAATAAATCTTATGCCATCTTAACCCTTTCTCTTTATTTTAAAGTTCTCATTCCAATTGATTTCTCATTAAAGGTGATGGATAAGGCCTGAATCAAATCCTTATATCACTTGTTTCTGTCTCAAAATTTTGCATTGAAAACAATACTTGAAACTGGAATCAACCCACAAGTTCGACATTCTTACACCCCTTATTGACATCAATTTGGTGAATGAAACCAAGGTTCACTCTACTACAGGTATGGACAAATGGAATTTTAGAAAGTCGTCAAAACGCGTAGATTTGACAGCATCGAGAGTACGACTGCAAAGACATACGCGGCAAATGGACGGTACGACTTCATACGTCACTCGATCGCCGATTTTCTCAGCGCTGCCACTTCGGCACCCCGTTTGTCCATACCTGTAGTAGAGTGTACCTTGGAATGAAACCAACTTTTTTTTTTTATTTTGCCTTTGATGATGTGAAACGTCAGTGAAAGCAACTTGGTTGAATCAATTATTAATTTTTTGTCTATCGTGGAACAATGAAAAAAATTTTACATCGGGAATTTCACTGAAATTTTGCTTTAATTTAATCTTTGTCTCCATGTGTTCTTGCCGTTAATGTAGGCTAAATTAATCTTTGGTGTGCACACTAATTTTGAGCAGTTTAAAGTAGGTATTTCATTAATTTGCAGACAGAAGACTTAAAATTAATAAAGCCTTGTTTCAGCATTTCATAAACATTCAAACAATCAATACCTACTGAGTTCTTGAATTAAAACTCCGCTGGCAGTTTTCTTAGTGGCGCCAAGTTTTGCAAGCATAATGGTACCCTCAATTAAGTTGACACAATTAAACCTAAAAGGCTTTTTTAAAAAAAGGTAATCGTGCAACAGTTTAAAAGTGGTAAGGAGACTAGAGAAAAAGGATCAAAAGAAAAATGATGGTATCGGAAAAAGAAGTCCTGTTCAGAATGATCCAAAACACCATGGAATGGCAGAACCAGTTGAGGGCCTCAGGCACACTTTTTTTCGGAACATATTTCTCTTTTTAAACATACCACATAAAAAAGCAAGTTTATATGGATGAAACTTAAAGGGAAACAATTTTTCCGAGCAATAAGATAGGTAAAAATGATATTGAAAACAAGGCTAAAAAACAAGGAAATTACACCTAAATTAAGAATAAAATCGCTTAAATTTAAAAACTCAATCTTTTCTTACTTGATAATTAAGGAAGGAAAGATTGAGTTTTCAAATTTTAGAGATTTCACTCTTTAATAAGATAGGTTTTTTTTGCTAAAGCAAGGTTTAACTACCTCGGCGCTAGCTCCTAAGAAAACAAAACCTTTGATGCCATAGGTTGGGAAATTAAAAGGTTTGAATTCTCAACTTCTGAGTCCAAATTACATTTCTAACCAGTGTTGGACATCTCGGAACTGGAAATCTTTATCTCTGGTCAAAATTTGACAGGGTTTTAAAATACTCAGTAAATTCTAATCTTTAAATCAAATCTACCCTTTTATGTTCTTTCTTACAAGTTGTGATTTAGATAGTCTAAAATCTGGTCACTTGTCTCTTTCTAGATCAAAACTTTTTTAAAGCCTCCCGAATGACAAACTCATTTTCCTCCTGTTCCTATCTTAGCTGAATTCTCTTTGAACTATGGTGGGAACTTCCAAGATAAAAAAAAATCGTCTTTCACCACTATAAAGAAAATGTGTGGTGGTTATTTTAATAGCCCCATTCATGTCAGCCAGCAAGTCAAGAATGAGGTAAACTATTCAAATGAGGGAAGGAAATAAATTGTGCTTCTTTTATTACAAGTTTTCATTTGAAGGAGAGGATAGTATTGCCACATAGAAAAATCTTAACTTCATCACTTACTCCTGTTGTTGTCTTATTTCAAAGAACATTGGAAAAAACAACATGCCTCTGTACCAAACAAAAATCAGAATTTTCTCATGTGATTTATTTGGTCGTATCTTGTACATTTGCAGCTCTTAATAAATTAATTTTTCTTCTTTGCATCTTTTTGCAAAAGTTAATCAGGCAAAATTGGACCAAGTTCATCAGAAAGGAACCAACCCACATTAAGTTGAAACTGAGAAAAAGAAGTTCGAAGTTTTATGCCTGCATAAGGCTCAAAGTGAAAAATAAACTGAAATCCCTCTTTTCAAAAAAAAAAAAAAAAAAAAAAAAAAAAAAAAAAAAAAAAAATTGTTTTAGACTTTCAGTTTTTGGCAGGAGAGAATATGTATACTACTGGTGACTCTCAAAAACATTCTTAACTCAATTTTTTAAAAAATGTGGGTTGGTTACTTTCTGATAAACTCGGTCGAATTTGGGAAGTGGTAAACTACAGGAGTCTTTGAAAATTCCCCAATATCGATCAAAATTGGACGTATTTATGCTAAAAGGAACTATGTTGCACACGAACCCTATGCACATAGTTCCTTTTAGCATAAATACGTCCAATTATTGATCCGCGTTATCCCCCAACATAGGGGTCTATTTAAAATACAGGAGGGTGAGGGGGGACGGGAGGAGGTAAGAGAGCGTCGATTCGAATTTGGCGGTTTCAAGATGTCAGTCTAATCATAGCTAATAGTTGTAATTTCCCGGTCATCTTTATTGACTCAATTAACTTTTTTCATTGCTTCGGATTGGATCGAAATGTTCAATATGTATTGTAATTTTTCAAACAAAAATCGAAATTTTAAAATTAAAAAAGAACATTTTGGCCAAAATTGTCATGATTTGAATAATATTTGAAACACATACAAAGAAGGTAATTTTCAGTGGTACTGGTAAGTTTTTAGTTTTAGACTCTGGCCAACTTGTCTGTCCAATGGCGTCAAAGTTCCTAACCTCAAACCGCCCATTTTCTTGAAACGTTGATAATCTCATCGAGGAAGGTACGTTTTCGAAGTTTATCCATTAAATTTTAATTCATCCTTACATTTTATTTCCATTATCTACTATTTTTATACGTAGCCTGTGTCAATTATTATTTTTAAGCCAATTTAGCCCTAACGAATTTGTTTGTTTCTTGGTTTACAGGGCGTGTTGAAATACCATAATGGGTCGTCGGCCAGCGAGATGGTGAGTCAGTGCAAATTATCTCTACTCTAAATTTTCCCCTGCATGTTCTTTTAAGTACATCAAGAATACGTTATTGGCTTATTCTTTGAATCCTTTACAAAATCTTTACGTCACTTTCTGGCTTGTTGTCAGTGGGAACCCTGCAACTGCCAGCCAGTGCGTCCGTACGGAGCTCTGCGAGTATCTGTCCAATCCAATGCCGATCGAAGGTGCCAACAGTTCCCACATTTTACCTCAGGACAACCTTTTGTAATTTTCCGTGTGTTTTACGAGAGTAGAGGTGTTCGTTTGATTCCTGAAGATATGTTTCAAAGCAATATGCCACCTATTCGTTTGTCAGAAGAGTTCATGAATCACTGTGTACTCAACCGGGCGCGCATCAAGTGCCTGACAACCAGAGATAGTACATATTGCCTAGTAGCATCTGTTGGTCAACCTAAACGTATACATCAACTCCTTAAGTACTTCATTGGCAATCAGAAACATGATGTTTTGTATCCGGCACAAATGCCGTTACAGTGCCGAGTAAGGTCATTAGCAGCCTTGTCATTGACACACAATTCAATAAAGAATACACTCAAAGCTTGAGTGAAGGCAGGACGAGTAAGAAGCCCAAGGAAATATGTCATCAAGCAAAATTTCTATGACCTGATATTCATACAACACCATCTGCCACCTGTGATCTGCTATTTGTATGCATGCTTTGCTCCCATTTAGTTTCTCAGTGTGATCGCTTTCCTAAATTTTTTGGCACTACATGTATCATTCATACATGATCATTCCACTTAATATCTTTGATTTTGATTTCAGTTATCGGTACTGTAAGAACAAGCCGTACCCAAAATCACGGTTTTGCCGTGGTGTGCCAGACCCTAAAATCAGGATCTTCGACTTGGGAAAGAAAAAGGCCTTTGTTGATGAATTTCCTCTCTGTGTACATTTAGTAAGTATATAACCCTTTATAAATTTACTTTGCCCGGGTAGAAGTGGGCGTCAGGTGCCAAGGTTCGTTTTCATAGTGATATGATGTTTGATTAAAAGAGTTAAGGACTTTCTGTATGAAGGTCTGAGAATTCCGAAACTTCAGAGTTGGGAAATTGGCTAATGATTCTTTAGAAGCCGTGCTCATCATTAACTACAACTTACATTTGAGCGAATTGAACTTATACCTACGAAGAGAGCTCTAAATTTTCATCCTCTAACTTCTAAGAGCTTACTTTCCAGGCACTTTTTTCATGGTTAGCCATTAGTCTAGACATGGCATACTTGTTTTTGTTTACCTGTGGATTATACTCAAGCAGGATGAATGAAAATAATTGTAAATAAGTTTTGGGAGATTTCTTATTCAAGGGTGCTAAAACTTAATAACTGGGAAAGCTGACCCGTGTAAGCGCAGAAATGGTGCAGCTTCCACCATTTCAATTAAGGCTGATTTTTAGTAAGAAGAGATTAAGGGTGGGGTATTCTCATCTAACTTAAGGGAGAAAACTGCTTTTTCAAATGGGAAGGCCTATTTGGTAAAGAGGGAAGCATCTCTTATAGTATTTATTTACTCACATTGGAGAAACTGTGGTCATCAACAAACCTAGAGAATAGAGTCTATTCTTGCGTAAAGTATGTATTATCATAAATTTTATTTCTCTACAGGTATCTTTTGAACATGAGCAGCTTTCATCAGAAGCTTTAGAAGCAGCTCGTATCTGCTGCAACAAATACCTGGTCAAGAACTGCGGTAAAGATCAGTTCCACATCCGAGTCCGATTGCATCCTTTCCATGTTATCAGAATCAATAAAATGTTATCGTGTGCTGGAGCTGATAGGTAAGCATTTTTTTTTATTATCCCTCTTTAGCTCACATGCTCTGGAGACATTGGAAATCCTTTTGTTGGATTTAAGTTTCCTGATGGAAGTTGAGCTTTTGATACCCTAGGGTCATCCCCCATTCAACCTAATTGAGTGCCACTTGTCATCATCAGGAAAGATGGTAAAGAGAATTATTAAGCAGTGAAATTGACTATTTTATATCGAAGTTTTTACTTTTTTTCTAACAGAACAAGTGTCAAGGCCTAATTAGCGCACAGCACCTCACCCTCTTATTCTTGTTTAAAATAGGAGACTTTTGGGGGCTTGTTGGGACTTCTCAGAGGCTCACCAGCAAAAGTGTCGGAATATGTCAATCCAAGTTATACTGTAACCTTAATTTGAGGGTAAAGTAATTTTTCTCAATCGGAGTTGAACCCATCTATACCCTCCTTGTGGATTTATAAATTCTAATGATAGCCAGAAAGTAACTAATTTTTGCATCACAAGATCTTCAAGACGATGTAGAATCAGTTTTGCAATGATAAAAATTCCTGTCCTTGTGATTGGGCAGCGAATGAATGCACGTTGCTAGATAATAAGTAAAATTTTTCCAAATGTCTCTCTGTTTATTGATTGTCATTTATGGTAATTTTACGACAAGGTCATCAAATGGTAAATCTGGAGCCTGACTATGATTGTTTTGATTCAATTTTGATGAGCAGGATCAGTTTACTATTGCAAAGAGCCAATCTTGAGCATTTTTTCCTGCAACAATCCAGTTTCGACTAATTGGCCTGTAAAAATATGATTGAAGCAATTCTCGCTTAAGCTCATCTTGGCGATTTTTATTTCCTTGGCATTCTTCCCTTCAGTTCTACTTTCACCAATTAATGCCACAGTTTTTCTGGACCAATTTCTCAGATCTATTTTGAAAATTATATAGATGAAGAGCAAAAACTAATCTTAGTGGCTGTATATTTTGGCCTTTTCTCAATCAAACAAAATTATCTTAAAACACAGTCCTTTCGGTTTTCAATCTGTGTCCTTTATTACTAGCCTACAATGTATTCTTTCTAATCATTACTATTTTATGATATATGATATCATGGATTTTCATTGGATGGCTGTAGACTGAACAAAATAGACCCAAAATTGGTATTGATCGGGCTAGGAGCTTGGTCGTTTTGCCAATGAATGTATATTATAGTGGTGATATGGAGTCTCTTCATCAAGATTTTTCTTTGTGTATGATTATCTTTATCTTTATAAGCTGACTAATTCTGTTTATTATAGGCTCCAAACTGGAATGAGAGGTGCTTTTGGTAAGCCCCAAGGAACCGTTGCCCGTGTTCGCATCGGACAAGTCATCATGAGTGTCCGTTCGATCGACCGGTACAAGCCACAGTTAGTTGAAGCTCTGCGTCGATCCAAGTACAAGTTCCCTGGTCGTCAGAAGGTATGCAACGCTTATTTTAACTCATTTCCTTCATTTAGCTAGTATTCAATTCAAAAGTAACTATTTCTAGAATCAGGCAAACCCGGAGGGTGGTTATATTCGCTGCAGCGACAAACACTCATGCATCAATATGATTCTGGAGTGAATGCACGTTGCTAAATTAATTGTGAAATTTTTCCAAATGCTGCTCTTGTTTGGAGTGTCATTTATGGTAATTTTACGACAGTCAGTCTTGATACGTTTTGTAAGTCAAGATTGCTCCGACCGATGCAATTAATTTCGCTTCCGTTTATCTTATGAGCATCATAAGTTTACCTGTGTATAGGGTTTTTCCTCTCTACTTCAAAATTAATTGTCTGTTTTGTTACTTCACCGCAACTCTTTCCCATTATGTACCCAATATCAGATATGCAAATGAAATTGCAATTTTTCAGGGGCTGTGTACGCAACTTTTCACAATTATTCGTAAATTTTATCAGAGACCTCGAAAGTTTACTCCTGATATTTCTTTTCCAAAATTGAGATTTTACCGGTTCTATTCCTTTCAAAACGAACTGAGTTTATTGCAGGAGTTATTCATTCTATTAAGCTTCATGAAATTTTGTATCTCTGCCCATTGACTTGTTTTAAACAAAAATTTAAAAAATTCCTATCTGACACTGGTATTATGTTTCTAGAGGAGTTAGCTGATTACATATGAGGACATATCAGTAACAATAGCGGATGTGAAAAATTACCTTTTCGAAAAACATTCAAAAAACTGTTTTGGCATCGAGGAAATTTTGAGGAAATACTTGAGATGTGATCTTCGAGATCTGTACATTATGCCAGAGTCAAACATATTAAATTTTTGTGTGAACAAAACAGTTTTTTAAGCGTGTTTCGAAAAGGTAATTTTTCACATCCGCTATAATTACAGATCAGTCCTCTTACATCAATCAACGTAAGAATGCATAATGAAACAAACTGTGTGCAATTACTGGAGTTACATCCATAGTAAAGTAAGAGATCGAACATCTAAGTAGTTTGGGAAAATCCGTTGCCTCCTTTAACTATGTAAATTATACCAGTGATTCTTAAAGCCAAGATACAATTTTCACTTTATTTACTGCATTTCCACCTTAAAGTTGCCATTCCCTTCTATAAAATCAGGGAAAGTTTCTTTTTATGGTCTTTTTCCAGCTGTTTTTCTTTTTCAATGTTGAGTGTCTCATGCACTAAAGACATTGGTTTCTGTTTCTCCTTTGCAGGTCTACATCAGTAAGAAGCATGGATTCACCAAGTACGATCGCCCAGAGTATGACGAGCTAAAAACCAACAACAAGCTGGAACCAGATGGCGTGACAGTCAAATTCCGCCGTGATCATGGACCGCTAGCCAAGTGGAAGAAACTCCAAACTGAGCTCCACAACATCGCTAATTCTTAAGTTGTTTGACTGTGTTTTATTTTTTATATTTCAATAAAATGTGGACAAAAGTTCCTTTTCTAGTTTTTTTTTTGGGTGCTCCATTCCTAGAAAAACTGTTAGTCAGTACTTCTAATGATTTACTTGAACAAACCTTTAAATTCTAAACAATCTCAGAAGTTTCTAATTGAACTTATCAATCATAGACAGATTTATGCGTTTTATTTATTATTTTTTTTGTTAGAATAGAAAATTTGAAAAAATGGACCACCAAACAGGGTCATAATGAAGCACCTCAGCAACTGTTCTCATCTTAAGTTCACGCATAACATGTTGAAAGTATCAGGAACTTCCAAAATTAATTTCTAAGTGAGAAGCATTTTTAGTTTACATTATAAACAGTAAATTCAAACTTCCTGCTCGTGTGAAAAACCTTATCAACATAGGCCAAATTAGGCATTGAATTTAACCTGTATACAGGCAAGTAATAACAGCTTTTCACCGACTTCCTTCTTATTCTGATAAAGGTACCTTCGCTCCATAGAGAAAAAATAGGAGGTGTTGGCATTTCGAGCATCTTGGAATTTTTTTGATGGCGTAGGTCGGTACAGCAACATTTATCATCGATTTCCTTGGAAATGGTGTAATTAATGGAAAAAAGTCATTCTATAAAAAGTGCTTGAAATTATATCATGAGTTGATTTAAGCAAAGAAATGGGACATTATGGTCCGTTTTTCCTACTTCGAATTCCGGATTTCGCTGGCCAGGTTGTACCGACCTACGTCAAAGGGTAAACAAACCTCATGATGCAAACACCTCCTTTTTTTTTCTCTATGCCTTTGATCTTGTCAAAACAGAGTTGATGCACAGGAAAATTCTTCCATTGTGAAGCACACGGAATGCAATCTAATGCTCGTTGCTACTCAAAGAGACTCTGGTTTTTCCTCTGAGCGGGAGGTGTAAATCAATGATGACAAAAACAGATATTTCCGAAGAAAATAGTAGTATACAGACACTCAGACCCCTAGTTTCATCCCGCAAAATTTGTCAATGCCGTCCATTTAGCATTCTTCTTTGGCCTGGCAGTATGATTCTTGAAAGGAGAGGTAGGGAAAACAATTTCAACAATCCAGGAAACGTTTATAAAAAATATTTAATGTACATACAAGAATACAAAAAAAAGGGATACTTACAAGTCAGACTAAAATCAAAGTCAAATGGGTACTGCCTACAATCTAACAGCCTTAATTACAAATAAATAGGAGCATGTCTGTACACAAACTTAAACTGAGTTATGAGATAACAAGATTTCCTAGAATCATCATGATCCTAATTCTAATTAAAATAGGTGATGCCTGAGCTCCAGCTCAGCGCAAATCCGTTGCAACGTTTCAAAATTTCTGTGCATATTTCATTCCTTGAGGGAAAATAAATCAAGAGAGGCTTGAAATTTTCTCGGTGTTTATTCACTATTACAGGATTGAATTGTACAAACTTGAGTCGTTATGATTAAAATTTTCTGTTCTAAAATCTACCGAAACTGATTCACAATTGAAATTATTTTCTGACTTGAGCAGCAATTTCAGAGACTCCTGACTGGCAGAGAGTGCATTCTTTGCTGCTACATGCACATTATTGTGTCCTCAGATTTTGATAAGGCCCTGCAATTTTGAAAAGTTGCAACTGAAATACTTACAATGATCTGGAGCTCAGGCATTGTAATGCTACATTCGTACTACACTGCTTTCAGATAAAGATTTTTACAGTCAAAACAGTACTTAACCAGCAGACCAATTGTCAAAATTTAGAACGTCTAGACGTAAGAAATTCCTAAAAATTCCTGAAACTCAGTCTGATGGTGAAGATTTGAAGGTCTAAATTTCGTTGATACAACATTATCTAAAATCAAAAAGTTACTATGATTTTACCAACCTGCATGCTAGTAATTATTGGATTACATTTTGCAGCAAGGAACCACCATCTCTGGCTCTTCCATAAAAGCACCTTTCTGCACAGGGAAACCAATAGAATATGTGTTGTTTCCAAATTGAGCCACAAATAGCAATTTCTTTTTGCAAAATTTGGTCCAATTCTCAGTGGAATTTTACCATTTCAAGTTGTGTTTGATTCTCTGAAAAGAAACTTCGTGAAGGCAAGATGTAGCAAGAATGGAGCAAGAGATATTTTCCTCACTGAATAAGATCTAAGATTATTGGGATTTGCTACAATGTATTTGGAAGAAACTTTATTGGAATAATACTTTTAACATTAGCCAGAGGAGAGCTTGGTAGAATGATAACAAAACAATTATTGATGAGGGCACTGAACCGGGCTAATGTGATAACATGGGGTGAAAAAGAATATTCAAAACCATTTTAAATATTTTCCTACCGTAGCTCCTACTGAGGACCGGTGAAGAGTCAAAATGTTAAATTCATCAAATCTTCTAATAAGAATATCGATCCATTTCTACGATGAATTACACCCAAAAATATTCTAATCCGTATCACGCAGAAAGCAGCTGCTTGAATGATTTTTTTAAAGATCTTCAATGATTACAATTAAGCTATTTTTTGTAGAAATGAGACATCAATGGTCAAGATACGAAAACACATACCACTTGCGATATTGCAGACTTCCTGTCATACTTTCTTAGGTCTTTGGAAAAAAGATCAATTCAATTTCTTGACAACTCCCTAATCTTTCTTCTTTATTGATAGAATATATTCCACAGAAATTTCAAGCTATATACTGGACTTGTTTCTCTTTTGAAAATATAAAAGGAGCAGAGATTTCGAAACACCAAAATGGAGAATCATGGTTTCGCATTTTAGTCATCGATATGAGTTTTGCAATTCCGCTCAGATTGAGAATTAAACGCTTCATACGTTGATAAACAATCCAAAGGTCCAAATGAAACTTTTACCTTAAAAATGTGCCGTATTTTTACAAATTTTTCTTAAAAATTATTACCATTCGAGTTCATTGGTTTGCTGCAAGTTACACAGTCTGTGCAAGACTACAAAGCTTAAACGTCGTTTTTGTGAAGAATATCTCTATCGTAATTCGAGTTTAGTTGCAGTTGTTCTATTTCATCCATACAGCAAAGCACGAAATATAAACCTATAAAACCATTACTAAATGAGCGTCCACACTGTTTGAACATTGCAAATCTGAGAAAAAGAGAGGCTTTCGGAGCGTTGAGGATGGTCATGGAAATTTGGGCCTGTCAATCCCTCAGGTCACAAACTTTTTATTTATCCATCCATTCAGTAGCCAACAGTGGTCACGGAGAAAATACAGCAGGTTTTGCTGAGCCAATTGCATAACATTCCTGAATCACAATTAATTAGATCTTCATGAATTCAAGTATGAGTGAGCATATTAAAAACTCATTCATATGCGAAAATTTAAGGGAGACCTTGATGCTATCGCATTCATTGGTCGGCATATTTTTGTGAAATAATTTTCACTAAAAGTTAAAGTTTTTAATATATCCCTTGAACTTTTCAAAGTTTGAACTAGTTTCGAAAAGGAAACTATGAAGATGCACGAACGTTCACTGTCCATGGTTTCTCTCTATTATGACTAATTGTCCAGATAGCTAACTTGTTGCTGACATGATTCTCTCTGTGGAGCACGATGTAATCATTACAGTTCTGATCTCTCAACATGGAGTAGCTTAATACAAGCTTTATCCGCCGCAAGCAAATTAGCGTGAGCGGCGGTTCCGTGGTAGACGTCAGTTAGTTATTTTAGTTGTTGCAGCGGTGGGAGCCTCCGCAGCTGACGTTAGGAGGAGCTTGCTAGAGCAGTTAGAGCTGTAGCTGTCTCCGCTGGACCTGTGACTCGAGGAGCTGAGCGGAGTGCCTGGCAAAGAGACACCGCCGGGCCAAGCGCGGCTCACCATAACACAACTTATACCATTACTATGACTCCGGTTCTGCAACACAAGTTTCGCTGAGTGTTAAAAGTGTTGCCACCAGAATACTATCTACTTTCCATGATGAAGGGAGGAAGGATATCACAAGGATTATACAGGATTTTGACACCGACTAGGTTTTGATATTTTTTAATATGATTTCTTTCATGACCTTCCAAGTATGACCAGCTATGTCAGTTTCCCAAGTATGAGTAGCTTTAAAACTGAAACTTTTTCCAGGTTTGATTCCCGAAAATCGAGGTTGAAAAGCAAATCACTCAACACTAAAAAACTGCTTGTTGATGGATAATTGGCGCTGGTGCTGTGTGATTTTTGAACAAACCACCTTTATTAGCAATACATTTTATTGCCAAATTTGGCTGGCTAGGCTGTATAGGACATGGTAATTGATTAAAAAATCAAGTCAGGAATTTCCATTTGCCTTGCCGTTGTTCTAAGAATTTGCGAGTTACCTTACATGCTTTGCTTTTTTGTAGCTTTTTTATTTTTTATTTTGTAAAATGTTTCCACTGGTTGTTCTTTATGCACTGAAGAAGATTGCAGTTTGTAAGCGGTCGAAACGTTATTGCTTTGTTTCTTGTGAGTTTTAGACATATATTATTTCACATCTATGTACATGTAGTTTGAAATAATTTTGTTTATTCTGGCTTGTAGCTCGATTTTTTAAACAATTACCATGTCCTTTATTAGCAATTTAACGAGATGTTGCAGACTGTTACTCTGGGGAATTTTACCTCTCTATGACTGCAATTCATTTTGTTGCTTTAGTCTTGCCAGCTTCCAGGGAAACTGAGGAATTTGGGGGATTTTGAGAACTGCCATATCCCTCCAGTAAGAAAAGGAGAATCTCTTGGATCATGGGTCCAGCAATACTGCCATATTTTACTAAAAAAATACATGTTGAAGTGCTAAAAATTCACTGAATAACTAACACCCATCTCTCAAAGTCTGTGAATAGAAAATTCTAATCTTTTATCTGATCATGATCAGAAGATTGCAAAAACATCATATAAAAAATCCCATAATTTAATAAGAGCCGATTCCTTCATAATCCGTGGGATACCTTCCGTGAGAATTAAAATAGACTAAAATGGAAGAGGAAACTAACAAACGATAAGTTAAGAAATATTCAAGTGATACCAAATTCATTTGGAAGAACTTCAATTTGTCAACTCTGCTATCAGGTCACAGGAAAAAGCATCGATCATCTATAAGTGATTACAACTTGAGAAAATAACGGTGTGCTTATTTCTGCATAAGACGCAAACAGAAGCAACTAAAATAGTTGAATCAGGATACAGGGAAGGATAGGTATGATAATGTATCTTTTTACACAGATTTACATACTCTTACAGTGATGGACATTTGTCTCGATTGCTCCGATTCAAAAATAATTTAGAAGAGAAGATACAAAACAAATAAAAAATGCCGCCACTTAAATGTCAAAAATATTGCTGCCGCAAAAGGCTATAGGGCTCGTTTTCTATAGGTTAAGGCCTACACCACTGTCATGACTGTGCACATAAACATTTTCAGGGGAGCAATTTTTAAGTGAAAAAAAATTAAAAAATAAACCATTTGATTTTTAACAGAGATCATTAGAGACTCCTACTATGCCAAAAATTAATTTACGAGCAGTTTAATTCATTTTTGAGCTCAAAGGGAATAAAAAGTTGCATTTGGATTAAAAATTTTAAGCCCCTAAAATGGTAGAATGAACCTCTGAACGGTTTTTCCTCAAAACTATATTTTTCCGATAACAAGCAATCAAACTCCAGTTTGGTTTGAAATTTTAGACGTTTTCATACAAAAATATTCGAAAAACGAATCTCTTGGCAAAAATACAAAAATCTTAACTCCGAGATTTTGGTGCCGAAAACTCTTTTACGAAGATGGTCAATCGACGATGAAACTTTTGCACCACATATCTTGGAGTGCGACAATGCAGACTTCCTGTCATTCTTTCATTGTTAATTGGAAAACTACTCAATGTCAATTCTTAAAAACTTCCATGATTTTTCATCTCTGTGCAGAGCCAGTTCTAAGAAAACTTCAAGGAATAATGTCTATTTTTTTTCCCCCTTTAAAGAAATAAAATAGGAGAGGAAATTCCTAGATAGCCCACACAAGATACGTGGTTTGGGAGTTTTGACGTCGATATGAATTAAACCTCCTAATCTAGATACCTATGAACATAGTACGGAGTGCAAGTTCGTAGCTATGATAATTTATCCAATAAAATATGAGGAAAAAACCAATACTTTGAGCATCTTTTGGGTTGTCAAGTTGCAAAAAAGGGAAAGTTATTTAAAAGTTTAAGGTAACTCTTTTTACTAAAACTGTGACTCGAGTATTTCTCTGGATAAAGGAAACCTGACAGTTTCTTTGGGACAGCCTTTGTTGAACTTGTTTTTATATTCTCCACAAGAATCCATCCTCTATACACAGAATCTAGGACAAAACTGTTTGAGGGTGATTTTAAAATAAATGTCAAAGAGGCTTATCCCCTGCTCCTGATGGGTATATCTAAAGGGTATACAGTTATGATTGAATTTTTTCTCATAATTTCATTTTCACATTTTTAAAAAATAAATTGTGTAAGATAAACAAACAAAAAATGTCAAAGATGTAACATAAAACGAAGTGAAGAATAAACTAAGAAAACAACTAAAGTGAGCATGCACTTTTCTGTTGGTTAGAAAATAAAATAGTCTGACAATTTTACCAACCTTGCTGAGGGAGTAGTCATTTTTAAAATTAGTTGATTCACGGAAGGAAAACGGAAAATCTACTGTCATATTATAGACAAGGGTGATGGACTCAAATTAAACCACCATCAAAGCACTTTTTAAAATTCCTAATCTAATCAAGCACGAAATTTATACCTTTCCGATCATTCATTTTGTTCCTCAATATTTCCTAGTTTGGTTGGTCTGTTTGCAAAGTTCTTTCTTTGAGTCAAAAGAAAAGGAGAAAGAAAGGAGCATTGAGAGCTGAACGACAAATGAGAAAAACTTCTGATAGCTAAGCCTGACTTACAACCATTTTTACGGTGACAACATATTTAAGTTTGTCTGTAAAGAGTTTGTTTCCAATAAAATTTGGATCTAGTTTATTGGATTGCATTTGAGTATTTCGTTTTCAGCATTTTTATAATTATAAAAAGTCACTGACAGAGAGGATTTAATCCTGTATGTAAAGCCTGTCTAAAATGCTGTTTATACTTCCGTAATGAGTATTTTAACAAAAATAATAAATTCAAATTTTCCTGTTCTAGAGACTGCACAAAGGAACAAGGTGATCTGTCAGGTTTCGTTTCAGACTCGTGACACTTGAACTTTGGACCTTGACTTGTTACAAAAAAAAGTGATTCAAGACCTGTTTTCAGTGGAGCAACATATCTTGACCCTTGATTCTTTTGCATTGAATAAACCGGCTAAACACACGTTAAAAGGTTAGTTTTTCAACTCCTGTATCTAAGATACCGCTTAATAGAATAAAAGAACAGTTAAGTTTGTCTCAGTTGTAAATTAGAGATGATTTAAGAATATTTTAAAGAGGAAAAAACCTCACACGAAAGAAAATATAAGTCAAAAATGTAAAAATATTATAAAAAGTATTAAGAAGGATGAAAATTATATTCGAGCCTATCGAACGTCACTTCACACTGCTTTGCACCATGCAAAAAGTAAGCATCCAGTATAGTTTCTTCATGATTTTTCCTAAACTTTAAGGAGTAAAAATATACTATGGAGTTCTTGACTCAAATAATTATTAGTTTGGAGGGGTTTAAATGCAAATGTTTCATAAATACTTGACTGAAGAGAACACTTTAGCCCTGAACATCACTTTTATAAGTAAACTTTCTACTTAAGGGGTCCATTGCTTTTCCCTTCAATAAATGTCTACGAAACTCAGGCAAAATGCAGCACTTGCTTACAACGAAGAGTGCAAGAACTATCACAAAAGCTTGTATTGTAAGTCTGTGACTCTACTGATGTGTAATTATCGGCTTACTTTTTCAGGGACCGATGTGAGTACTGTGACAGATGTGTCGTCTGGTGTGTAGAACTCTTCATCCTTATCAGGAGATTTCTTCTCCTGCGAGTGGTTACTGTTTTGGGGGCTGCAATCCAAACTTGGAACGGACGGTGCATTGTCAGTGCTTGTTGCTGCGTCTAGTAGAGGCGAGAGTTTTTCTGCTTCACTGTCCTCATCACCAGTCTAAAAAAAAGGAATTGAATTTTGCAGGACAACAAAACAAATGTTACTGTTGATGGGCGAAAAAGACCTCAATGAACGTTGATAATTTTTTTTGGAGATTTGCTTTTGGTCCAATATCAAATTAAAATTATTGAAGGTAAACTCTCTAAATTACCATAGAATCAGCTGTAACTGGTTTAGTCCATTTTTGTACCAAAAGAGGCCATTCGATTGCATTATAACTCAACGATTTTTATCCCTGAACGAGGCATATTATAACTTCAAAAAAGATTTCCTCATGATTGCATGTTTTATCTGCAAAATACAGGATACCATATTTCCGCTTTAGTTCACCATTTTTTGGGCAAATTTGTAGCAATGTGTTTTATAAATTAAATAATAATTGAATATTACTAATTTCAATAATTGATAGTTGATAGGCTAATGAGTCAGTTGCGCTGATCACAGAATAGTGTTTTGATGCTTGATTCTTGTAGATTAGGTAAAAATATTAGAATCTGTCCAAACCGCAACTTTCTACGTTCAATATCAACTGAGATATGGCCCTTTGAAAAGTCGGGCTTTTGACTTCATCCACCACGGTAGTGACACCCTTTGTTTCTTCCACCTTGTTTTCGTCCAAGTTTCACGTTGAGTAACCAGTGCCTCACTGACTGATGAAAGCAAGGTGGAAGAAACCAAGGGTGTCACTACCGCAGTGGATGAAGTAAAAAAAACCCAACTTTTCAAAGAGCCATATCTCGGTTAACATTAAACAAAGAAAGTTGCGGTTTGGACAGATCTTAATATTCTTAGCTAATCTACAAGAATCAAGCATCAAAACACGATTCTGTGCCCAAAGCAACTGACCCATTATAGGTAAATATTTGTGTTTTTTTTTGTCTTTTCCCTAAATAAAAATTACTACAACGCATACTATGAACTTACAATAAATAATTTTGGAGTTTTCAGCACTGAGAAAATTGCTGGTTATGAGAGTAAAAATTAAGGGAGTGCTGAGAATAGTAATACTTATAAATTTACAACTACTAAATTTACAGCTACTAAATTTACAGCTACTAAAACACAGCCAAAAAATTGATTCAGACTGATTAGAAATGGTTAAGCCATGATTTTTATCAAACAAATTATAAATAATTTACCTCATCTTGCTGCTTTTCATTGATAAAGCTAACAGAATCCCTCGGGTGCCTTAAGATGGCACTTTTATCTCTCGGTAGTGAACTCCTTCCACTCGACTTTTCCTCTTCTCTTGCCAAAAGAACTGACATTCGTAACTGCGGATTAACGAAGAAAAAAAAAATTAGGTATTATATGTTTTTCTGCATCATCAAACATTACTTGAACTTTGAAGAAGATTACGAGGTCTTATAGATTATATGGTTTATTTATTTTACCGGTTTGGATATTATTACCTGTAAGTTATCTTTTCGTCCCGGTTTTTTTTTTGTACATAATTCCTTGTCTTAGGCAATGTCTATCTCAGAAAAGGTACATCGGAAAGGTACATGTAATTACGAGGTCTGTTAGGTAAGAAACCGGATTTTGGTGATAACTAGCCCATCATGCGTCCGAATTAAGTTTTCTTGGACTTTCTTGATAGCTGAAAATATACTTAAGAACGCTACATTCACAAATTTAAAAAATCTCAATTAGCTTTATTGGTACGTGGTTTGAAGTAAGGCAACCTCATGGATGTTCTGCAATTTTCACGTTTGACCAAACTTGTCGCTCTTTTTTCGGTCTTGCACTACCTTTATCAACCCACACGGATGGTTGGAGTTTTGTCTCCATATAGTTTCCGTACACCCAAGTTCTATCAACGGAAATGATCATATCCAAAAATGTAGGATCAGTGTTAGAACGTTCAAGAAGCTCAAGGAAAATTTATTCTTGGTTGGATTTTTGTTCAACGGACAACAGTCTCGGGACAAGTTTAGCTGAAACTCGATGCATGTGTAAATATTCTATCAAAATTCTATGTACAGAGCCTTCAGAAATATCACACTGTTCAGCAAGCTCGAAACGACCATTTTCGAGCACTTTTGCCCCCATTTTTTCCACGTGGCAGATGTCAGGTGCCGTTGGTCGATTCCCATGCTCCTTATCTCCAACGGACTCCTGACCAGTTTTGAACCGTTTAAACCACTCAAAACACTGAGAACAACTCATACAATGATCTTGGTACACTATACTTAGCATACCAAATGTTTTGATACAAGGTATGCCGAGTTCAAAATAAAATTTAATGATAAATCTTTGCTCTATCAGTGATTGCATGATGAAAATCGTAGAACGCACCTGACTCCCTCGTATTCAAGGTGACACAGAATGAACACTGATCAAAATAAACAAAATCTGTAAATCTAGCGTTCTTTAGTATGTTATTAGCTATCAGGAAAGTCCAAGGAAACCTAATTTGGACACAAAATGCGCTAGTTATCACCAAAATCGGATTTCTTATCTAACAGACTTAATACATGTTTTTATGTTAAAATAATCCTTTTTTTCAGCTCTTAAAATTGATCCTGCGGCAATTTTTCCTCCACTCACACTTGGATGGAAAATTGTATTCTGGTCTGTTAAAGACTAATGGACTCGTTAAAAGCTGCAACAGTTCTATATGTAGAGAACACCGATTAATCTAGGTACTACAGTGTATAATTGGCGTAGCAACTACCAATAACTTAATTACAAGTAATTATGCAGTAGGAATTTTAAAACATAGTAAAAATGTAAAAACAAATAAGCACTAACCTTAGAATTTGAGAAGGAACGTTCAGTAATCGACCTCACTTCAGAGGCATCGGAAGAATTCAGTTTGGATTTATTTGATTTTAGAGTAGAGCAATCTATATTTGATCTGTTCAAGATTTGAGCAGCCTGGCCGTTTGTTTCTGAGTCGGGGGTTTCAGCCATGGAATCTAATGGTGGATTTGGGCGGGTAGCATGTGGACCGTTTAGAGCTTCTATCAATGAGACAGCCTCATATCCAGGGGGAATGTTGTCATTCTAAAAAGAGATAAGAGCATATCATAGAACATAAGAGATGAAACTAGACACAATAAGTTTAAAATCTTTTCAAGTCCTTCAATTTTTAAAAAATGGCAGCTTGATTACCTACATCTGCGAAGAAAAGATAACAGTTATCAGAGCCGGATTCATGGGGGGGGGGGCATGAAGCCATGGCACCGGGTGGCAAATTTCGGATTTTTTTTTTTTTTATATATACAAAAAGAGGAGTTTATGTTTCATGTTCCCCTTTCACGTGTCACAAATCCTTGTTCCTTGAAGAATCATTTCCTGCTCCTTAAATAATTGTTTTCAACACTTTTCTGCACAAATGCGCATCCTTCTCACTATTGCAGAATCAGATTGCGCTCTTGACGTGTTTCCAAAACTTATATTTTGTGTGCATCGGCATTGCGTGAATCTATAAGATATTAAATTGATCAAGATTAAGATATTATATTATTGACCCAATACATATAAAATCCCCAGCTAAAAAGCCCCAGAAAAAATCCCTAGATTTCGCTAAAAGTCCCTAAATCCCCAGATTTGCTCAAATATCTCAAAAAAATCCCTAGATATTGCAAAAACCATTATTTTCAATGTAGAATTATGACATCATTCGATGTGCCGATTTGCAATATTTAAATCTGATTGGCTTGTTTGAATTTTTCCGCCCTATGAAAACATTGAACAGACCAATAAAATGAAAGAATATTACTTGAGGTTTTTTTTTTTTTTTTATTCTATTGAACTATCAAGTATATTGAGTGACACAATCGTTATATGTTCCGGCTTATTATCAATGAAAAATAGTGTTGTTAATAAGGCCTACAAAATATAGGTGAAAAAATATTTTCTATTGAGTCAGTCGAAGGTAAAATTGAGGGTTAAAGAGTCGATTTTTACTTACTTTCGTCTCATCAAAAAAATCCTCAGATATCGGATCACAGTCTGTCACCGTATATCGAGGGGGGGGGGGGGCAAAAACCTAAATCCTGCTCTGACAGTTTTTGAATTGGTGCAACTTTGAATCATTTTCTGGGTAACTTAATTAGCCCATGGTATACATGTTTGACTATGGTGGTAGAGGACTTTTGTTCGTAGAGACACATTTCTTGGAAAATCTTTTTTTTTTTGAAGTTGAGACAAAAAAACAAAATTTGAAATAGTGAAGAAAACGCTTCCTGGTAATCCAAAAAATAAGTGGCAAGAAATCTAGATCATTTTTAATAGCGGTATCATTAGTGGTTGTAAAGCTGAAATTATATTTGACTCTTTTCTCCTGCAAGCATAGCAGATTGAAATGGTGAATAGATGTTACTCAAAATTACAATTTCTTGACTACAACCCTGAAACTGTCATAACTCGAGTTTGGTTTGACAATTTTAGAATAAGTGTTTTAAGATACTTTTCTCAGCTGTAGTGACAACGGTTCAAGTTCAATTTTTTTGGTGCTGAGGTCCCTTCTTCTGAGGATGATAACAAATGAATAGCTTGTTTCGACAACGGTCTGACTCGGAAGAAGAAAAAAAAATATATCCAGAAAACAGAATGAACTGAATTCAGCCGAAATGTTTTCAGTGAATGAAAAATGTTTTAAGAGCAAGATATTCAGTTCTCGACAAGAGCTGTGTAGCTAAAAATATGAAACCTTTCAATCCTTGAATTGCACAACATTGACGTTTGAAACCTTGAAGTTGGGAGCTTTCTGGGAAAAAAATTAAAGAATGCATATGACACTAGAAAAAACTTTTCTTTGACGAGATAGAATTTTCATCCTTTCCACGTTTGACAGTTTTCAAAGCAAGACTTTTTAATAAAAGCATTTGTCAAAGTTTGCTATTCACATCCAAAGTCAAGAAAGAATCTTCCATTGTATCCAGAAAATGGTATACTTCCATACATGGTTTACGTTTTATAAAGAAGGACAGAGCTCTTTATTTGAATTAATAAATATAAAATAATTGTGGAATTAAAATATTAGCTTGATAGGAGTACTTTCTCATTGCTAACTATTTCAATACCTTTCTTGATTTCTCTTACAGTGGCACTCCCAATTGGTAACGTTGCATAGTGTCAACGATCATGGTGTCAACAAACCCAAAAGCTGATCATGGAGTCAATGATTGTTGACGTTGTGCTCAGGCAGTAAAACTCAAAAATGGTCCCTGAGCATGGTGTCAACGATCACGGTGTCAACAAACAGAAAAATATCTTCCTTATGAGTAAAATTAAAAATTAAGTGTGCAGAAGAGGTTTGGGTCACGTATAGTTACATTAGGTTAGTTTAGGTCAGGATATGTACGGTTAGATTAGGAAGGTAGGGTTAAAGTTAGGTAGGGTAAGGTCGGGGCAAGTTGAGTTCTGTGAAAGTGGGTTAGGTCCCTTAAGGTAGAGTTGGGCAAGGTTAGGTTAGGTTCAGTTAGGTTACAGTAAATAACACAAGAAAAACAAGACTTGAAAGATGTTATACAGGGAAGTTTCAAGTTTTGTTGACGTGATCGTTGACACCATGATCATCTTTTACAAGAGTCAGAATTTTTTATTTTTGGATGATCATGGTGTCAACAAAAACTTAGAAAAACTGTTTGCTGACACCATAATCAATGACACCATGCTACGTAATCTCCCAATTTTGAAGAATGCTCTTGCATTTTCTTTGAGATGAAAGATAAATTACCTCTGTTGATGAGTGTGAGGATGACTTCTGAAGGGCTCTGATCTGGAGCAGAGCTCGGAATGGGGAACGACAGATTGGACAATTATTTGCTTGATAACGCAAAGAATCAGCACAGGCATTGCACAAACACAAATGACGACAAGGTAGAATGAGAGTATCTCGGACATCACACATACATATGACACATTCACAACCGCCATCCTCCGGCTCGTCTTGCGAGCTCAACTGAAAATTTAAAAAAAGTAGATTAGGCACATTTTCAAAATAAAAATTTCAAAATGTCTATTCATTCTCTTTCCTTTCCCTCTACATAATCTTCTGAGCGAACTATGGCGTACTCTATGCTTTGCATGTAGGGCATCTCCTTGAAAGTTCTGAACAGTGCTATGGTAGCATAAACATGATACTTAATCATTAAATGCCTGCTCAAACCGTCTCAAATACTACAAAAAATCTGATCATCAAACATAGTTTCAAAGTTGCCACAGACTTTGAAAAATGAAATTTCCTGATTTCCCTAACACATTTCGAGAAAAGTCCCTGACAATTAAAGATGTGTCAGATGGTTAAAAACACAAGCTTTGAAGTAGTTTTTGAGCGAACTTTGTTGTTTGAAACCTCAGACTCATCCTAGAGAGCAAATGAGGTGATTTGACAACTTTTCCCAAACTTTTCAAGTTTCCCTTACATTTCTCGGCTATCCCTGACTGCTGCAACCCTGTAGTCTGCACGGTGCAGGAGTAAAAAAACTGCGCGATCTTGCAATCCTCAGATCGCAGCAAGCGTGAAGAAAATCTTGAGTTATGGAGTAAATGTGTAATTGAATAAATGAGTAATGAGTAATTTTAAAAATGATGGCTTTTTTAATTATTCATTACTTACTTTGAAAAGTGAAGGCAAATCGCATATTCTGTCATGAAATGAAGCGTTTTGTCAACAAACAATCATGAATACACTGATAAAGCTATAATCTTAGACTCTGGGCAGAATCTTAGAGTCTGGGCTGCTGTCCAGAGATTTGAATGAAGTAATGCCATTGCTGAACCAGTATATTGACGATGTAAGTCGGCAATCACATAACTTGGTTTACTTTACTGCACACTTTATTTTTTATACGAAAAACTTGCCGTAATTTTTCTCTTCCATGCTTTGAAAATTCTGCATAAACTTCAAGGCATAATGTCAATTTGTTCTCCTTTAAAAAAGAACATAGCGGCGGAGATTTTCAGACACTGCAAATGAGATATGTGATTGCGGACCTACGCCGTCAATATACCACTTTCTCATCCAAAGATGATGAGGTTGTGCTCCCTTTCTAACTTTCATCTTGTTCTTGTCTCCTGTGTGTTTCAACAAGACCTTCAATAGGATCTGGAGGGTTTAAAACGCAAACTCCGATAGCTCCTCAATTTTTTTATTGGAATCCACGACCAGAGAGAAACCAAGAGATAATAAATAATATGATTGAAACTTTATTGAAGAGGGGCTTCCTTACTTACTTTAGCCAACTCATTGTTCTTATTCTCAATGCCATAAATTTCTTGTAACAAATAACACAGTCCATCTACAAAAAGTTTCTGCTTCAAGGCCTTCAAAACATACGTTCCATCTGAGTGATGTTCAACAACAGCTATAGTGGTATGGGATTGGCGTACTTCTGAAACATACAAAAATAGAATGATTTTTACCTGATAATACAAGGTACGAATAATCAAGAATAGTTTTTTTAAATCATGTAGGAAATGTAGCGACCAAATTTTTTGGAGGCTACAAGGACTGAAATAAGATTGGAAGATGGTACAAATACCACTGTTAATAATCCTCTCTATCAGGGTGTCTATTATAACAGGCTGACCAAGAATCAGTAGTTTTACAGTACTTTTTCAGTATATTCCCAAGAAATTCAGTACCACCTCAAAAGAAAAATTCGGTACTTTTTCAGTACCTCCAATTGACGAAATTCGATAAATTTCAAAATTTGAATTTCTCTCTCAAAATGGGACAAAAATGACAAAAACTGTAAAAATTCCCGACCATTATACCTAATTTCCGCACTTTTTCAGTACTTCCGGACCGCTCTTAAAAAATCAGTACTATTTCTAGACTTTCCGGACATTCTGGACTCGTAGACACCCTGCGCCATCCTCCTTCAGAGCTTATGGAAAAACGATTCTGAATCATCATTTATAATTGACTGGCTCTGAAAGCATCACACAGGTCGTTTCAACCAAAATGGAGTCACTTTCGTTGCCAGGCCAGTAATAATTGGAGCCATGTACAAGCTTATGGCTCACAACCAGCATAGTTCTAGCAGGAGAACTTTTGTTTTATGAGAGGGAAAATAAATTCTGCAGCACTGAGGGAAATATATACTCAAAACACCATGGAACGCAGAAGTAATTGGAGTAACAGGTAAAAAGTAATATTAAAACTTGTGAATTAGAATTAGATGGTAAAAATTGAAAGACTTGTATACTTAGTGATGTAAATACTCATGTTGAGTCTCCAGGAGGGTTTATTAAGGCGCAAAGACTGCCCAAAAAGTCGAATCAAACCGGAGGTGAACATGGCAGCTGGAGGTGAGCATGATAGCTGGAGTGTTATGGAAATAGCATGGTTTTGAGAAAAAGCAGTTTCATAAATGAACTATTATTTATGGTATCTGCCGTCTTCAGGGCTGAGATTCATTGCATTTAAATTCAGCTTACCTCTGTTTCCCGCCATAAACATAAATTAAATCATGTAATAAGGATCATTTTCTTATGGACCCTTACTATGAACTGAAAGTATTATATAGACTTCCAATATCTTTTTGCCTTCATCCATTTTCCAGAATTTTGATTCATGATACCTTCAGAATTTTAAAGCTGAAAGATGATAAAAAAAGTAGAAAGAGGCGGAAAAAATTACCTTCAGGCCCTTCGTCAACTATACAATGGATCGCAACAGGAATGACCTCTTTTTCAGGTGAGTAGAGAAGTTCCTCATTTGAGAATTTGCTCGGATCAAAGACGTGCTGTGTGTTGACGTATGTTTGCCCAGCACCTCTTTTGAACTGAATTGGCTCTGAGCTTAAATTAGGATCTCGAGGAACATATCTGAAAATACAGCATGAAGTGAATACACTATCTGTATTTACTAAAAAAAATTCATTTGCACTAGTCGCAGAATTTTTTTCTGATGATTTAAGCTTGTAGATAAACAATCATACATGTCCTATATTAGTGGATATATTGCTTATCAAAAAACATGGCGTATGATGTCAGTCAATGCAATGGTTTATAGAATCATCAACTGATGATACACACACTTGCGCCGATTCCTTGACGTAAAACACAGATCAAACTATGGTGGAAGAAATTATGGTATTCCACTATCACGGTGGATTATGTTATATGCAATATCTCTATAGAAATTGGATGTAGAAATCTCATTATTTTTTGTTAATCTTTAAGTTCAGACCATTTAAAACGATTCTACGACTGGCAGTATTGACACATTGCAGGATTGTCACATGTTTGGAGCAGGAAGTCATATAGGAAATGCAGAATAGCATCATCTTGTTACTATTTTTATACATATTTTGAGTAGAAGTGAATTTTCGAATTTCTAGGGTCATTTGTTGAACTTAAGAGGGATTTTTGAGGCTTTACAGTACTTTTTTCAGTTTATAAATTAAACCATTTCAAAGCATGGGAGCCAAGTCAAAAGTGTAAAACACAGGTTAAGGTTTGACATCGCAGTTTTTGCCATATATCTTTATTGGGGTCTTCCTAGTTCTTATACTTCGGTTCTATGACAACTTTTTAAAATCAAAATTGAAGATTTTCCCAGAATTCTAGTTGATGAAATCAAGGACTTGCAAGGTGTCTTGCAAGGATTCCAAGAAAATTTTTAGGTTCCTTCAATACACAAAAAAAGTCTATAAACCCTCGTAAATACATTAAAAATGGAATTTTACTTTTCTTACTGATAAATTCAGAAGCAAAAGTAAGTATGCCACAGTGGTATTTCAAAAGTCTCACAGTAAAATAAAAAAGATCTATCTTCCAGATACTTGTAAAAAAAAATAACCATACGACATAAAGTTAGAAAAAAATCAGGTACACAGAGAGATTTCAAAAGGCGTTACAAACCTTGATGGATCAAAAGACATCGATGGCTTCGGTGAAATAAGATATACAAATATTATTATAAATTTTCCTACTTACAAAGCTCTTAAATAAAGCTAATGAAAAATTAAAATAATGATACTCAAAGACTCAGTACTTCTTTTTCGACTCACAGCTCTGATATCACGAGCAAAATCATTGTTTTTTATGGATTTTTTTAAAAAGTTTGAACTTACGCCATTCCAGAGGTCAAGTACTCCTCCGTTGCGAAGTAGTGGATTGTGATTGAACAGCGCGCATCGCAATCAAATGTAAATTCAATATTATAACCATTGGATCCATTTTTTTCATCAGGGGGCCTTACAAATTTAAGAGATTCTTTGCGAATGTTGACTAAGCTTTTGAGAGTTTTAGTTGGCTCAGAAGCTTGCGGGGGTGGATAAGGAAACTGAAACAAAATTGAAAGTTACTTTAATATTTACTATAATTGGAAGACATTCTTAATTTTTCAATCATGAGTAATCGTAAATGAGGCCCTCTATGATTCTGTACAGACAAATTCTGGAAAGCTGATTAAATTTAGTTTATTGTCACTAATGCCATTGATTTAGTCTTGAAAGGTGTGTTACTTGTTTGTTCTTTATAATTCTTCAGCTTCAGTTATGTATAGTTCTCATTACTTTTTGGAGGAAAAGAATGGAGCTACAGCTTTCCCACCAACAGTAGGTACTTGTAAAAAAATCATGAAAAATTCATGAAATTGAAGATTTGAGACTTGTAAAAAAAAATAAAAATAGAGATATAAAAATAAATTAGGAAGCCCCTTTTCCATTTTTTGACAAAAAGATTTCACATTGCATTTTCACAAGTTGTCTCATGGTTAAATTCTGTAAGTAAAATGTTAAACAATTTCCGCATGTAGCTTCAGTTCATGATGTTACACACTGACAGTGAAACTGCAAAAAATGGTATCTCGGTTGCAGTGTTTCAAAATCTTCACTCTTGTATTATTTTTTAGAATGAGACAAAACGGACATCACCGCTTGAAATCTACACAGAGTATTCTTCAAATCGATGAAGGAAAATAACTGGAGTTTTCAAGAAATACTGCCCATTTGGTTTGATGTAGAAAATTGAGTCTGATCGGAAGTCTACAACGATGCAAACTGAGATGCGTATTTCTACATTGTCACCATCGATATTTTGCATTCATATTGCACATACCGTGTCCATGTAGACAGTTCTTTTAACTGAACAGTACATGGGGGCACACTTGCTGTGAATTCATTCATACGTCAAAAGGTGAGGCTGAGTTTCAAGTTCAATTGCTCTCTCCCTATAGACGCTATTAGTGGCGACGTCATCACAGGGTTTCTCTATTATACCAAATTGGATCCAAACAATAACATTCGCGTAACCTCTTTCAATGCTACTGATGCGAATTAATCGATATATATAGCTTTTTTGTGCCATGCCACTAATAGTGTCTCTTAATGCCCTAGTGGAAAAATTGTCAATGGCATCAAATGAAAAATGATGCGAAAAACTTACTGGTGTGGGTCTACTGCCAAGAAAATTCAGATCAGCATTTTCACCGAACAGATAGGCCTCAGGTTCAGGTGTGTCAAACCGCTCTCCTCCCATGATGAAGTGGCTACCAAAATAGTTCCCTGTACAATGAGTAAAAACGAGTTGATTAATGAAGATGTGAGGTAATGTGTGTAACTGGCTCCAATTTTGAGGATGGATTTTCAGATTTCAAAAGCTGATTCATTTAAATTAGCTAAAAGAGAGCTTGAAGAGACCAGACGGTAAGAGGTTAGCAGTAGTCAAAGCTGCTGCGAGTATGCAGCTGACAATATACATGAAAAGGGCAATTGCAGAATCTTCCGAACAGCGGAAGACATTATAATAGAGAAAGAAAAGGATGAGAATACGAGGAAGGTGAAAACATTGCTGTTGTTTACTCCTTTGCCATATTAACGCTTGGGGATCCAGAATCCCCGAGATCATGACCTACACTATTGTTTTCAGTTACTGTCACTTAAGGTAGAAAAATAAATGGTCTGAGAGGGATAGAGCAAATAAAAGACTGAAATGATCAGTAAATTCACCTGATTTGGGAGGATATTTGTATGCAAGATTGGAGACAGTGTCCACCTCCTCAATACCAGCATTCTGTCGACTTGCAAGTCCTCCCATTCTGCCTCAAATGACACTAATAAAGCTCTTCACCACAAAATATCATCACACCTACTGATAAAACGGAATAAAACACATTTTTTGCATTGTTTAGAGGTGAAAACAATAATTCTTGTCAAAACAGAACACAAGCTTTAGGCTGAACAGCTGATTAGAGACTTTCTTGTTGTTTACTGACACCTACGATGCCAGCCAATCAAAAAACTACGATTTCTAGAAACTCTGCAAAGTCGCCTTCAAAAATGCTTTAGGCAATTAGCTGTACTCCATTCAATAAATTGCATATCCAATCAAAGTGAAGGCGTTTTTGAATAAGCGGAGCCCAAGAAATTGAGAACAAGATGAAATCAGCCTCAGCCTCAGCCTCAACTTATAAGATGTTATTATTTTCTCAAATGTAAAAAAACTTCACGAAATTGTCAGTGACGTCTGTAGTGGAATATTAATATTCCCCATTTATTGTAATTATTTCTTGTTCCTTGTCTGATTTGGAGCTTTTCTATCAGCAAATGTAAACCTAAAGTGTATCCCCCATTTCAAATGCGTGAGTAGGAGTTTAGTAAATTACATCCCCAGTCTTCATCGAAATAGAGTACATAATCATTACAAATTTTCGAAAGATTTAATAAATGGTCGTGTCCTTGACACGGAAAGTGCACAGTGATGGTAAGTGAAATATCACGATTTGGAATTTCAAAAGGCTCGAATTAATTTCACAAAATTCGAAATTTATTCATTTTTTAATTGGAATGGAGCTCTTACATGTGTCGCTAATTTGCGGCCCAAGCACTTTGTAAATTTTCGCGAGAAACACTATGCTGACTCTGGTTTTCTCTGAAATCAACTCCAAAGCTAAAAAAAAGCTCTCAAAGTTGAGGTCGTAATGTAGGGGATATCATTATCCCACAATACCCTGAGAGTCCACCTGTATATCAAGGTAGCGAGGGATATCTCCTCTTTTATGGCGTTGATTAGGGCCTCATTTGAGATCGTCAGTTCGTCACCCTACGGCCAAAATATTTCAAGCGCCATGCGACGTTTCAAAATTTCCGGCGCCATTTTATTTTTTTACAATGAAATTTTTTGTTGAATCCGTTTGAAAATTTCACTGAATTTTATCGGCCGCACGAAGAAAATTCAGTGAAATTTTCGGACAGCTTCGCTGCGAAATTTCCCTGTAACAAAAGTGGCACCGGGAATTTTGAAACGTCGCATACTGTGGCCAGAAGGTGACGGTGATCTTTTTTTGAGCCTTAGATATCGTTTCAGAGAAAACCAGTGGCACCATCGAGGTTCTCGCAAATTATTACAGAGGAAACTGTAGTAACCAGCAAATTCCTGACACAAAAATTATGTGATGGACTCCTTCGGCATTTTTAACACCCCCCCCCCCCCCCNCCGCCGGTTCAAAAACAGTTTCTACTCTCGACTGAAGATTGGACAGTTAAATATTCTTAATGAAGCTGCTCCTTAATTGAATACAGATTTTAATCTTTATTTCCCTGTCGGTGTTACTTAGGAAGTTTGTCATCATCGGACGGTCTGAATCAGAATTCAGCAGACTCCTCTCAGAATGCTCAGTTTCCGGTCTGTACCGGAACTCCGGAACTGAGGACAAACTTTAAAAATAGGACACGATTTCCGGTGCAATTTGCAACACTGGAAAGAAATGGCGCCTAATCCTCCCGCACAATCCGTTACGTTTAGGAACTGATAATTCTTATCGTAAGTTGAAGTTTTAGGATTACATCAAGCTGAAGTTGATTCTTACGTTGAATATTTAAATAATTTAACTTACTGAATCAAAATTTTCTCGGTTTTTCGGTGTTCTCCTGACATTATGACCAAGTTAGAGCACGAATTTGAAATCATAACCTCACTTTCCGTCCATTGATTGTTTTTGTTCTGATGGCGGGCAAATCGCGATGTTAAATCGTTTCCTAATAATTTTGTTGTGTTTGTGATATTGTAAGTTTAATTTCCATCAAAAATGTATATCAAATCCATGATTATCGAGGGATTCAAATCCTATGGGTCTAGAACTGAAATCCACGGTTTTGACAAAGAATTCAATGCTATCACTGGTTTGAACGGGAGTGGAAAGTCAAACATTCTGGATGCAATTTGTTTTGTTCTTGGAATCTCAAATTTGTCACAGGTAAATTTGTTCTTCACTAGATAATTTAAATTCTGCAGTCATTCACTAGTTAATTTTATCCTTGTCCCCTCTGCAGTCTGTAAGTCTCAGTTGAACATCATGTTTCTTAGTACGTTTACTACGCACGTTTCATGCTGGGTTTTATGACAGTTTCTTACTTTCATCTCCGCTATTCATCAAGATCGGAGCTGTCTCATATGTGTATTCCACATTCCTCATGGGTATTGTTTAGTTTGCGCAAGTAATCGTAAGATTAGCCAAGGAAAGTCCGTCATACTCTTCAGTTGTATATGAGTTCGTGATGTGGATGGTAAACAAAGTGGCATTCCGAACTCAGGTTGTTGTGTATGCCGGAATCACATGCTGGATGTGGAAGTCAACAGTAATTGCTCAACATCCGAAATTTCGTAAATTTGAGTTATTTCCATTCAGATTTGTATCAAATCTACTTAAATAATTGAGTAAAACTGATAACTGCTGAGCTCCGATCCTCACTGGTGCCCTTGCATTAAAGAAGTTGTTTACTTTAGACTGTCATGAATAAAATACCGTTTCTGTTGTAGGTTCGAGCTGGATCTCTTCAGGAGCTTGTTTACAAAAGTGGTCAAGCTGGTATCACCAAAGCAAGCGTGACAATAGTGTTCGATAATCGTGATGAAAAGAAAAGTCCGCTTGGATATGAAAGATATGAAGAAATCACCGTCACCCGTCAGGTATTTTTAAATGACTTGATTTCTGTACTAGTTGAACCAAGGAAGTTGTTCTCCTAAAGGTGCGCTAAGAAACAAGACCCGTGTTCTTTTTTTTCCTCATTAAACTCAGGATCATCACAGACAGGAAATGCAGGGAAAACCTGGAAATGTCAAGGAATTTTCAAGTCAAGGAGAACCTGGAATTAAATGTCAGGGAAAAATTGTTCAATCATCTTCATTTGTTTTCCAGACTAGGTTTGTCTTTTCAAACAACATATTTTGCAAGAAAACTGTTTCAAATTATGCCTTTTTTACCCTCCGGCGCGACCTCACTCGCCATGGAATTCGACCAAAATATTCCATGGCAATCTGCAAAATGTCAGGGAATTTCATTTCCTAAATCTGTGGCAACTCTATGAACCACAGTAGTTAAGACATACAAATCTTAGTTCATAATCTTGATAGCAGAAATAGAAGATGTTCTAACTCTGACAACTGTGGCTTTGTCATGTTATCACAAAATGTTTTGTTCTCATAACATTGTCACGTCAAAAATTATAGAAGAACAAAGAGTTTTGGTAGTTATACCTTATCTGTTTTAGAAGTAAGAATAACCATAAGCACACCCAGGATGACAAGTGTCAGAATAAAACCATATTTCATGAGATAGTTAGGGATTTTTATCAGGTAGAAAACTTGAAATTGAGATGCCGTGCAGAGAATGTGAAGTCATTTATTTACACCTATACTAACAGAATTTTTCATTTTTCAGCGTGTTGGAATGGAAGGATGTTTTCTATTCCAGAAAATATTGGCTTTCTTTAGTAATTAGAATTACAAGTGTATGAATCAATTTTTTTTTAAATTTTATTTGATATTTTTATGAATTTCTTTTGAAATATATCATAAAATTTCTTAAATTAAGGAAATGGCGAGCAATGGTAATGTTAATATAAATGATGTTCAAGGAGTTTTATTTTAGAGACTTATTTTGCCCTATAGGACCATACTTACATAGCGATGGCTCAAGTGGGAAACCTTGTACTTAGGTATCTCCATTGTGATGTTTCAAAATTTCTTCTCTTAATTTATTTGTTTTAAGAGGTCAAGCCAACTTTTAAAAAAAAAAAATTTTACAGAATATTCTGCTAAAATAGAACAAAAATCAAGGAAGTTTTAAAAAAATCAAATGGAGCAGTTTTCGAAGAAAAAATAAAATATGACAGGAAGTCTGCAACATGGCAAATGGAGATATGTGGATTTGCTCTTTTGCCATCAATATTTTTTTAAATCTGTGCTGATTCCAACATTCCCAGAGCACAAACTTTGTCATTGATCTTTATGAAGTGCAGTTAAAATTGATGAATTTTATCTTCCAGACGGTCATCGCTGGTAAAAACAGATACCTGATCAATGGGTCCACAGTGCAAAACAAACGAGTGACAGATCTTTTCAACTCAGTGCAACTCAATGTCAACAACCCCCACTTCCTTATTATGCAGGGGCGTATTACCAAAGTCCTCAACATGAAACCACCAGAGATCTTGTCCATGATCGAAGAAGCTGCAGGAACGCGGATGTACGAAACGAAGAAACAGGCAGCGCAAAAAACCATAGAGAAGAAGGATGCTAAGTTGCAGGAACTAAATGCTGTAAGTTATGGAAAAGTATCCAAGCACCAACTAAATTTTGATATTATGTATTTGATATAATTTTACTCACCACTTCTTGACCATGATGAGCTAAAAACTGGAGCAAATAACTTGTTTTACCATGAAATCGGGTAAAAGGTTTTCTAAGAGGCTGAAATGCTGAATGCCAGCAACTGTAAATGGCTGACACTTTAAAATATTTTGCACCCCTAATTCCAATGTTTCCGATTGCTCCAAAATACAACTAGATTTTTATCAGAAACAGCCGGCTCCATCAAAACTGTGTGAGCTCAGAGTCCAAATTTTGTTGCCCCGTTTGTCTGTTCATTACATTGCTTGGCCCATACAGCAATTGCTTATGGCAAGAGCTCATCTCATTTTTACCAGTTCAGGAATCTCCGATAGCTCCTGGTAAGGGTCTTCTCATCATTATTGCTTTTTAATAAAAGCTTTTAAGAGCTCACCGGAAACCAAAAGGTCACCCTTATTCTTGGATCAGCCAGAGCTACAGAGGTTGCAGCGCTTTGTAAATGACTATACTTTGTTTTAAGTTCTTCTCGGTAATCCAACTTTCAATTTTTCAATTTGACAGCTCGTAAATGAAGAAATAGCACCAAAATTGGACAGGTTGAAACATGAAAGAGGACAATATCTGGAACTTCAAAAAGTCCAACGAGAACTGGAGCATGTGACCAAAATTTGTATAGCGTATAAGTATTTATGTCTAGAGGTGAGTTTGATATTTTATGAAGCCTTCTTTTGAGTGTTTTATCGGTCTTTGACCCTTTCTTTACTACTTTCAGGTCAAAAATAGGGCCTATTTAATTTATAACAGCAGTAGTAAAATCTCTCGAGGCAAGCCTTAAACAGCTGGCTAAAGGTGCTTTTGAGCTCATGTTTAAGGAGTGGCAAAAGCGTTGAAAAAATGTATTGCACTGTAAGGCGAATAAATTGAGAGTTCAAAAGTGAAAATTGACTAAATTTTGTAAAATGATAGATAAATTTTTTTTGCCCAATTTTTTTAAATTTCCAACATTACATGAATCAGCACTTTTAAAAAGGGCAGAAGTCCTATTTTTCAAAATCCTTTTCTTGTATTTTTGATGCTCTTTTTATGTGACATTTGCGTTCCAAGAAGCGGACTACCTATGCTTTCTCGGATAATATTGTAAAGACAACCTGAGAGTTCCAAAATGCAAAAAAAAGAAAAATGGTTTTAAATAATCAACTTCCGATCCTGATAAAAGTACTGACTCACTTATTAAAGACCCCTTGTATTAAGGTATTGATTTATATTTTTGAAGGGAAATACTTCGTTTTAGCCTTATTTTAGGCTTTGATTATTTTGTTAAAAGTCAGGATTTCAAATTATTGTTTAGTTTTTAAGCTAGACTATGATTTGATATTACAGTCGTATTTCGTATTATCATGGTGACAGGTGTTGGTATTTTTCTCAAAGGAAAAATTATCCTGCAGTCCTCAGTAAAAATGTCCAGTTGCCTCTAAATTCCTATCTTCAGAATACTTGCCTGTTACACAAGCACCAACTGAATGAGCTCTCATGAATTTTCCAATTTTTTCATGGTACTTCACTAAAAATGTTCCATGGCGAAAGGTTTAAATCTCAGTAAGAATTTTCCATTGCTAAAACAATCAAACAACCAATTGGCTTGCTTAATCAAATATTTTATGAATTCCAAGCAGGGAAATTTTTGTTTTAGACTTTGAGATTGCGCAGTCTGATTCCAAAATACGTGTGAGCAATTGTGACTTGGAAGATTATGTTTTGGTCCCAATGGTTCGATTCACTCTGTTGATTATGTTGATTAATTCACTATGTTGATTATTTGTTGATTAATTATTATTATTCACTATGTTGATTAATTGATTATGTTGTTCTTAGTTTTGAGAGTTATTCTGAGTTTTCAAAGAATTCTCTATTGTATTTTTCAGAATACCAGTTCAAAAGCACAGGAACGCTTAGAAGAAGTAGTGACAAAAATACAAAGCAATAAAGAACAGAAGGAGTCTGGTAATGCTCAAATCAAAGAGTTAGAAAATCAAATTGAAGAAATGCAGAGGCGGAAGTCTGCGGTAATCAACTCAGTCTCAATCTCTATCAATACTCAATCTTTCTGCTGATCCATGTACTGCTGTGTCTTATCCTCTTGATTTAAAATGTTCATACTCAAAACAGCCTTCATGAAGTAATTCTAGGTCTAAATTCAGAAGAATTTTCAAAGTAACTAGGAGTTCCATTGAATCCAAGTAATTTAAAGAAAAAAATGGAATTGAAAAAAAATTTAAAGAAAAAATATCTCATCAAAATTTCATGTAGAATACATTTTGTTCAACGGAAATCACTGGAAATAACTCCCAACCAAGAAAGTAACGTTTTTCGATGCATCAATCCAAACTTTCTTCCCATAGAAAAAACTAAAAACAATAATCCATTTGATTTAATTAGATTGTTTACTCTGGTCAGGTTTGCTCACGTTATTTCAGGGCAAACATGATTATCAACATGTAAGTAGAACTGCTTGCTGCTGCGAGAACTTTGAAAAAACATGTCCTATGATATTCCCATTTGAATTTCCACTTTTTATCCCATGATGCCACAACATCTCGGAAAACAAACGTACTTATGATGTAAAATCTTGTCATCGTTGACCAATTTTACCACAACACCTTGGTTAAATACTAGTATGTTTATGAGTATGTGTATGAGTATGCGTGAGTATGTGTATGTTTATGTCAAGTCACAAGTGCTAACAAATTGAGTTGGAATGTTTAACTTACTTTTTCAGGAAAGTGATGGTCAACTAGAAGAAAGAGAGAAAGAACTGAAAGATGCTGAGAAAATCGAGGCCACTGCTGCTGTGAAACTAAAAAGTGCCAAAGACAACATCTCTGCTGAAGAGAAGCGTTGTAAACAAATTGAAAAAAGTATTCATGAGGTATTGAAGTAACACAATTTTCATTTCATTGATCCAAATATACGGACTCCTTATAACAACTCTGAATATTAAAAATATCTCATCTCTTTCTATGTTCTGCAAAATTTTTCATTCTTAGAAAAAACAGATAGAATAATATAATGTGCCGAGTGAAATTAGAAAAAATTGAGAAGTTCAGTCAGGGGACAGGGAGAAAATAACCTTTTTTGCGCTTGTATTCAGGTATGTTGGCGCATCTCTTTCAGGTAACCAAATTTTCTGGTCCACCGTCTTTCTGATGCATTTGGTTCCTGACCTTCCATTTATATTTGCTGGACAAATTCCACTATAACTACAAAGTTTCCGTCAAAAAAATTAATTGGATTATGAACAAACTTTTACCATGGAACTAATCTTTGGTTCATATCCTAATTTATCGTATTTTGTAAATGGTCATAGGCCTGTTGAATTCTTGAATATATGACGATGCCCTATTAAAAAATGTTTTTCCCAATTGTAACGTCTAAAATTCTCTGATGATGTTAACTCATTAAGAGAGATCCAACCAAAATTCCTCTCTGAAATTTTTCATGAAAATATAAATTTTAATAAGTGAAGAAAATACAAATAGTACTAAAAATTGTAAAAAACTATTAGTTTTCGTCGTAAAAAAATGGGATATGAGCGGAGGTTTGCAAAATCGCGATCAAAGAGGCACATGCTTTACTTGTGCAATTCATAAGCAATTAGCGTAAATGTAAATTTTATTTTCCGAGTAACTTATCAGTATCAAATTTTGTCAATTAGAAGCGAAACTTAAAGTGAAGTTCGGCAAGTTCAGCAAGACTACTGTCTGACAGATTATCAAGCAAGCGGTATACGTAACCTAAGTTTCTTAGATTTTTTGTTTCTGTTTGATTCCTTTTTTGTCAATTCATCCTACGATTGAATTAAGGACGCCTCAGTCTTGAAAATTTTGCTAATGTGTTTACATTTCAGGATGAGAAAGCGCTGGGGGTCAAGGAGGGAGAGTTGGGGAAAATCCAAGACAATTACAACACCATGAAGACGGAGGAAGAGGAAGATAATGCGGCGCTCGCTGCTGCGCAGAAAAAATTCCAAGCGGTCAGCTCGGGTCTCATGGCTTCAGATTCAGGAGGGGATGCTACTCTTCAAGATCAACTGATGGGTGCGTACCCTCATTTTCTTATCAGGGATGCCAGTATTTGATTAAAAATAATGTCCGCATTTTATTTTAATTTTTTTTTAAATAAAAGCAATATAAGCAGTTTAGCTGATATCTTTTTTTAGGGCCCAAGTGCTAAAATCCAGGTTTCCAAGAAAATGGGCGCAACCATGCCGTACGGGGTGTGCTCAGTCTTTCTAGCCCAACAAATGATGAGGATTGTTGAAACTAGGCTCTGAAGATTGAATGCACGCCAAATGGCATACATTTTGCTGCTTGCTTTGAGACTTGGATTCTGGCGTTTAGGCAGATAAGAAAAATATCCTTTCAATTTTGTTTCTGGTAGAAATATATCAATTTTCAAAGCAGATCTTTCTAAATCATTCAAACTCAGTGGCTAACAATGTATGAAATTAACGGCATTGCTGGCATCATCTTTTCGGTTTCACATACTTGCTTGATTTTTTTCTATGGATTTCAACTCATGAAATGAAATATTAGTCAAATTTCAGTTGACATGAAGGAATCAATTTGACTTTTCAAATGATAAGAATACAGTGAAAGCTCGCTCAGTTGAACTACGGCTGAGATGAAATGCCGTTCAAGTCGAATTTTTTTTAGGCCCCTAGATATGTCCATGAGGCGCTATGTTAAAAACTTCAAGTGACACAAATTCGCAGTATTTCTTTCCAGAAGGAAAGCCACTTAAGTCAAAGAAAAGTTTTCGAATAACCTGTCAAATTATAGAACTTTTTATTGCTCCCTACACAATTCGAGTTCATGAGCTTTCACTGTAGCCTCAAAAAGTTTAGAACAAAAAGCCTACTAGTTTTTGATTTCGTATGGACTCTACATAATTAATTTGATTTCCCTGAAGTCTTTAAGTTCCAGTTTGACAAATTGTATAGTTCCCTTATCGGATTTTGGATTTTTGACTAACAAAGTGATTAACTTTTGATCTATGCCATGGAATCAATTTGGTCTCTCAGATTATTTATTTATCCATCAAACAATACATTGGTAAAACTCAAAATAGAAGAACAAAAAAATTAAATGCAGTTATGCCACAGTGCAATACAACAAGGCAACGAATTAATCGATTATTTGAACAAAGTAGAATATGTTGAACTGTAAGTCCGTCATCGTGAAACTTTTGCATGATGAAACAATTCTTTTTTAGAATTGATTCTAATGATTCTTTTATATTCGTTGATTATCAATGCCCAAAAATCAATACTTGGTAGCCATCACTTTGGCTCTGTATATAATGTCCATCTCCCCTAGTAGGCTTTAATTTTTTTTCCTTATACTTTTACAGGTAATTTTTGTGGTAGAAAATTTGTTTAAGAATTTCTAGGGGGGAAATCCTTTCTGGATTCAAACTTTAATGGTAGTCATTGTTCACTCGCTGTAATTTTTTTAATGTCTAATTTTTTTGTGGGGAATTTTTACAGCTGCAAAACAAGAAATAACGCAAGCAGACACAGAAAGCAAGCAATGTAGTATGCAGCTAGAGCACAGCAAGAAGCAGCTGGCGGCTAGAGAAAAAGAAATCAAGAAAACGGAGAAAGACTACGCAGAAGACACAAAGCAATTGTCAGCCATGGAGAAAGAGTTAACAGCTCTTGAGGTGAAGGAGATTTCCTCATTCAAACCTGACTAAACTTAGTAGTAATTTTATTTATTTACTTATACACTCACAGAGATTTCCCAAGAAAAATTCAATTACTCATTAGAAGTGCGTATTTACTTAACACTGGGGTAACCTACAATAAAAGCAGATACTTATACTCCTAACTTCACAGTGAAACATTTGACTAATCGAAAAATTAACTATCCGCCAAAGTCATTCTGAGATTGCTACACAAGAAACCATTGGAGCTGGATACTCCATTCTCTGACCAATCACCTGATTTGAAGTGCGCAAAAACGCATTTTTAAGCAAAGCATTGGAGCCATTTCTGAGGTAAATTTCTCAAAAACTTATCAATATAATCTCACTGAAACTTTGCAAATCCGACGATCAAAGCATTGAATTGCTGATCAAATCAATCAAACTTTTAAAAAAATGATAGAAGGTTTCTGATAGGTCTGGTGTCAGCAGAGATCGCAATAGTGTAGTTACTCTTGGAAAATGCACCAAAAGTCCATGAAAGACCAGATGATGAGAGACAACATTATCTCAAAAGATAAAAAATTAACTTTCGATTAGATGTTTGAAATGGTTTCAATTCAATGTTCTCTAATTTCTCAGGGTGAATTGAGTAAGTTCAACTATGAAGAAGGACTGATCGAGAGTCTTGGAGAAAGGCAAGGCACCCTGAAGTCATCTATCCGCAAGTTGAGGCAGCAAGTTGAATCTTTTGAAAGCAAGTAAGTTGTTTTCTCTCGCAAAATTCATCTTATGATCAGAACAAATCAACTTTTCTCTTCTAATTTGCTTGATCTCTCAGCTACAAAAATATTTCTTATTAGGTTCAAAAACAGATGCAATCTTTTGTTTATTTTGGGCTGAATAATTTTGTAAGAAACTCTTTAACGGAATGATTGCCTGACCCAATGTAGTGAGGAAGGACAGTTTTTAAATGAAGTTCATTTTCTAATACCTTCTAATTTTAAATGACTGGTTTTCTTTTCTCTTTCTTTTTTTTTCTTTTCATTTTTGCCTTCTGATTTTTCTCTGTCTTGGATCCCCTATTGTATTTTAAGAGGAAAACGCCACAAAATCTTCTTCAATAACCACAGCATAAACTAATGTCACTTTCTTCATAGATTTTTGCGGTGCTAACTGATCCAAAGTTTGTGATGATCCCACTCTTTCTCTCTTAAATCAGCAAATATTACCGCAGTTTCAATGTTAGTTTAATTTTTTTTAGTATTACATATTAATTTATTGTATTATATCTTCTTTCAGAAATAGCAATATCATTTTCCGGTATCAGAAACCAGAGCCCAATTTCAATGATGCAGCAGTTCGAGGATATGTGTGTAAATTATTTAAAGTCAAAGATAAGAAATTCACAACAGCTTTGGAAACAGCTGCTGGTGGAAGAGTAAGTTTTTACAAATTTTATCCACACCTTCTTAAAAACTGCATTAACAGAAAGCTATTTTGGGAAGTAGTACCTTATTAGAGTTCTATATTCTTACATTATTATTCTGCTGGGGAGAAAACGTGGATTTTTGGTATGAAAAAGTTTGTGACGTCAATAATTTCAAAATCAAAGCAGGACCAGGAAAAACTGGAAAATGTAAGGAATTTTGGCCGATCAGGAAAATCGGACGTTTTATCAGGAATTTTTCTTACGCGAATCTCCTCACCGGAGAAGTCTTACTGCTTTTTGCCTACCATACGAGGAGTCGTCGAAAAATCAGGAAAATATCCGGATTTTTCAAAATTAAAAAATACTAAACACCCTGTAAAGCTATTTTCGAAGGTGTGTTTCTCATATTTTGAGGTTTCTTTATTTTTCTCTACAAAAATTAGCGGTTACAGTTAAAAAAAAGAATTCTCCGGCTAAAGAAACCACAGTCTTAAATTTAGGACCAATAGCTCCTTTTTTCATGTATACTTGCAATTATGATTGCAAATGATAAAAAAAAGTCAGGGTTTTGTGTCATTCTCATCAAGAAAAACGCCAGGAAATTTTTCCTCCTGAAGTTTACAGACATCCCTAAGGGACAGAATTTGTATTCCAATACTAATTTTTGGGAATATGCTCCCAAACTTAGCATTTTCTACTTTTAATTTTTATTTTTTCTTCACAGTTATTCAATGTGATAGTAGATAACGAAAAAATTAGTAACCTATTAATTCAAAAAGGCAGACTTCAGAAAAGGATAACGTTTGTGCCACTAAATCGGATACAAGGAAATGCAATGGATAATAGGACCATCGCGTCTGCAGAACAAATCGTAAGTTGCCCAGTCTCATATTTTTATTCTTAGATAATTAGTTCAGCATTCATATAGGGTTCAGATTAACAAACTGAACAAACCTTACAAGAAGAAACTAACCTTTCTTTCTTGGGACAATCAGGTTTTGGTTGCTTTTAATTTTTTTTTTTGTACGCAGTTGAACACATTTTTGAACAAAAGAAGCCCATTTGAACTGAGTTTTAAATGGAGATAGAAGATTAAAATTTTGATCGATACTATTTGAGTTTTGCGAAGATATTTCTGTAAGATGGAGAGGTATGGCTCAATCTCAGTGCTGAAAGTAAACATCATATGTACGCTGTATGCATCTCCAGTTAATCGGCTGAAATCCAGTTAATATTTTGTTATATGTTTCAGGATATAAAAAATTTATTAAGTTGAAGATCAAAGTAGATAGACTCTTTTTTGCAAAAACAATTCGAATTGTTTAATATTACTGAATCGCACCATGTCTTTTGCTGTGTGATTACAGGCAGGCAAAGGTCGCGTGTTTCCAGCGCTTTCGCTCATTGATTACGAGCCTCAATACAAAGCGGCTATGCAGTGGCTGTTTGGTCAAGTGTTTGTCTGTGCAGATAACAAAGCTGCAAATATCGTCTGTTACGACAATAGGATTAAGAAAAAGTGTGTTACGCTTGATGGTGATGTCTACAATCCATCTGGTGTTATCTCTGGAGGTAAGATAGTTTCTTTTGTTTTGACATCAGTGCATATCATTTTATCTTAGTCAATTCCTATAACAAGTCACACTCATCATGGTTCATTTGGTTCAATATGCTTATTGACAGGAAGTGCTACTACTTACTACTAAAAATGTCATACATTAACAACTCCACTAATTTGGTTCTGTTGCAACTGATATCTAAGCTGAAATATTTGAAGTTTTGAAGCAAGATAATTGGATGATTTTTTCATGTACTTTTTAGATGAAATTTTAAAAATGTTGAGACTTTTTTGATCTGAAACATTTGCCGCCCCTAGTAATGAATTTTTCCTCAAAATTTGGGGTAGAGTTGCTTGTAGTTTAAACAAATTAGAAAGTTTCTCCTTCTGCAGAAATGTCAATAAAAAAATTTTGAATCTTCAATCTCTAAATCACATTTTGTACCTTCTCTTCTTCTCCCACAGGCATAGAGTATATTGTACCAGCATGATTTTTAATCCTCGAAAATTCATACTTTAAAAAACAGGGAAATTCCTGAAGTGGAACAGAAAAGTACTTAATTTTGTAAAGATTTTTGACGGATAAGTTGCTGCTTATATCTATATTCTTATCAAAAGTAATTAATGGATTTCTGCAATGGTTTGTCTAAAGATGTTTATTTCTTGGCAACAAAAAATCATTCGCAGTTCTTAGGGCAATGACCAATCTTTTAAATTTTTTGAGTCAACTGTTAAAATGCAAAATTTAATTTGAAATATAACTTACAATTTGTAAGATGTGCCATAGTTTCATCACATGCCTAAATTCCTGTCATCATCTAGGCATTCAATAATGATTATTGGTGCAGATGAATTTCTAATTTATGAGAAAATGTAATGGTGCTAGAAGCTGGAAGTCTGAAAAAGTTAATCATCAAAAGCGTTGTGGTTTTAGAAAATTTAGGTAGTGGAGGCATTTTTAGAAGAATGCTAGAAAAAGAAACCTCTGATCAGGTCAAATCTCTATTTCAAAATTCTCTGTCGAAACTCCTGGAACCCTTCAATTTTAAGAAAATTTGGGAAACATTTTTCAACAGATATTTTACTTTAATTTTACTTTTTCATTATGTTTTTAGGTGCTGCGGTAAAATCTGCTTCTGTTTTGTCACTTATCGAAGAAATGGGTGATGTAGAGAAACAACTCGCTGCTCAAGAGGCAGAGTTAGCAGAGGTTGAAAGGGAAATAGCACGCACCAGCAAAGTTGCTGCAAGCTATGCTGCCACGAAGCAAAAGTTTGAAAAGAGGACCCATGAGGTGGCATTGGTGAAGCAGCGATTTGCGCAGACGTCGCATCATCAGAATCGCGAAGAGGTGGACGCTCTAAAGAAGACTATCGAAGAGCTCGCTGAAAAGATGGAGGTGTGCAAGCAGCGGCAGAAGGAGGGCTCTGCCAAGGTTAAGGAGCTCACGGACAAACTCAAAAACATCAACGCCATTCGTGAGAAAGAGCTCAAAGAGGCTGAGAAAGAAATGAATCGGTTTGTTTTCTCTTGATTTTTTTACTTTCTGCCAGTAGTTATGTATACAAGGAGGCCAGTGGAAAAGCAACATTGGCTCATCTTTTAACGGAACTGCTTTTTGCATCTAGTGTTCTTGCAAGTGATACCACTCACAATTTCAAATCTGCATCTTAATTTTTTTTTTTTTTTTTTTTTTTTTTTTTTTTTTTTTTTAACCCATTGACTTATGATTTAATTTGATTTTGGTTATCACTATTTTTCACAGAAAGTGTTACAAAAAAGGATCACAAATTATTAACTTTTTAATAATTGAGCTAAATAAAATCAATGTGTAGTTCTGAAAAAACCATAATGATGCGTTATTTGCTCGTACAAAAGATGCTGAAGAGTTTTTCGAGAAAAATCAAACTTATTGAAGTCTAAAAATAGGGACCTGAAAAATTGCTGTAAAAAAAAAAAATTATCTCAACTATAATTTTTTAATGTCAAGTAAGTTTTTTTGAGTGCAATAGCAACTCTATTTTAAGCATCATTAATTTCATTTATCATTTTAAATTCTGGATAGTTTTAAGGCTAGAGTCTCGCATTGAATTTTTTGTCTTGCAGCTGCACTGGTGAAGTTACTTCATCTTAATTTTTCCTTCAGAATAAATATTCTTTTTTTTCTGAAGCTTCTCAATAGGTAAACAGACCTGAATTCTTAAGTTTTTTGAAGTCTAAAACCAACCAAGTAGAAGTTTTTATCAAGGTTAAATTTCTTATGATTCATTTTCTTGCAGGCTCAAGAAAAAATGCGACGACAGTCGAAAGAAATGGAAACAAAAAGAACAAGCGTTCGATACCCTCAAGTTGGAAATTGAGGAGCTGAAAAAGAGTATTGAGTCTGGGCGTGAGCAGCTGGCCACGACGCAAGCCAGCATTGCCACGATGAAAGAGGAGGTGGCAAAACTATCAGAAGTTGTTTCGGAGAAAAAGGATGCTGTCAAGGAACTCCAGGGTGTGGTTAAAGCGCTCAAGGAGTCCATCAGCAAACAAAACAAAGAGATTCAAGCCACCATTCATAAGAAAGAAAAACTTATCAAGGACATAGCCAACTGTGATCTGGAGGTGAGATTGTCGAATTATATTCCATAGATGGGAGCCAGGCTTCTTTTGTTTTAATGGTCTGAGAATTTACCTAATTTTTTTTTTTTAGTAGCTGTTTTGCAACTTGCTTTGTAATTCATTGTTTCTTGGCTAGAAATTAGAACTAAAGTAGAGGAAAGGAAGGAGAAAAAAAGAAGGGGAAAAAAAAACCTGAACTAAGCGTAAAGAGAGCATTAAAGGTCCAACTTATAAGGCCCTCTTAAAGTTGACACTTGACAGGAAAAAATAATTTGTGTCAACCCTCTTGAATTTCTTGATGTTTTAAGGAATGTCTTTGACGTAAAAGTAAGCATGCAAATGATAAGATGAGAAAAAAAAGGGGGGGGGGAAATAGGGAAAGATGAACAAGTTGGGCCAAGATAGTTTACTCGGTCCGTGAAAGAGGAGAAAGTAGAGTAGAAGCTGAGATGAAGTTAAAAAAATTGAAGGAAGAAGCATTCAGTGGTAAATGGAAGTAAGCGACGGCTCTAAGAAGTTGAAAATGCTGCTACATTGCTGCATGACTGAAATTTTCTATGTGTTTTTGTTGAGAGAAAGAGCATTTCAGCAGAAGAAATGATAGAGCCTTCAATGGTCCTCTCTCTCATGGCAGCAGTTTCAATTCCTCACTTCTGTGCCGATGTTCTGCACAAGAGTGAAAGCTCTAGTTTTTCTAGAAGTTTCTTCCCTTTTTAAATTCTTGTTGATGAACAGATTCGCAGCCATCAAGACTCCAAATTGCTTCGATACTTGCTTTTGCCAGCTTCAGGGGCAACTTTTTTGAATTGCTATTATCTTTAGTGACTCAAATTCATCCCAGCCTTGCTCTCACCTAGTTTGAGGAAATCGCTTCTAGGGATTTTTTTTTCAAAGTCGATTCCATTAGCCACAATGACTGCTTTGATTCTGGACGACTGATCGTCAGTGACCTTTTGTTGTCACAAAAGATCTCGAAGCCCCTTAATTTTTTTGTAAGATGTTTAAATGTTTTGAAGCTTTTAAAAAACTATTGATATTGGTTTTGAGGAGTTGTCCATAGTAAAACGAATGATTTCCTTAAATTTTTTCCAGGTGATATCACTTCAACATCAAATGGAAAAACTGAAAGCTGAAGCTAAAGATGCCGAATCGAAGCTCAAAGAAATGATAAGAAGATATGATTGGATTGAGGGTGACCGACAATACTTTGGCAAACCAAACGGTGCGCATATTTCTTAGTGGTTTTCAAATTTTTCATTTCATCCAGAACTATCAAATTGGTTTCTGAATGCTAAGCAAAAACAAAATTATTGTAATTTTTTGATGTTTTTTCGGCAAATTTGACGTAACTGGATAAAATTTGAGAGGAAGAGGGATCTTAATGTCACAAGAAGTTAGACAAAATTTGGAAACTTTGAAAACTGATATCTTTGTAAATTAGAAAAAAAAGTAGTTTAAAAAAGGTTTTAATTGGTTTTTTCGTAAAATTTCCTCTCAGAAACATCCCCTGGAATTGCAATTGTGACAAAGTACCCATCAAAATCTGAAATTTCAGTAAAAAAATTTATATATAACCTCCTCTAATAGCTCGCTCCGCTCTGCTTCAGCTCAGTAACAACCCAACCCGAGGGTAAAAATTGGAGTACTTTGAATTAAGTTCTTTTAAGGAAATCAGGGGTCCAGAAAGTTCATTGCTGTCACTTTTCTTGTGGCAGTCCTCACAATTTTTGCCACTGCCTTCACATTACTGTCAAGATGAGCTTACCTTCCTTACACATTTTCTAAGACAGCTCTCACATCGCTGTCCATGTAAGACTACACCCTTCTCTATTTTCTTCGTGCTAAAGAGTGGGTTACACAGTTCCCTTAGCACAAAGTTATGTGCTCAGTAGTTTTCTTTGTAGAAAATAATGCGTTTAATGGTTCCCTTGAAAAATGCCTTCACACTTTTTCCCCTTTTCAATTGTACATCAATCCATTGTTTGTTGTTCTAACTAATCTTATTTTCTGTTTTGATGTAGGTATTTACGATTTCGAGGAAAATGACCCAAAGGAAGCGAGCAAACGTGTGGCAAAACTGCAAGAGACCAAAGAAAAGCTAAGCAGGACTGTGAACACGCGTGCGATGAACCTCCTTGGCAAAGAAGAGGAGCAATACAATGAGATGATGCGGAAAAAGCGGATCGTTGAAAATGATAAAAGGAAAATCGAAGATGTGATCAAAGAGCTTGATGAAAAGAAGAGAGCCGCGCTCAAGGTTGCCTGGGAGCAGGTCAACAAAGATTTCGGCTCGATATTTAGCACTCTCCTGCCCGGAACACAAGCGATGCTCAAACCGCCTGATGGGAAAACGCTTCTGGATGGTTTGGAGGTTAGTCACTGCGGCTTTTAACTTAACTAATTTTAGTCATCTATTCAATAATATATCAAAGGCCAAAGTGCAAAACCACGTATCTCCAGTTGCGATGTTGCAGACTTCCTGTCATCCTTTATTTTTTCTGTGGAAAAATTGTCAACCTAATTTCTTGATTTTTCCTCTTTGATAGCAAAATATTCTGTTTAATTTTAAGTTATAAATCTGGCTTGTTTCCCCTCAAAAAATATAGTAGGAGCTGGAATTTTGAGACACTGCAATGGCGATACGTGACTCCACACTTTGACTGTCGATATGATGTATACTTAAACATAAACAAGCAAAAAGGAATATGTCCCAGAACTGTTGGCATCTGTTATTTTTTACCCGGAAAATAAGCCAGTACTTCATTGGTCAAGCTTTGAAACCATTAATAAGGAACAGAATAGTGACAGGAAGTAAAAAGATGACAATTTAACCGAGGCTGTTAAACTTTTGATAACATGACCTTCACTGAATCAGGGAAAGATTTGCTTGCGGCTTATGACATGGCATTTGTAAATTAAAAATATAAAACATGAGGGTCGTTACTAAATTATTTGTGAATTTTTGTCATCTTAGAGAGAAATTGTCGCAAAATTTCAAGAAATAACATTAACTTTCATCAGGGAAAGAAGGAGAGGGGAGAAAAGACTACGTACTAAAATCAGTAATGGCATGCTTATAATTTTGCAATTTAGTCAGTTCTGTTTTTCTGAAAGACATTCATTTTTCAGGAGATCAGGAAGAGGAATAGGTGAGTGAGGATTTAAGAGAGGATAAAATGATCTGTCGTGTAATAAGAATTTTTTGAAAACTCCTTCCTCCTTTTAGAGGTGTGCAATCATAGTCTGCAAAGTCTAACCGTAGTTTTTGATTATCTAAGTCTTGTGGGTTTTGCCTGACAGATTTCATAGGCATCGAACAAAAGCCCTGCCGGAGATACAAACGAAATCTGATAAAGTCTGATAGAACACCTCCTATTCTCTCTAGTCTTTTATTTATAAATAAGAACATGAAATATAAAAGGAACAGGGTTGTTTAGTTGAAAATCAATCTTCAGAATGTTGAGGTGATAGCTGCTGGCATTTTCTGTCTCGAAAAGGGTAAAAACGTAGAAAAACCCAGAAAAAAATGAACTGGACAGCACGATGTCAACAAAATAACTTAAATAAAACAAGAAGCAAATAGTTTAAGTAAAGGGTAAAACTCTTCTGTCATCAAACAAAGAAAGAACATCCTTTTTGTTTTTTGTGTGTTTGCTGCTACGAGTTATTTTTATTAATTCATTGCATCAAAGTTGGTGAGAAAATTCAACAAAGCATACCGAGTTCGCATCTTGCCCAAAATGTGAAAATTTCCTACAAGTGATGGAAATTTCCCTGTCGCTTGTATGAGAAATCCTCTATCTTGGCAAACATCTGCCCTCAAAATGTTTAACATTTCTTATCGGACTTATATTTCTGTATCAGGTGAAAATTGGGTTCGGTGGCATTTGGAAGGAAAGTTTAGGAGAGCTGTCAGGAGGTCAAAGATCTTTGGTTGCTCTGTCACTTATTCTCGCTATGCTGCTGTTCCGACCGGCACCAATTTACATTCTCGATGAAGTTGATGCCGCTCTTGATCTCTCTCACACGCAGAACATCGGACAGATGTTGAAAGCTCATTTCAAACATTCTCAAGTAAGTTTGCTCAATTTGATAAACTTTTATATCCTAACTCGAAGTCTTTCTGATTCAATTAGTCGGGGGCAAAAATCTTAACTTTGAACTGGATAGCCAGAAAGTTGGAAAACTCTTTTTTCCATCTCTAAAATAAAACATTTATAATTTCAAGTTAGAATTAAGTTTAGGTTTTGAGTAGAAAACTTATCCTTTCATGGTAAAAACAAGGCATCCAACACAGAAGCTCCTCGAAATAAATTTTCTCTAGACAATGCGATAAATTTGGCACCCCAGTGTACATTTTCCAATTGAAATTCCAAGCAGAACATGGTAAATACATCATGCATTTTCAAATTCAAACCACAAGTGAAAAATGAGTATTTTTGTGGTCATAAATGAATCCACCATTTTTAAAAGGGCGGAAGTCCTAAAACCGACTTTTTCAGGATACAGAAGAAACTGCTCAAAAGTTCCAGAAGAGGAAATAAGTCAGGTTGGGCAGGCTTTTCTATCCTTCGGACTTTCGCCATTTTTACACAATAGATGTATGTAAATGCAAAAAAGTCCAAACATGCAATAGAAGTGGTTTAAAAAAAATTTGACTTCCGCCCTTTTAAAAATCTTGGATTTAAATTAGAAATCTCGGCGTATTGAAAAACCATAATAGTCAGTTGAAAACCAACTTGATTTCTGGATTTTGGAACCCCAAAAGATCATTCTACCTTCCAATTGTCAACAACGGCATTTGTAATACTCAGGCTGAGAGGCGGTGAACCAGGAATGCTTAGTTCAGCCTGTCTGAAGTCTAGTGGTCTTTTTGTTCAAGTACTTATGAATCTTCAATGTTTTACTATTAATCAAATGATCAGAATTTAAAGAACCTGAGAACTGGGTCCTTTTTGCTGTTTTTGTGTGTTGCAAATGAGAGCTGTAATGTAAAAAAATTGCATGACCTGCAGCCCGATTGTTGAAATTGGTAGATAAAGCTATAGACAAAGAAAACATAAAGAGTATGGAGCGATCCTTTTGATTGAAATGTAAATGATGGACTAACCAAAGGGTCTCTCATGGGTTGCAGCTAGTTAGTCTGTTACCTACCTCCTTTGTCCATTGCAATCCATCGCTTCCACAAATAGGATCCCTTCATATATTTTTTGTCTTCTTTGTCTAACGCTTTGTCTACCAATTTCAACAATCAGCCCGCTGAGCAATTTATGAAGGACATTTCTATGCAGTTGGGGCTCCTTATTTTAGCATAGTCTCCGATGGTCGAAAATCAGAAAATATATGTTGACCTTGCAAAAGTCGGGGAATTCTTAGGAAAAAGCTGAAAATTTTGTGAGTAGTTGGCTCAGCAACTGCAGCTAGTGCAATCCGAGTGATTGTGAACAACTTTTGTGTGTCTTTTACTTTAGTTTGAATCTCAAGAAGTGGCAATTCCATTCAAAGTTTATAAAAAAGAGAGCGTGAGTAAAAGAAAAAAATCAATGTAATTGTTTTGTTCTAAGGTTAGGAAAAGTTAGGGAAAAGCAAAACAAAGTCAGGGAATCGGAAAATGAAAACAATCCAGAAATTTTCAGCTTTCATTTGCAACAGTACAAATTTTAATGTAAAAACAGCACAGAAAACAAAGATAAAAAGTTCTAATACTTCCTTACTAACATTAGTTTTAACGAATTTCTTTTCTTCTCTTTTCCAGTTTGTTATCGTCTCATTAAAAGATGGCATGTTCAATAATGCCAATGTATTGTTCCGTACAAAATTTGTTGAGGGCATGTCAACAGTCACTCGCACAACTGCCAAGGACAATGCCCGGTAATCTTAAATGAGTTTCGCGTGTTTCCTATATTTTCTTTTTAATTCCTTGTACAGTGATTTTTCTTTTTGTTTTCTACTGTTAAGAACCATTTTGAAAGATAATATTATTTTTTCACCTCCATGTCTGTTCTTTCTGATTTTGTAATAAATTTCTATTTTGTGAAATCCTCTCTTCTCCTATTCTTTTTCCACAATTTATTTAAGGAATTCAAATCCTTTTCAATTTCAGATATAGTTGCTGGAATTTCGTCTAGAAGTGGGAAAATAAAGCATATGTATTAATGATGTTTATTTCTTTAATAAAAAACTTGAACATAACAACAAATTAAACAAAAGAGATTGAATAAAAATGAAATTAATCAATTTCTTGACAATTCTGTGACATTTTAAAGTATTTAAACACAGAGGATTTTCTGACTTTAGATGAAGTGAAGCATGCTTTGATTTGCTCCGCAAGAGAGATTGAGCGAAATTCTTCGAAATGAAAAGAGATTCTAAGTCACAAGACTCCTTCCGGCCGGACAAAAAAAGTTGACATTTTGCAGCCTTGTTAAAGCTCCCATGTGCTGTACATTACTGACATTGAATGTTAAAAAAAAGTTGGGTTCTGGCTGGAGCATCATTAAAGTTAAAATAAAAGTACATATATCACACAACTGCTACTTTCATTGTTTGACATAAACTACGAAGACTTGCAGCTTGAAAAGATTTATAGCTTGATCATTCTCTTTTGGTATCTATTGACATTGATAGATGCGCGCTACGCTTCTATCAGATATATTACATAGCGTTCATAGACTAAGCCCGATAGATACAGCACTAGATTTGTGACCCCCACATCCGAGGTGGTGGATAACTACCGTATCTACCGTAATTTAAGGTTCGGTGATCGTTAAAATCTGTGAAGCTCGTTCGAGTAGTTGAGGTTAATAGTGTGCCTCTGAGTTTTATTTGAGTTGGTTTTGGGCTTTCTGACAATGGATATTGCTCCAGGTTTTCTGCAAAATGTAACCAATTTGGAAGCAGAATCAACAAAGAAACAGGCTGTCCACAATTTTCAGCTTCATTTGAAGAGGATGAAGGATCTATGTGACCCATTCAATGCTCCACAGAAGTTATTTGAAACGAACTTCAGGCTCAGTAAAAACCTGGTCCATAGTCTCACTCAAAGGCTAGAACCCCATGGTCCATAAACTCACTCAAAGGCTAGTACCCCATGGTCCACACTCTCACTCAAAGGCAGCTTGAACAGTTTAATGGCCATACTTCAGGTTAGGAAAACAGAGTCTGAGTACGTTGGGTTTAATATTTGAAAGCTCTTGGAAAAGATCAAAACTTTGACTGAAAAGCCAGTTCTGGGTAGTGTTCAGGAAGATATTGCTTATGGACTGATGTTATTCTTAGAGAGGGGATCATCTGTACTCGCAAAAAAATCAGCTGACACTGCCAGAATGTCTCAAGAAGGGTTCAATGTTATGTCAAGATTCATTAAGCACTACCAAATAGCTCCTAAAGTGAAAGGTGCTATCACAATAACCTTGCCAAGATGGTCCATTTGTTTTCCTTTGATGACGGTGGCTTACTGCGAAACCAGGTCCAACTTCATAGTCCCTGTTCTAACAGGATTCCCAAAAGCACTGACTGTATCGGCAGGTCTCTCTCTAATTGGTCTTGGTACCCCATTTAACTGGACTTGAGCTTTCAGTCTCAGTCCAGTGCATCAATTAGGTTGACCGTCGCTTTTTGTAGCAAGTAGTTACAATCGAGTGCAGATGTCATCAGATTTATTTTGAAACTAAAAAAGTAAAGACCCTATGCATTGGTTCTGGTTTAAAATTAACACTCTAACTTCATTTTTTCAGAAGAACATGTGACACTTATAACGGAATATTGGAGTTACGGCGGTTTTGGAAGCAGCGAGCCAATATCGCGCCGCGAGATCGTGGATCCGCGAGTTTTTCATGACACAGCTTGTCACATCCGTCAGTGACATCGCTCGGTGACATCACCAGACACAGCCTTGTCAGATAGCCCGAGGAATCCCCCAATTGCGTATACCCCAGTCTCGGGCGCCGGGCGACCGAGGTCCACGGGATGGCAACCTAACCTGTTGCTTTCCGAGGATTTCGGAGTCCTGACGGATATGACATGCTTGGTCAGGGGATTTTGGCGAGCTAACCGTGGGAAACGACGCCCAAGTTAGCAGGCCTGGAGACCCACGAGGAGCCCTCTGAAATCCCATGAAGTCAGTCGTCTCGCCATCCGTGCCTACGCCTCCTCGCGGATCCCCGACGCGCGTCTCACCCCGTAGTCAAGTCCTCGAGTATCCCTCGGCCGAAAGTTGTGGTCCTACGGTCCGTCCCCGACCCTCCTTTCGCCCCAGCGGCCTTTCACCCCCTTCCCGAGTCTTTGACTCCTCAAGTTGCCCCGTCCCGCGTCTCACCCCGGTGATTGAGCTTTTGAGTATCCCTCCCCTCGCCGAAAGTCCCGTCCAGCGGCAGCATCCCCGACGGCTCTTCCTGCTTGGAGACCCCCTCCCCCCCTTTGTAGTAGTTGTGTATCTGTGTGATAGTTGTTTGAGGTCTGTGTGACCTAGTTGTAGTTTTATCGTTATATACCATCATTATCGTTGTTACCATACGAGTACCCAATACACGAGCGGCCACCCCTAGATTGTGAGTCTTATTCTTTCCTTTGGATACCACTCTCGAGGTAGGTGACCATCTATTTAGAGTGATAGGGCTCTTACACCCTCCCTAGACCATTTCCCCTTTCTCTAGGACTACCCTATCTGGTGGACATACGCCCCCTTATTTGCGATCATCCCCTACGCGTTCAGCTGCTTGGCTCGAGAGCTGAGCGCGTTATAAGTGGTGGAGGCGCCGGGTACGTTCCGAAATGGAGAGTCCAAATTTGAGTCATTGAGGAAAAGTTTTAAGGACAATCGGATTATCTGCAAGACAAATGGGCGCTATCTGTGGTTCTCCCGTAGAAGCACATATCTGCATAGTGGAATCAATGGTCTGTATGTTGTTTTTTTTACAATTGGCCGTAAGTATTGGCTTAATATTAGCTTGGTTTGGCAACAGCTGTTTAGTGATCAGTTTCTTCTGCTCTCTGCGGGGGGGGGGGAGATGTTCACCCACTAGCCCTTAATTGCTGAAGTTGCACATTTTCTTCCAGGGAATCGGCTCTGTTCTTGGACGGATAGCTCCCGGTTTCAGTCCGCGTTTCCTTGCGTTATCCGTATCTCGTTTGGTTTTCAACAAAATGTTTCCTTTAGAGTTTCGTGGGACAGGACGTGGGTGGTGGGAGGTGCTGTGTCTACTCCGCGCAGCCCTCCAATTTTCGGCAAATTGCGTTGTTAAACCTTATTGTGACGGGCTTGCCGTTTTTTTTTATACGGGATCCTGTTCACCCTGATTTCGGCCGTCACAGAGAACAGTTATGTCGTGGTCATGAGGGCCACGGCGTTAGTGAGGTGAGGTTCCGGATCGCCGGGCCTCACGAGCGAGAACATGCCGGATGCGGCTACCTCAGATGCGTCGTGGAATTCGCCCCTGGCGATCAAGAATTGATCATAGTGTGGGTCCTCGAAGTGCAGCATCTCACCCACGGAGTGGTGATCTCTGGAAGGTGGCCTCGGTTTTTTTTTTTTTAGTTTTTAGTGTTAGTTTTTTATCGTAGTGTTAGATTATAGGTTTTTTTTTTTTTATTCTGCTGCTCTGCCCTTTCAGGTAATTTTTGTTTCATTATTTTTACTATCTTTTATTTTTGGTTTTGAACTATGATAATGTGCTATTTTTACTATGACTGGCGGTCGAAGCATCGGTTGGTGCTAGTGGCGGGTGAATTTACTGGTTTTTTTTTTTTGATTAGAGGAAGGGAGGTGAGAAAAGAAGAAAAAAAAAAGAGGGGGGTGTTAAAAAGTTTAGTTTTTAAATGGAGAAATGAAGTTTGAAGGAAATTTTATGAAATTGCAAAAGAAGTTACAGAGTTTTCTAGCTTCGCCATGAAAATACATTGAGAATCTTAAGCATGCATACATACAATCAAATTACATCATTTTACTTTTCCTGAGGTGTCCAAGTGAGGTGTGGGAACGCAATTTGGAGGATAGATTCGCATTAGCAACCTACAAGGCACTGATAACAGAGACAGTACAGCAGAGGTGTGGTGTCCTTCAAAAAGCACTACTGTTCGCAAGCAGCGCATAAAAATATTGGCGGCTTTTATTATTGATATAACCCATTCCCTCAGACTCTATCACGAGGTCCTTTGCCATGAGCAGTGGCAAAAAAATGTTTTTCTGCGAGATAACGAAATATTCTTCATGATTACTAAGATTAATGGAAGTGTTCTCAAGAATCTATTTCCAGATTGTTCTGAGACGAGAGAGGCAAAGAACAAACTTGCTCATTTCCAACAGTAATAAAATAATATCAAACCAGTAAAATGTTAAAAAGTATAGATAATATTCGAGATGCGCATCATAGAGGGGTCACGCAGGCGATACAGGTTCCAGAAGAAAGGAAAACCTTAGAAAAGACTGTCACAAAATTAACAGACTTGTGAATCCCTGAGTTAGCCTGGATTGTTCACAAAAATAACGAGCGCCTTAAAGATCACTATAAAAAACTCCTTACGTTATTTCGGTCAGACGAAATGATCGATCCAACCAGAGCACCTCTACTGGAAACATCGTACCTAGCGCACCGCTGCAGGTAAGAATCTATGCCTTGGAGCTACTCCACCGGCCCGCTGCCTTACCTACACCCTCACGGAGTTTCTCTTCAGGGTATTATCCTACCATTCCTTTCTCCACGAGGTAACCTCTGGAAAGCCCTGGCGAGATACTCTCGGGGGTCTCACCGCGCCTCGAGCACACTCCACCGAGGCCCAAGAAACACGGTTCGCCCCTCCCCCATAATGGTCTCCGACAACTTCCAAACCACCACTGCGTCGGCCATCACCAGCGCAGACGCAGCCACCATATCGACCACCACCACTACAGACACAGCCATGCAAACTCCGCCAACCTTTTTCTGGAGTCTACTGCCACGCTGAGTACAGCGCCAGTTGCAACACCTATTGGACCGCTCCGCAGGCAGGGCCATAGCACACAACGTCCAGAAACACCAGTCCCACCAGTCTCCACCTTCTTA